GGGAACGGAAAGGCGAATGACCACCAACCAATACAAACAATACAAGCCATATATTGCCAGTATGGAAGGCGCCATATTGTATCGTCACAATATGACGGCGAGCATATTGTATTGGTACAATATGAGAAATCGCGTATTGTATTGTATATACTGCAGTATACTACTTTATTGTCATATTATTAGCAACACTGAATTGAGGGCGTTCAATGCGGGCATAACTCTGCGTTGGCAATTTACGCCGGGTCCTAGGAGCAAAGAAATTCGCTGCGGCAGCTGTTTTCGATTCAGCAGGGGCCATACTATGTATCATGTTATAATTAGCTATCGGTTGGACAGTAATGAAGTTTTACCTGGTCTAGGCTAAAAGGCTCGAGAATGGACGTGAGACAGGTAGTCGGGACGACACCAAATAACCCACAATAAAGTATAACGGAGTCGAGGTTGAACGGGTGGGATAGGTCGTCGGGCAGGACGTTGATTCGGGGGCCGACCCGAAGCCGCTGTCGGAAACATCGAAGCAGGAATTAGGCGAGATCGTCGTAAAATAATGTCGTGGCAGTTGTCGCGAAGACCGTTGCCCAATGCAGGCAAAAAAATGTGGGATGGGCTGACGACCGTGTCTTTCCGACAGTAGAATTAGGCCCAAGTTATCTATCCACCCACTTTCATTAACTGTACACCCAAAAAGTGGATTAACTGTGGCTGACGGCCGAAGAGGGCCGATACCGCCAATTTGTATGCACACATTCTCTACGATAAGTAGAGCCAGGTAGTAACAGTTCTCCTTCAACGATAAGGCACCCAAAATTGAAGCTATTCGTACTGCGCTTTCTATGCTGATGAGACTATTCTTTGGTGTTTACAACAGGCCTCCTTCTTCGAGTGCACTACGTGCCTGATCCGCTTCATCTAACTGTGATTCCAATTGATCCCATACATCCTCAAGGGCGGCATCGTCCGTGAGGCCGGCGACGAAGATGCAGTCTTGGGTCTCCCGCCGTACCGGCTGATCGTCATCATCAGAGACTGGCGTTTGACGCCCGGCTTGTTGATACGCCCGTTGCATCCGTGTGCCTGCCTCGTACGTATCGCCGTTTTCCTCGATGTGCCGCAGCCCTCGTTCCGTTGAAGTCATCGCGGCCGTTACCGTACCCGTCATCGCCGCTGGTGCCGTTGGGGGGGGAGGCAGTCGTATACCCTCACCCCGCTCATGCCGTCCAGCGATCTCGTGATGTGACGGACCCCGCCGCGTTGATCTTGACCGCCGTGACTCTTCGAGGTTGAGTGAGCCCTTGGGGCGGCCCTTAGCCCTGATAACTTGTGGCTCGTATGGTGCCCGAGTAGGGCTTGTGCCCTGAGCGCTTGTATCGATCGGAATATACCAAAATGGGTCGAAGTCGTCGAGTGTAAGGGAGGTATTGGTGTTGATAGACTCGAAGATTCGATGGCAGCACGGTAGCCCTCGACTAGTAGCCCAATTACAAGGACATTGACCTGGCGGCGGTTTGGCCCGTTGACTTCGGGGGTCTAGAGGGATCTTGCGATGCTCATCTATTAGTAGCTTTAACGCATATGACGATACTCGCTCGCGGATCGGCATATACGGCGCCTGTAGGGAGAACGTTGATATCTTGTGGAGGTTTCGATTCTCTATCGCTGTGATCTGAGCAGCCTGATGGCCCCAGAAGCGTTCGAATCGTTGGAAAACGGTCGTCAAATCGCCCGTACAGGACCAAAGGAACTTCTTCATATGAGAGTGAAGTCCCTCGACGATCGAGGTCGTTGTACGCCCGAAGTGGCGATATTGATTAACGAAACAAGATACAAACTTCTCCTTCCAAGGCGTTAGCCACGTATTGCAACAGTATTGTATAGCTGCAAGCGGGTGGCGGCCTGGTGTCTCAAATTGGCGTAAACGTTCGTTGAAGCTATTCACATCTTGTGACTTGACGATCTCGTTCCACTCTTGTAGAAACGCTTGGAATGCCGGGGCCCGTACGACTCGATTGCCGATTTTTGATGCCTTAGGGAAAATTGCTTGCATTTCGCAACGACATTCTGGTTAATATGCCACGTGCAGAGAAGGTTAGTACTGTTTTGAAGCTCGCGAAAGCTATCTAACGCCTTAAGCAACGCAGTATCTCGGTCCGTGACAGTGACCCTTGAAATGGGATCGACTCCTTCTCGCAAAGGACTAGCAGCAACGAGATAGCCCAATAGTAATGGGACTCGGTCTCGCCGTTCAAGAAGATAGAGGCAATAGAGAACGTTTTGTTATCTCGAGTGGCCGCGCAGATATTCAATAACGGCATATTGAATCGGTTCGTCTTGTAGGTACAGTCGAGGACGAGGACATCGTGATGCTGACGCCATCGATGGAAGGTAGCACGAGGCGCGAGAAATAGCCCAGTTAGCCGGCCCTGGGGATCACGACTATCTCGATGAAAGAAGTCGGACTTATCTAGCCGGTCGTAGAGAAACTGAAGAGGCGTACGGCCAGCTAGTTCTTCCTGACGGTGCCTAGCCAAGGCGTTACTCACGTCTTGAGCCGTGATACCGGCTAAACGAGGATCGTCGTGAACCAGGTCACGAAGCTCGCCAGCAATATCGGTCGGCCGGGTATTGTTATTAAACTTCCGGATAATGTCGTCGCGATACTTCTGGATAACAAGCGCCCGGTACTTCGGAAAGACCATCGGGTCATCAACAAGGCGATGATTGTGAACATCGTGAAGATAAGAGATAGTCCAGTAACCGCGTTTTTCCTTCAACGAGAGGCGAAATTCACAGTCTGTTTTCTGGGTTGCTGTATTGAGGCGACGACGAGAGATATGAGCAGCTTTATCCTTCCGATTTTCGTAGGGGCCGGCCTTGATACAACGAACAAGTGCAGACTTGCGTTGGCCAGCGTTATCCCGCTTCGATGTTCGAATGTGTAGGGCGTAGCCCTCAGCCTCAGCAACGGTATCGGCGGCTTCCATCGCGGCCTGGAAGGTCGGGAATAGTGTCTTCGTAAGCGACTCCATGATTCGGGCTCGTAAGGGCAGAAAACGCGGTGCGAATAGCTTCAGTTTTGATGGTATTGCTGATAGTTACGGTTACAGGATGTTGTTACGCAAGCATCACGAACTGGCCAGCTGGCCGGCCGGGAATGGGCGCACCAAAATTAGCGGCATCGGCACTGCGCCTGACCCAGCCACAGTTGATCCACTTTTTGGTGTACAGTTAATAAAAGGAGGTGTATAGATAATTGGGCCCTAGAATTAACAGGTGGTCAATTGAGCGCGAATAACGCGTCTAAACGCGGCTAGTTGGCACAACATATCCTTATCATGCAGATGTTTCGGTACTTTCTGATCGGGCTAGTTTGTGTGGACAAGCAAGTAGCAGTCATATTGGGCTCGATGAGTAGATAAGTCCCTAACAGTCTCCAAATCGCGAGATGACGCAATTCGTGTCACGTCCAATTGTTCGCGCAGTATTGAGACGTTGAGGGATCTGAACGCGTTTTTCTAATCAGTTTGCCGGAGGCTGTTTAACGGTATAAGTCTTGTATTATATTTCAAAAATTTGGGCTGCCGAGCTTAATCTGTGCTTGAGATGTAGTTTTGCAAGTAGCAAATGACCGATCTATTTATTGCCTTCAGGATGATGTGGCATTTCTTGAGCAAATGTTAAGCACAGATATCGAGAGTTATATCACCCGAACCAGAAAATCCAGAACATTCGAGTGATACTACATTTAAATGGTGTGCATTATAAAATGGCACTGTTCATAAGCTTCATGGTTTTTGATACTCCGTATAGGGTGGCAAGACTGCTGAAACGGTGGGCGTATCAGGCACTGTTAGGTCGTTATACCAACATATATGGACGCCTAACTACCCCACTTCCAACCCACTGGGATTTTCCCAGTGGAGTGTGGACGGCGGAATCCAACTGAAACACGCACAACAGACTTTTAAATACGCAGTGCGTCATCGCATGGGCGGCCGATTTCGAAGTTACCATGTCCGCGCGGGCGAACCCTTGCTCCTGTCAGAACGGTGGTTCTGTGGCGTGCCTAATGGGAAAGTGCATTGTGGAATCTATTGGTATTGTGGGAATCATGCTCGTCAATTGTATCTAGATCACACGGTCAGCATGTGGCCTTAGGGTCACGTGTGCGGCTGAGGCTTGCGTGGCTATATCTTCCACGCTGGCCTCTCCCTAGATAGAAGACAATCCTCATAGCATAATACGACACACCGGTTGAACGACGTTCCCAGTTTGTCTCATGCTCGAGCCCTGCCAACAGGTATGATGGGGTCAAAGCAGCTTGTTTCTTGATGTGTACGTGTGTGTCTGCTTGTTGGAACGGCGCAGCAGGAAGGGCGGCATGGGTCACCTGCCAGGTCACGTGGGGCATTCAGCCGAGATTTCTGCGGGCCCAAAGGGCACATTCCTAGCCGGAAGGGGCAACACACACATCGCCTTTACACACACACAGCCGTGCATATAGCTCCAATTGACCTCTTCTGTGTGCCCACTATCGTTGCCACCTTCCTCATTCGGACGAGCCGCAGAACCGCTGTTTCTGACACTGCTCAGAAAGAAAAGGAGGCCCTTGGTGGGTGGCTTCGGGTATTGACCCTTTCCTCCCTGTATGCCCCCTTGGCTGGCAGCTGCGAAGCGGGGTGATCCTTTTTTTCACCGTATATTTCGACCATATCGCCATTCATTCAAGATTTTGATGAATGAATTGAATAAAGACTCCTGATTTTTGATTCATCGAATTTGAAGACCTTACCCGATTCGGCTTCATTCAATTCAAGGGTCCCGAGGCCGATTCGACTTCAAAATCTTCAAATATCAGCCCTACCTGACGTCCAGCAGACTCCAGACTCCTCTCCCCCTCGTCCGTTCACGGCGATAATTTCCTGCCCCGCAGGAATGCACCACCACCTTGCTGCGTCTTCACCCCAGCCTCGTGCTGGAAATACAAGCTCTGTCGACCGCCCATGACCGTCCTCGACGAGCGCCGCAAGACGGTGGGGCAGGTGAGTGGAGCATCGTCTCACGCGCTTCAGCCCATCCCCAGCTAAAACTCCTCGTCGAGCTCTTCGCTGTCGGCTTCCACGGCACCGAGCTCGACGACAACATCCGATCCCTCGTCTGCGACTACCACGTCGGCGCCGTCGTCCTCTTCAAGCGCAATGTGCGAGACGCCGCCCAACTGCGCGCCCTGTGCCTGTCGCTGCAGCAGCTAGCCAAGGAAGCCGGCCATGGCCAGCCTCTCTTCGTCGGCATCGACCAGGAGAATGGCCTCGTCACTCGCATATCGCCCCCCGTCGCATCACAGATGCCAGGCCCCATGGCCCTTGCTGCCGCGGGCTCCCTGGCCTCGGTGCGCGCCGTCGCCGAGGCCACGGGCTCCATGCTCCGCCACTTTGGCATCAACATCAACTACGCCCCCGTCGGCGACGTCAACTCGGAGCCCCTCAACCCAGTCATTGGCGTCCGCAGTCCCGGCGACGACCCTGTCCGGGTCTCGCAGTCTGCAGCGGCCTGTGCTGCGGGTCTGCGTGCTAGCGGCGTGGTGCCGTGCATCAAGCATTTCCCCGGCCACGGCGACACGCGCGTCGACTCCCACTATGGCCTGCCCGTTATACGTAAATCCCGCCAAGCTTTGGAGGCTACAGAGCTTGTTCCCTTTCGGCATGCTGTCGCCCACGCCATCGAGATGGTTATGACGGCCCACATCTCTCTGCCGGAGCTAGAAGGCGGCTCTGACCTGCCGGCCACGCTATCTCCCGAGGCCATGGAAATCCTGCGCGACGACCTCGAGTTCCAAGGAGTCGTCATGACGGACTGCATGGAGATGGACGGTGTTCGCGCCACGTACGGGACGGTCGAGGGCTCTCTGATGGCTCTCCAAGCTGGAGTTGACAATGTCATGATCTGCCACACCTTTCAGGTGCAAACGGCCGCCATTGATCGTGTATGCCAGGCATTAGAGCATGGGGAGATATCCCCACAGCGGATAGAAGCCTCGCTCCGCCGCCTCAGCGAGCTCAAGTCTCGCTTCATCAGCTGGGACGATGCCCTCCAGCCCCAGGCACCCGAGGGTCTGTCGGCCATGAACAAGGGCAGCGAGGAGCTTGCCAAACAGGTCTACCGCGATGCCACGACTCTGGTCCGGTCGCAAGCGGGGCTACTCCCTCTCTCGCGCACAGCCAAGACGGTATTCATCTCGCCAGGACCCAACGTTCCCCTAGGCGGTGCCGTTCATAGCGGAGACGTTGCGCCGCCGACCCGTGTGCCGTGGGTATCGGGCTCATTTGGAGACGTCCTGCGTGCGCACAACCCGACGGTCGTTGACATCCGCTTTGTCGACTCGACGCTCTCGGAAGACGAGTGGCGCCAGGTGGACAAAGCCGAGGTGGTGATCTTGGCAACGCGCAATGCTCGCGAGTCACAGTACCAGGCTCAACTCGGCATGGAGGTAGCAAGACGACGGGGAGAGGCACCGCTCGCGACAGTTGCGACCTGCAACCCTTACGACTTCCTAGAATGCCCCGATATGAGAACCTACCTGGCCATCTATGAGCCGACGGTTGAAGCGTTTAGCGCCGCCGCCCATGTACTCTACGGCAAGGTGTCTGCCGGGGGCAAGCTTCCAGTTTCATACATCCCGCCTAGAAAGTGAACAAGGCGGGAGAGACGTCCGGTGGAAGTCGTCGGGCGGCGTGAAGTTTTTCGTCTCGTTGATCTTGATCTCAAGCTCGTTTTCGTCCAAAGAAGCGGTTGACAGAAGACAGTCTGTGCACCTCTCCGGACCTGCTCGCAAATGTATGCCAAACTGCTCGATACTTGGTAATGAATTGCCAAATCATCAGCATCTTGGCCCAATTGCCAGATCTGGGTATATGATAAATCCAATGCTTCTCTGTGATTTAGGAGCAGTCGCTTCCCGCCCCATTTCACTACCCAATTCCTACCTAAAAGTAGCGTAAATGCCGGAATCGGTGCTTGCAATCTAGAGTAATAGGAGCATCTACGCCATTAACCATTAGCACCTAGGAAGTGCGGCATAACCAGACTATGATCTCAATCAACTACGAGTGCCGAAATCGGCAACCACGTAATTTTGGCCAGCAGCCAGAAAATGTGGCCCGAAACGACCAGTCTCTTGATGCATACGCCTTGGCTTTGTCCATGTCTATCAGGGTAAGCAAAGGCTCAGACGATACCGCTGACCCGGGAAAGCCCCGAGTTTACATGGCTATGGAGCTGATATCAATAAAATCAACGCCATAAGCAGATGAAATGTGGCGCGCCTCTCTGGTAGCGAGGATAGCGCCAGAAACACCAATTGATGCTGTGAGGCGGCATTCTACTTTCAAGTGTCCCCTTTTTCTTAGGCCCAAGTTATCTATCCACCCACTTTCATTAACTGTACACCCAAAAAGTGGATTAACTGTGGCTGACGGCCGAAGAGGGCCGATACCGCCAATTTGTATGCACACATTCTCTACGATAAGTAGAGCCAGGTAGTAACAGTTCTCCTTCAACGATAAGGCACCCAAAATTGAAGCTATTCGTACTGCGCTTTCTATGCTGATGAGACTATTCTTTGGTGTTTACAACAGGCCTCCTTCTTCGAGTGCACTACGTGCCTGATCCGCTTCATCTAACTGTGATTCCAATTGATCCCATACATCCTCAAGGGCGGCATCGTCCGTGAGGCCGGCGACGAAGATGCAGTCTTGGGTCTCCCGCCGTACCGGCTGATCGTCATCATCAGAGACTGGCGTTTGACGCCCGGCTTGTTGATACGCCCGTTGCATCCGTGTGCCTGCCTCGTACGTATCGCCGTTTTCCTTGATGCCGCAGCCCTCGTTCCGTTGAAGTCATCGCGGCCGTTACCGTACCCGTCATCGCCGCTGGTGCCGTTGAGGAGGAGGCAGTCGTATAGCCTCAGCCCGCTCATGCCGTTCAGCGATCTCGTGATGTGACGGATCCCGCCGCGTTGATCTTGACCGCCGTGACTCTTCGAGGTTGAGTGAGCCCTGGGGCGGCCCTTAGCCCTGATAACTTGTGGCTCGTATGGTGCCCGAGTAGGGCTTGTGCCCTGAGCGCTTGTATCGATCGGAATATACCAAAATGGGTCGAAGTCGTCGAGTGTAAGGGAGGTATTGGTGTTGATAGACTCGAAGATTCGATGGCAGCACGGTAGCCCTCGACTAGTAGCCCAATTACAAGGACATTGACCTGGCGGCGGTTTGGCCCGTTGACTTCGGGGTCTAGAGGATCTTGCGATGCTCATCTATTAGTAGCTTTAACGCATATGACGATACTCGCTCGCGGATCGGCATATACGGCGCCTGTAGGGAGAACGTTGATATCTTGTGGAGGTTTCGATTCTCTATCGCTGTGATCTGAGCAGCCTGATGGCCCAGAAGCGTTCGAATCGTTGGAAAACGGTCGTCAAATCGCCCGTACAGGACCAAAGGAACTTCTTCATATGAGTGAAGTCCTCGACGATCGAGGTCGTTGTACGCCCGAAGTGGCGATATTGATTAACGAAACAAGATACAAACTTCTCCTTCCAAGGCGTTAGCCACGTATTGCAACAGTATTGTATAGCTGCAAGCGGGTGGCGGCCTGGTGTCTCAAATTGGCGTAAACGTTCGTTGAAGCTATTCACATCTTGTGACTTGACGATCTCGTTCCACTCTTGTAGAAACGCTTGGAATGCCGGGGCCCGTACGACTCGATTGCCGATTTTTGATGCCTTAGGGAAAATTGCTTGCATTTCGCAACGACATTCTGGTTAATATGCCACGTGCAGAGAAGGTTAGTACTGTTTTGAAGCTCGCGAAAGCTATCTAACGCCTTAAGCAACGCAGTATCTCGGTCCGTGACAGTGACCCTTGGAAATGGGATCGACTCCTTCTCGCAAAGGACTAGCAGCAACGAGATAGCCCAATAGTAATGGGACTCGGTCTCGCCGTTCAAGAAGATAGAGGCAATAGAGAACGTTTTGTTATCTCGAGTGGCCGCGCAGATATTCAATAACGGCATATTGAATCGGTTCGTCTTGTAGGTACAGTCGAGGACGAGGACATCGTGATGCTGACGCCATCGATGGAAGGTAGCACGAGGCGCGAGAAATAGCCCAGTTAGCCGGCCCTGGGGATCACGACTATCTCGATGAAAGAAGTCGGACTTATCTAGCCGGTCGTAGAGAAACTGAAGAGGCGTACGGCCAGCTAGTTCTTCCTGACGGTGCCTAGCCAGGCGTTACTCACGTCTTGAGCCGTGATACCGGCTAAACGAGGATCGTCGTGAACCAGGTCACGAAGCTCGCCAGCAATATCGGTCGGCCGGGTATTGTTATTAAACTTCCGGATAATGTCGTCGCGATACTTCTGGATAACAAGCGCCCGGTACTTCGGAAAGACCATCGGGTCATCAACAAGGCGATGATTGTGAACATCGTGAAGATAAGAGATAGTCCAGTAACCGCGTTTTTCCTTCAACGAGAGGCGAAATTCACAGTCTGTTTTCTGGGTTGCTGTATTGAGGCGACGACGAGAGATATGAGCAGCTTTATCCTTCCGATTTTCGTAGGGGCCGGCCTTGATACAACGAACAAGTGCAGACTTGCGTTGGCCAGCGTTATCCCGCTTCGATGTTCGAATGTGTAGGGCGTAGCCTCAGCCTCAGCAACGGTATCGGCGGCTTCCATCGCGGCCTGGAAGGTCGGGAATAGTGTCTTCGTAAGCGACTCCATGATTCGGGCTCGTAAGGGCAGAAACGCGGTGCGAATAGCTTCAGTTTTGATGGTATTGCTGATAGTTACGGTTACAGGATGTTGTTACGCAAGCATCACGAACTGGCCAGCTGGCCGGCCGGGAATGGGCGCACCAAAATTAGCGGCATCGGCACTGCGCCTGACCCAGCCACAGTTGATCCACTTTTTGGTGTACAGTTAATAAAAGGAGGTGTATAGATAATTGGGCCCTTTTCTTACGTCTTGATACTGGTAGTTGAAGCGTCGAATACACCAATAGCAGGCAACATTTGATTTCAAGCAATGGAAATCGACAAATGTCTAGGGTATGATCTAGGATAAAAGCTGTTCCCGGAGCTAGAGTCTGCAAACTCTTAAAAAAGACCCATTCATAATTCTACATAGAGCCTTACATACATTTCGAGTTGAGCAGCAATGGGCACCCGGTGGACGCATGGGAAAGCTGCCTATTTCCACCACGAATTATTCATCACGCAATGATGGAATGGTCCTGACCCGCTCCAAGAAAGCCTAGGACAAAGTCCGTCGCCGTGGAGGTTTCTGGTAATCTGCTTGGGCGGCGCTGAAGAATCGGAACGGGGCAGTTGCCGGGATTACTCGGACTAGGAAGTTTCCTTGGGCGGTGCCGGCGAGTGTGAACGAGACGGTAGCTGAGACCTTGGCTCCGGGGGCGTCGAGGAATCCGCGGTGAAGAGAAGGGGAGTCGCCAAAGCTGGAGCCGCTGAAGGCGTCGCTGTCCTGACGCACTTGCAGATGACCTTGCGCGCATGAAGGGCCTTGACGGCCGGGATAAACCCGCAGTCCGCAACGCAGGTTTGAGCGGAAGTCTCAATGGCCTTGAAGCTGGCCTTGGTGCACCGGCCTGCGCGGCAGGTAAGCATATGGACGCGACACTGTCCCGGAGCGTGCTTACACGCCAAATCCTCGCTCTCGGTACATCCTACTTGGGATGCAGCGCTCTGCACACAAGACAGCTAGAATGCATCAGTCTCGTTGCCGTTGATCAAAAGCGTTGTCAGAGATGGGCGCCATACAGCGCAATCAGGGATTTGGGATGTCAAGCTCAGGCACTGCTCGTTTGCAGTCGCAAAGCCAACGAGGGCCAAAAGGCTCAGCGCAAACGAGTTCCTCATGATGACACTGTCAGGGAAGCTAGAAGTCCTGTCCGAGGTAGAAGACCGACGAAGCCAGGCCAGACAGAAGGAAGGAATTGGGCAGAAAATGACTGGGACAGCTAGACTAGATATATCCTGAGGGTGCCCGGGGAAGCGGGTGATTGATCACAACACCCCATGTCTGCTCGGGAAGCGGTCCATTTCCAGATTCAGCGAGTCAATCAAGAGGGCAGACTTTTGAATGCACAAGCTTGCGGGCGGGTATCTGCACGAGGTGCCTCTTTCCGGTGGCCGAGTGCATGTAGTGGAGGAGTGGACACAGTCCAGAGTGTTCCAGAGTGTTCCAGAGTGTTCTCACAAAGTGGCCTCCAGCGAGCCGCAGGCGAGGACAGAGTCACGAGTCACGATCTAGGAATGAACCACGTTCAGAGCAAGAGGGCAGCCCCTCCTGTGTCTGCTGGGCGGCAGCATTGTCCCTCGGTCAACTTACTCTGTGTTCTTGGATTTCGCAGTGGGCCAAGCTGGCCGGGTTGGATGAATGAAGGGAACCGTGCTGGGGGCTCAGGAAGTGGGCGAAGCCAGCTTCTTCTTATACTCTCGCTCTCGTCGCCGTTCCATTGGCTGCATGCAGGGAACCTGCAGTGCATGACCACCCTTGTCCGGTACGGCCCAGAGTGTTGGCCACCACCTTCGCTCCCTCTTGTCCCTTCCCTCGTTTCTCTTGGTCGTTGCCTAAGGACTGGTCTCGTCACGTGCGTTCCTCCCCATCCTCACTGTGTTCGGGGGACATATAGTCTACTGTCGTGCCTGGGACCCTTATACCAAACATAACATAGGGGCTCCAGTCGGTCCCTCCTTGTCGGTCCCTCCTCACCTTGCGTCTCGTCGCTCCCCTCCTCCGCGTAAAGGGTCCCGGCGTCTGTGTGCCGCTCCTCGTGTCGCTTGTGCACTCGCTCTGGCTCGTTGGTGCCCTCACCCGGTTCATGGCGTGTCGCTCTCGTTCCATCCGTCGTTGCTCACACAACTCAGCGACTCACTCCTCCCGTCGTGTGGACTCACTGTCGTTCACTACTTGTCCGCTCGTATACACTCGCCCGTGACCACTGCCCGTGGTGTGGGTACAGTCCACATGCGTGCCGTTTGCCTGTCCCTTCGGTCTATGCACACTTCCCAGTGTGGTCCTCGCTCCCGTTGGTCGCTGCAGTAGAACATGCCCCTCGCCCTTGGCTGCAGGATGCAACGCTGCGCGTGGCGGTCCGTAGTCCTGCCTAGGTCCTCCGGAGGTGGACCTAGGAGTGGACCTAGGAGTGGTAGCCCTTGCAACAAAGGATCAAGTATACTGTGTGGCGATGACTTCACCCTAACAACGCAATTGGTAGGCAGGTTAGGTGGATGTGAACAGTCACAAGTATGCCAAGTCAAAGCCCAAGACATTATATTCTTACTATCCTGGGTGGGCTCACTTTGATCCAAGAAGAGGCCATCGTCACACTCGAAAAAGACAGCCCGTCCTGAACGCCGATGCTCCTATGGAGGCTAAAACGCACGCAGGGTAAAAGCGATCATAACTCCCGTGTAATCAACCCCGACGCAAACTTCAGATTCCGCTTCTTTTCCACTGCAGAGCCTACCGCGGGTTCCCCTAGATGACGCAACAACTGGTCCACATCTCGCGCTATGCAAGCGGTGAGCATGGCACTCCTAGACCGGGGACGTCGACTTACCATGCAGTCTCTCCAGCTGGTCTAGGGTACCGGGAAAGCCCTCAATCACTTCACCCGTGAGAACGCTGTATAAGGGCACCAAGTCCATGTCGCCACGGACAACCGTGCCATTCCGAGCCCGCACCACCGCGTTCCGGTTTCTGCGGGGAAGAAAGAAAGTCAGCATCCGATGCAAAAGGAGGACCCCCTTTGACTCACGACACGGTGACTTTGCGGTCTAAGTCCCGCAGCCCACGGCTGATCTGAGCAAGCTGTTCTAGGACAGCCTGCAAAGTCTCGTGTAGCCGAGCGCCGCCGTCCACTACTGGCAAGTTCCCACACAACTCCAAATGATCCGCTGCCAGTCTCAAACCACCTGCTGCGGTGGGAAAGTCGGGTTGACGAAAAGCTGCGTTATGCTCCATGACAGCCGAAGGAATCTTTGGCGTTGCACAGAAATCCAGTATAGACGTGATCACACCGTGTTGAGAAGAAAAGGCAAGCGCCAGTCGCTTGGAGGTCTCAAGACGTACGTGTGCGTGTACGTGTCGGCCCGGCAACACAAAGGATGCGCGTGGTCACCTGACCTATAGCTTCCGTAAGCAGATTGGGGAAGGGTGGGGATGTCGCACGACGGTTGAGTGCCCGCACAAGAGTATCTTTTCACTTGGAAAGACCGTGCATCTCGTTTGCTTCGTTCAAAAGTAAGAATATAAGTCAAAATCTGCCTGAGTATCGCTCCGCTCGTCGAGATTGAAGTAGGCACCGAGGGTGGGTTATGTCATCTGTGACGCGTGACTCTGCCGATAGAAACGGTCGCATTCTCCCGCCTGTATTGGCCGTACTGGCCTGGGGACTGCGCCACGGGCCGTCATTCCTCCGACCCGTCCACTCGCTTCGCTCCTTTGTCCCCAACCTGCACGTGTTCCGGTGGGTGGGCTCCGCCTTGTTCAGATCATTGACCTCGAGACCCTCGAATGGCTACAACAACATTCGCACGCTGCAGGGCCACGAGCACAGCATCAGCACCGTCCGCTTTGTACCGTCTGGAACCCTGCTTGTCAGCGCAAGTGGAGACCAGACTCTGAGGATATGGGACACGGCCACCGGGTACTTTGTGAGAACGCTGCAGGGCCACGATGGGTGGGTATGAGACGCCTATCCCGCCGCCGATGGCCGTTTTCTGTTGTCTACCGGCAATGATTGGACCGTCCGCCTATGGGATATTTACTTGGCGAGTCCCGAGAATACGCTGATATTGGTCGGCCACGAAAATGTGGTCAAATGCTGCGCCCTTGCACCATCGGCCTCGTACCCGCATCTCGCGGCTTGGGGCGGGTTGAAGACGCCGCCGCCTGCTAGTAGCACGGCCGAGTTCATGGCCAGTGGCTCCCGAGACAAGACGATCAAGCTCTGGGATGCGCGGGGTACCTGCCTCGCAACATTGATTGGCCATGACGCTGGGTGAGCGCGATCGTTTTCCACCCAGGGGGCAGATACCTGCTTTCCGTGGCGGATGACAAGACGCTGCGGTGCTGGGACTTGAGCCAGCAGGGGAGTTGCGTCAAGGTGCTCAAGGGCACGCATGGGCAGTTTATCACTTGTCTGCGATGGGCGTCGTCGGGCGTCGTCGGGCGCCGCGCCTGCGGTCAATGGAAGAGGCGGCGAGGTGCAGCGGGACTGCTTCAGTGAAGCATTTGTTGAAAGGTCGTTGCTCTAATTACGGGCTCTCGAGTTCATCGGGCCATCTCGATACGAGCAGACCAGGTACACATGGTGCGGAGTACATGGAGGGCCGAGGTTCGCAGACAGATACCGAGGCTGTCCATAGCCAAGCTTACTGCTGCGTCAGCTCGACACATGGACGACTTGAATGCCCATCAAGCTAGCTAGAGAGGCCCAGGCGATTGAACTGCCATCCCTCGCTGGTGCGGATCGCAAGGCAGGCTGCTGCTGCTCTCGCCATCGCCAACACTGCGTTAAGGTTTCTCGGATCTCGAGATACCTCGCGCAAAGTATCCATTCCTGCAGTGGCACCAGACCCGGAGCTAAGGTTACCTTATCCGTAGAGCTACCTTTAGGTAGCGTGCACGTCCTCCCGGCACCCCGGATACGTACTTCACCAATGATGCATGTGCAGCACCGCCAAATGCTTTCCTTCATCCATCAGCCTCGACGCCTCTCCCTTCCTACCGGACTCGGCACTCCGACATTGCCAAACCCCTTCGGCGGCCGAAAATACGCGCACGTTACTGGCACAGCGTTAGCCTCGCCCTCGTGATCCGTCGTACCGCGTACCCTTGTCACTGTCCCCTTGTCCTCGTCCCCTCCTCTCGGCATATGGTCTCGTCCACTCGAGACCATTAAAGAGCGCATACAGCAGCCGTCCCACCCGCCTGGTCTCTCGCTCTACAACCCATCAAACGCCCATGTCCTCGCCGTCACGCCATCTCGCCCGAAAATTTGCTTCAACCTCTAGCCCCCCGACCATGCCTCCCCAGTCCGACGAACCGCCCGTCGCTCCGATGCCCTCGGGCTCGATCCTCGACCCGTCTCCCTCGCCGGCCAAGGGCCCCCCATCCGTCGCCGCCGTCGTCGCCGCCGCTCCCTCCCGCGCCGATGCCTTCCTCGCCCACCTCCAGCGGTGCCTGCAGACCCGCGCCGGGGCCGACGTCGTCCTGCTCTTCCTCTGCTACGCCTCCCGCCTCGGCGGCTCCCTGCTCGAGACACTGAGCCGCCCCATCCTCCGCCTCTCGGCCCGCCGCCTCGTCGCCGCCGCCTTCAAGCTCCCCCCCGCCACCACCGTCATCATGTCCGCCACCACGCCCCATCCCCCGCTCGCCGCCCTCGGGCTCCGCCTCGGCGGCCGCTTCAAGGCCCTGTCCGCCATGCTTAGCGAGACGCGCACCGTCGGCCGCCTCTGGGGGCTGCTGGGCCTATACTTTGCCGCAAAGAGGCTCGTCCTCAAGTCGTGCGCCTCGTCCCGACAATCCGACGAAAAGGCACCCGACGACGCCGACGGGATCTTCGACGCCGTCGTGGCTTATGCCCAAGTCATCTCCCTCGTCGTCTTCCAGGCTGCCGAGAACGTGGCCTACCTGTCGAGCAAGAAGATCCTACCCTTCCCCCCTGCAACCCAGGGCCGGCTGGCGCTCATCAGCGTGCGCTCCTGGGGTCTGTACATTGGCATGGAGCTCGGCAGGTTGCTCGTGGAGCGCTCACGCAAGGCGAGCAGCGGCGCCGGCACCAAGGACGCCGCGTGGGCCGCCGACTGGACCAAGAGCTTTACGCGCAACCTGGCCTGGGCGCCGCTGACGGTGCACTGGGGCACGCCCAACGGGCTTCTGCCCGACATCATGGTGTCGCTGCTAGCGGCCTACCCGGCGACGGGCTCCATGCTGGACCTGTGGCAGCAAACGGCCTGAGGCGATGGGCGGACTGATGCGATAGATTTGGTCGAGGAAGAGAACAAGAGAGCCGCGAGTGCTATCGGGACAGACAGGCGTCTTTGGCCGAATACACACACAGGAAGCAGCCTGGGAATGGGTTAGGCTCTACCAATTACAGAGTAAAAGGGTCGGAGCGAAAGGCATGGCGAATATCCTCTTCACCTTTGCTTTGTATATATGTATGTACGGTTTTCTTTAGACTTTTTGAATGACGACACTGCTCTTTTCTGGCTTTACATTCTCCACGGAGCGGCTTCACTTCCACTTCTCTACACGACAAAGTCTTGCCTCGTCGAGTCATGCATCTCCACGGCAACCAGCCTGGTTGGGCATAGCTCCGGCACACTTCCCCAGATCTGGGACGCGGCATGCCGTGCGCAAGATTGTACATTCTATTACATTCTATGAGAACTCCTCGCCTGGCTGCAGGCTTATGTATACATCAGCTGTACTGGATACAGTGTTTTACCTGACAGAGGAAAGTCGGTTGGAGGCGTCGTCTTCACCGAGTCCGGTCTAGTCGGCCTCGCTATATATACATGACGGTTTAGCCCCTCTCACTCCGGAACCTGGGGCAGCTGCTCCTCCTCGGCCGCGTCCTGATCATTCTGACCCTCCTCGGGCGGCTTAAAGTCATTATCAAGCCCCAGAAGCTCCTCCTTGACGGGGTCGACACAGTGCTGCATGACCATGTCGACGACGCCCTCGTCGGCGCGCATGATGTCGCGGAGGAGGCCGCGGATGTCGTTCCAGCTGACGACATCCCTGGCGGCGGCGTTTGTTTCGCAGGCCGAGGCGCAGACGCAGTTCATCTCGAGTTCGAGGACATTGCGGAAGAGGCCGACGAGGGCGCCGCGGGACTGCGGTTGGCGGTCGGCGAAGAGGCGCTCGTCGGTCCAGCTCTTGGCCTCGAGCAGCTGCGCCAGCTGCATGTACCACGAGACACGGCCAAGAATGTGGATGAGGCCGCCGCGCATGTCGTTACGCTCGATGACGGGGTCGAGCAGGGACTTGCAGGCAACAGGGTCAGCTTTCATGGACCGGGAGGAGGAGGAGGAGGAGGAGGAGGAGGCGAGGGATTTACCGGCGTCATGATGCACAGACCGGCCCAGGCAAGCCCGGCGATGGGAAATTCGGGCAACACAGTCTCAACGGCGCTCTTTGTGGCGACGAGCATGTCGCGGGCTGTGTGGTCGTCGTCTTCGTCCTCGAGGCCGACCTGGGACGCGCGGCGCTTCTGCATGCCGGCCTTGGCAACGGCGGAGAAGAGCTCGGCGCGCTCGTGGTCGGACTGGCCGCTGAGGGAGGCGTTGCCGCCGAGTTTGAGGTACTTGGGCACCTCGCGGGAGACAATGGACTCGTACGTCGACGTCAGGCGAGCGGTGGCGTCGCCGTCGCGCAGGGCGTTGTAGGCCTCGTTCCACAGGTCCTGGGCAATGCCGGGCGGGCCCGCGGGGGGCGGCGGAGCAGCGGCGGAGGCGTTGGAATCGCGGCGGCCGCTGCTGTTTCCGGGCGCACCGTTGCCGACGCCGCCGATACCGGCGCCGCGCATCTTGGCGGTCCAGGCGGCGGCCGAGTGGGTGATGGAGCCGCGCTTCCGGGTGCGGGCGGCGGGCTCGGGGGACATGGGGGGCGAGGGGGCGAGGGCAAGCGGCGGCGAGGAGGAGGATGGCGCGCGCGATGATGGACCCTCATTGCTGTTGTTGTTCACATTGCCGCCGCCGCCGCTGTTGAGGCCGTCCAGACCATGGCCGTCTTCCTGCCCATCGTCGTCGTCGGGAATCAGGCTGCCCTTGTGGTTCGATTTGCTGAGGCTTCCGGAGCGCAGGCGGCCGACGAACTTGCGGAAGGCGCTGGGCCGGCGCGGTCCGTCCTGCTGCCCGGCCCGGAACTGCTGCTGCGGCGGCGGCGGGTGCTGAGGGGCCAGGGCGCTCATCTTTTGGGGGGAGGGGAGGCGGGGGGGGGTGCTGTGGTGGGCGCTGTGGTGGGCGCTGGCAGAGCGGGCGGGCCGCTACGGGTGCAGGCTGCTGCTGTAGGCGACGGCAACGAACTGGTCGACTCTGTTCGTTTTTCTCCTGCAGGAAGAAACAAGGAGAGGAACAAAGAGAGAGACAAGAAAGTGGCAGGCAGGATGGAGAGATGAAAGCGTGGACGGGAAAGCAGAGACAAAAGAAGAGAGGGAATGGAGTATGGATTCAGCAGCGCTGCCTCGTCGCTGTTTTCGGCGACACAGAAGCGGCGGCGACTTAAACGATGCACCAGCGCCGGTCTCGAGCACCAAACCTTGGCCTGCTCCATGGGCTGCTCCTCATTGGAACTAGTTGGGGACCCAGGGGCTGCCGTTTCTGTTACGTGCCATTCGCCTTCAGGAATACTCGTCTTGGGCCTGGGGATGCTGCTCGACCGGGTCCACCTCGAGATGGGGATGCGCTCCCACGGACCGGAGCGTCGGCCAAGCAGCAGCCCAAACTTACAGGACGTCCTGGCGGTTTAGGCTCTGCTAACGAAATGTATAGTCTGGGTGCTCGCTCCCGACTAGCTCGTGTCGAGCCAAGCGCAGAGTATCCCCTCGCGGCTCCTTCGGCTCCCTTGCCATGCCTCCTGGAATAGCCTTTCATCTGGACTTGCGCGGCTCTCGTCACGGTTCAAGGTTCAAGCTCGTCCCTGCTCAGTAGCATCGAACTGACATTGGGTGAGCCGCGCAAGCCATCGAGACACTAGGTTCATGTCCATCATGCCATGAACTGTTTTGCAGATGTAATACGTCAAGTAAAGCAACCGTCTATTTGCCCGAGCCATGACAGACTCCTCTATAAACCTCCATGCCCAAGAGCCCCCTACCCATGCACTCTCGGGGCCCGGTGGTACTGGTTAGGCCACTTAACGGCGACGCCCAGCTCCTTGGCCATCTTGAGCACAAAGTTGGGCTCTCTTAGAAACTGCCGCCCGACCAGCACCACGTCGGCCTGCGGCCTATGCCCGTCGCCCTCGTCCGCCGCGCTCGTCTCATCATCGCCGCTGCCCTGCACAATGTCTCTGGCCATTTTGCCGCTGGAGATCATGCCGACGGCGCCAACCAGCAGCTGCTTGCCCTCGCGCCGCAGCGCCGCGCGGATCTGGCCGGCCAGCTCGACTTGGTAGTAGGGGTGGAGGTCGATCTTCTGCGCGGCGCTGTTGCCGCCCGACGACACGTCGAGCAGGTCGACGCCCAGGCCCGGCAGCAGCTGGGCCAGGCGGATCGACTGCTGCAGGTCCCACGTCGGCTCGCCCGTGTGCTCCATCCACTCGGTGGCCGAGATGCGCAGGAAGACGGGCATGCCGGCGGGGACGGCGGCGCGGACGGCCTGGATGACTTGGACGACGAGGCGGATGCGGTTCTCGAAGCTGCCGCCGTACCGGTCCGTTCGCCTGTTGGTCAGGGGCGACAAGAACTCGGCCAGGAGGTAGCCGTGCGCGGCGTGGATCTCGACGACGTCGAAGCCGGCCTCGACGGCGCGCCGGGCGGCAGCGGCAAAGGCCTCGACGATGGCCTCGATTTCCGGTACGGACAGCTCGCGGGGCGCCGGCCAGTCGTCGGCGTAGGGAATGGCCGAGGGCGCCACCACGTCATCGGGCCAGCCGCCGTCGGCCTCGCCGGCGACGACGCGTGCAGCGGGAGCATGGCCCTCGCGCAGCCACGGGGCCAGCGTGCTAGCCTTGCGCCCCCCGTGGGCAAGCTGGATGCCGACCTTTTGGTTCTGCGAGTGGACAAAGTCGGTGATGCGGCGCAGGGGCGCGACGTGTGAGGCGGCCCAGATGCCCGAGTCCTCGGGGGAGATGCGGCCGCGGGGCTCGACGGCGCTGGCCTCGACCATGGTCAGGGCGGCGCCGGACAGGGCGAACTGGCCGAGGTGGACGAGGTGGTAGTCGGTCAGGTGGCCGTCGCGGGCCGAGTACTGGCACATGGGCGAGAGGACGACGCGGTTGGCCAGGCGCACGTCGCGGATGCGCAGCTGCCGGAACAGCGTCGGCGCGGCGTCCGGGTCCGAGGCGGTGCCGGCGGGGGGGTCCTGCGCGGGGGTGTAGAAAGGGACCCCGGCGGCCGGCTTGTTGGCGGTAGGGACCATGCTGGGGACAGTTGGGACAGTGGGGTGTGCCTGGATCGATGCTCGGGTATTGAGTTGGGTTCTGTGTCGAGCGTCGAATCTGGATGCCTGTGGGCCGGGGCAGCTTCTTATGCCTCTGGGCCCGGAGCCTTTATTAATAGCCAAGTTCCCGAAAGCGGGGCCTCGTTCGGCCTTGGATGGAGCATCGGGGCCCGGCATCGCCCCTTGCTCAGCGGGCCATTGCTCAGCGGGAGCATCTGGCTGCGTGACGCCATTTCTCTCCTGCATTTGTCGAGGCGTGAGCCGTCCTGGATGAGCTTTCCTTCTCGGGCCCAGCACGCAATTGCTTCGGCGTTGGAAAAGGGCGCGCAAAGTCTCCGGAGCCGCGTCGGCATCATTGGGGTAGCATTTCGGACGGCCAGATTACAAATGCGCCTGGCTTTACTAATAATGGCGGTGCTTGCTAATCAATACTCTTGACTTTGGTTTCTTGGACAGTTGCGACGGCTTGGACCAATAACTGTAGCCGTCTGTTCGTACAACTCTGGTCCTTCATGCTCCATCATACACCACGATGCCTATGTAAGTGTAAAGATGCAACGGAAGAAGATGAAGCATGAGAAAATCGATGCGTGATGTGGGTTGTCTCAACCTGTCACGGTGCGCTGTGCTCGGAAGGCCACAAAAGCCGTGATGCTGACTTACTCTGCATTGACAAGCACAATTGTTCTCACTCGCACCCGAGCATCCTCATATTCCTCATTGTCGCTCACCAGTCACTCTAGACGGCTGCATACGCACCGCAATCGCACCCCCTGCAAAGCAACGTGACATGAGCCTGTGCCTCCCACGCGTGAGATGCAGGCATCTTCTCAGTCAACGCCCAACCGGGCTGACGAGTCGAAACTTTACGCATCAGGGGCCATGGCAGTACCGGTACTTTTGCGCATATATGTACAAGCCTCGCTGCGGGCCCTGTCAATTTGAGATCCGGGACAGCCCGCTTGTCGTCGCAGGGACCCTTCCTCAGACAAGATGATGGATGCATGGCGCGGCAGGGCAGACTCGAGTGGTGGTTTTCACACCGGCGGCGGTGCAGGGATTTCCTCAGGCCACCCGTCGACCAGGTTGGCGAGTCTCCCGTGTTGGTCTCGTCGTGGTGACGGAACGTCCAACGCCGAGTGACCCATCACGGCACGGCAATGTGTGACGCGACCGACCGGCAAGGCTCACCCATGTCCGCGGTGTTTGATGTTCGTCGTGTGTTTTTGGCCAGCATTGACCATCGGCAAATCGTTCCTTCCCCTGAGATGCACAAGGACGGCGGCTCCTCCCCCGCCTTGGCCCAAGCTTTGGCGTCAGGGACGTCGTGGCCGAAACGGGGCTAGGATGTACGTTCTGTAGGTTACGATAAGGTTAATGTTGGAGCGAGATGTGCTGGGGGATGTGCTGGGGATGTGCTGGGGATGTACATACTACTAAGTACCTAGTAATTAGAGGGATGTACGGATAATACTTTACTGGAGGGATGTGCTGGAGGGATGAATGCTGTATTCCGTACCCTCCTCTGCAGTCTGCTTTGAAACTGGGCCTCCGAGACAAGTGTCAAGCACAGGTAATCTTCTATTCCTTCAGCATTCCTCTCTACCCTCCGCACTCGTCGACCCTGTCCCCGCCCTCTTTGTTTCGGGGACAATGACGATGGCTCGCCAACCAAGGGTCCGAATACAGGCAGCCTGCAGTGCATCGACGATAAGATACGCGAGCATCCACTGTAGACGTCCACTGTCCAGGGGTCCCCTGCAGCCTGTGGCATTCCTCCATCTCATTGCTCGCTCGCTTGCCTCCCTCAAGCCATGAAACGCATCCCACCTGTCCTCACTTTGTCATTGGGGGCCTTTCTCGCCTCCATCTGCACCGACAGTCTCGCCTCGATTCCACAGCCAACTACGTGGATCCATTCTTGCCCCTCCCTCTTCCATCCTCCTCCTCCGCCCTCATATACCAGACACAAACCGAGGAGTTGTTGTTGGTCACGACCTTTTCTTCTTCCCCATTCTGCCTCACTCGACGACTCGCATGCTCACCAGCCCCAGCCCCAGACCAACCCGAGCCATGTCGCTCCTCCTCGTCCTCCTCCTCGCCCTGGAGCCCCAAGTCGTCGTCGCCGCCGCCCTCGCCTACGGCTCTCCCTTTACCAACGCGACGGGCATCTCGTGGAGGCCCTCGCAGGCCGCCCAGCGCACCTGCGGCCCCATCACTTTTGCCGCGGACCCCAACCTCGATCCCGCAAACTGGCGCCAGTGTGCCGCCCTCTACAGCCACTGGACCTCAGAGAACGGCACCTTTGGCGTCGCAAACGCAGACCACGGCCCCTCCTACAGGCCCATTGTGGGCCAGACCGACTGCGCCCTCGCCGTCGCGCCGCTTGCCTCGACCACGGGCCCTTACCTGGTTGGCAGCAAGGACATCGAGGCCATCCTGCAGCGCAGCCTCCGTGACTTCTCGTACGGCTCCTTGCTCGCCGTCAACGGCACCGTCGACTGCGACGTGGCAAGCGGCGGCCGCGCCCCAATGTCTTGGAAGATCTCCAAACCTGATGGCGTTCAGTAGCCGGCACAAGATTCATATTGTTTGACTGGCGAAATTCATACGGGTTACGGCGTTTTTACTCGGACTGAAAAAGGTACTGGCAAAAGACCATCACTTTTCCCCTCGCATCACGGGCAGCTGTACGAGACGATTGAAAACCCCCTGGCACATTAACCTCGGGCTCATCTTGGGCGCGCCCTCACCAAATGTAACAAGATAGTGCTATTCGCATGTAGATCGAATACTCGTCATATCATTTCTTGTTCGCCTCGTCCCGCCTGTCCAGTAGTGATCGGGAGACGGGGTATATAAGTGCGCGCCCAAGATCAGATCCTCTGGCCTCTTCCCTTGACCTCTACTCTTCCCATGCCTCGCCCCAACTTCCACCCACACTCAACCTCGGCCCTCACTTGGACAGCGCTCTATCTCTCGCAGCCGTCATGCGCTTGGCCAGCTGGTCCCGCAGCTCCTGACACCGCCCGGCCGAGCTCGACCACTTGTTGAGCGCATGCTGCTGCGCCCACCTGGCCTCCTCGTACCTAAACTTGTACTGGTCGAGCTCGCGCTTGAGCTCCAGCGCCGCCCGCACAGAGTTGAAGATGTCGTTTGCCTCCTGGCATCGCTTCTGGGGGCGCCACCGATACTCCTCTTTGATCCGCGCAACCTCGTCGGCGTGCACCGGCGCATGCTCTCGGTGCCTCCCTCAGCTCCGAGTCTGGGCCTCCCTCGCCTCGTCCAGACATTTATCGAGCTCGGCGTTGTACGTTTCCGCCGCCTCAATCTGCTCGTAAAGCGAGACAAAAGTTGCCCTGCTCTGAGGGTCGACCAGCCGCCTCTGCTCGGCAGCCTCCTCCAAGACGGATCCCCAAGCGTTGCACCAGGAGAATACGGGGGAATCTACCGAACCGCAATTGTCGGCATAGGCTCCACGAACTTCACTGTCCCAAAATCCGTCCCGGCCAAGATAAAGGAGATATGCGACAGTTTTAAGCAAGAATTGGCACCCTCCTTGTACTCCCGCTTCGTCTCCTCGAGACGCGTCGCCAGCCGGGAGACGGTGCGGGCCTTGACCTTGACGTATGCGGCATTGGGGGGCTTCTGGCTGGGGCGCCGGGAATTGAGGCTTGGGGGCTCCGGGTGGCTCTGGTCTCGATCTGGAGGACGATGGGGCCGGCCCAGCACCAGAAGACGGGGAGAAGGGCCAGCAAGATGCATCCTGGGCCTGTTGCCGGCAGAAATCCTCGAACCGTTCGAGCAACATCACAGCGGCCAGTTGCTCGTACGGGCTGGATGGCATTTCGATGTCGTCGGCCGTGGGTGCTTGGCGAGCACGACCGAGACACCGAAAATATGAGGCCGAACTCGACGAGGGCCGTGACGGTGCCAACGGCGAAGGCCAGGAGAGCGGCCGCGATGACTCGGAGGAATGCTATTGTCTGCTGGGCTGCTCCGGAACTGCAGGTCAAACGGTGCGTGGGCGGGAAGAAGAGGTGGCTTGGTCCGTCCAAACGTCCAGGATTGAGGGCGGAGCCTTTGTTTACAACCCTGACCTTGTCCTTCACGCTCCGCATGTACGGTATTCCTGCCAAGCTCGTGTCCGCCTTCTTGGAGTTTTGCCCGGCGTCATTCAACTGGGCGTCATTCAGCTGGGCGTAAATCTTGCCAAGCTCGGCGTATGTCTTGCGCATCAAGTCCGAGTTCTGCTGTCCGTGACGCTCAAACTCCAGGCTGCACGCCAGCTTCGATGCTCCGATCGGGAAGCGTCCTTTTTTGCGCCCAAACCTCCACCGATAGAACCGCGCAGGGTCGGCTTCAGCGGATAACTAGTCCTCTGGGAGCCAGCGCCTTGCAAGGTTGTCGAATTCCAGGGCGCCCTCGTTCGCGACGTCCTTGTCGTCTCATGGCTGGCCATGCGTGGCCATCATGGCCCGCGTCATCTCGGCCTGATTGCTCGCCTATCGGTGGCGCAGTCGGGTGGAGGAATTAGGCTGACGGTCGATCCCGTTTGGTGTCTGTGCGACCGGGCCGGCTCAAAGGGGTCCAGGTGGGAGACGGAGCAAACGGACGACGAAGGGCGACAAAGGCAGCATGATGTTGCGAGTCGGACGGGCCGGGGGGAGGATACCGAGTGGGAGGGTGATGAGCTGTTCGTGACGCAAAGGCTGTGGTCGACGTTGCCAGGATTGCGGCCAAGGTGCAAAGAGTGATCAAGCTGTCAGGTCTGTCTTGAAGTGGTGATGCTGAGATGAGAGGTTGATAATGAGAGACAGACTGGTTCAATCAAGAGAGAGAATGTTGAGGGCGAAGAAGATAGGTGATGCTCGACAAAGCCTTTTATAGTTGACGATACGGTTCTTGGAAGCCTCAGGCACCGCCTGCCAAGTGATTGAGCAAACGACGACCCATTGTTGATCATTCTGTGGGAGGGGGTTGACATTGTTGGTATTGTGCGCCCATGGTAGATGAGGTGCGCGATTGAGGCTATATTGAGACGATAGGAGGGCAGTAGGGGCGATGAAAGACTACCGAGAGTGGTGGAGACAATAGGTCGTTGGAGAGCTGTCAAGGTGGTTGGCAGTCGAGGCAATGGATAGAGCAGTGAATCGCGGAGCCATGGATGGAGACGTTGAGACGATGGAGGCTCGGCTGTGAGATGGTACCATGACGGAAACAGTAGCGAGCCGTCGGGGCAATGGAGGCAGTGAATCCAGCGATAGACTGGCAGGGGCTATGGATGATGCGGTGCACGACCGAAGGTGGGGGGGATTCTTGAAGCACTGATTGAACGATGCATCTTGGAGTGCAACGGCGCGGCCAAGAACAATGAATGAATTGGAGGCAGTAGAGACGGTGGCGAGATGGTGGCGAGATGGCGGCCGTGGGGACAATACCGTAGAGAGTCGTAGCTACAGGCGATAGAGACGTGCGTGTGTGAGTGACCAAGATTGGAAAAGGGCAAGCGAGGGAAGGGGGATGAATGAGGGCCTTGCTGCGGTTCTGTGAATCACGCCGCGTGGTCAGCCAATGATGATCGCCGGGCCCCCTTGGAGGACGGTATCGGTTTGCTGGGTGAGTGAGATTGCCGGCAAACGACAGACGTGATGGGCCGCATTTCGGTGCTCCAATCATGTCATTGCCAACGCTAGTCGCTGTTGTTCGCGGCTGATGCTATCCACTTGCGCCATTCTCAAAGCATCCAGAATCAGCCGCTCGCTTGATATGTATCTTGTCTTGATATCCAAGCCAGAGAGGGCAGGGCAATGTGCCAATGACGATGGAATGAGTGATCCGTATGCCGAGTAATTACAGTACAGTCTGTGACAGTACCGCCGTGCTGTAATAGGTAGTATTCCGTACTGTAATAATAATACTCCGTACTGACAAATTGCCAATGCAAGTGCCAATGTAAAACGGCCCAGCGAGGACCGCAGTTGTCGGCAACGCGGCAGCCCTGCCGGCAACCCGCATCCGCCATGACCAATTCACCCGTGAGTCACCGGGGTCAGCAGGCGGAGCGGCGAGAAGCCGACTTTGGCCGAGCCGGGACAGCGTTTGGGGTGGGGCATCGCCTACGCAGATGACGGGTCATGGGCTGCTGCGAATCCCCTCTTTTGGCGTGTCTCGGAGCATCTGCCAGCCTGCCCAGACATGGAGGGCAGCAGATGTGCGTTGGTCGGTACTCCGTAGCTCCGTAAAGACGTCGAGAAGGGCCACGAAAAGGGAAGCGAGGATGAAATGGGGAGCGAAAGAAAGAGAGGCTGGAGAGCTGCATCTCGAATTAGAGAAGGCGGTGCTCTCGCTTCGGATTGGAATCGGCTGCCTTTTGTCACGGCCCTCTCTTCCTTTGTTTGGCCCTTTTTTTCTGTTGAAGGGGGGGGGGCGCATTTCCTTCGCCGTCGTCTGCTGAGACGCGGAAGTCTTTCTTTTTTTGCTTTTGTTCCCCCTCGTCATCTTCGTTGTCGGCATCTGCATCGCCCCAACAGGTCACGGGTGGGCCGTCCACCACCAGAACAATCCATGCCCCGGGTGTGTCTAGCATGTGAGCGGGTTGAGTCGCGGGGTTGTTGGGCGGCAGGCTGCTTGGGTGCAACGTAGCGAGACCGACTTTTCCGCGCGGCGGCGTGCACGTCGCGGCGGCTCAAGAGTCGGTCAGAGGCCTCGGACGCGCACTGCATCGCAGTCGGGACATGCATTGTACATGCTCCATACATACTCCGTACATACATTGGCCATGCTTTTGGTCGGCTGGCCCTGCGCGCCCAGAGCCGGGCCGATGTGGGAGACGCGGGCGGACCGCCGGGCTGGAGAGGCCAGGCATTCGACGACCTTGTGGCCACCTACTTACCTACCTAGGTACAGTACCTACTAAGGTATGTAACTTATGTACATACGTACTACTAAATGCTCGGTTTCGTATTTACGGCATGCATCCCTACGGGTCCAGCTCGTCGTCGTAATTACAGTATATCTCCTCCATCTCGGCATATGCCCGTATAAGCGGCCATGATGACGGTGGCACAGAAATGTCCAATAACGCCCAGCGTCGCGGCGCCGTCGGCTGACCAGCACAATGCGGTGCCTACAGTGCACATCCATCGTATCTCGACTGATCAAGGCTCCGGCAAGAACAGACATCATGGATACGGTAACTCTGCTTTGGCGCTCGATGCCGGGGCCGCCTTGCAGGTTCGGTCGGAGGATTTTGCGGCAGGTACCGGTACCTGCGGGACGGGCAGTTGAGCCTCGACCATGGGGGCCGTTTCGTCATTGCCAAGCGGACATGCTGTATATAGAAACAGGGCCTGTACTGTACCTGTACCTGTACTTGTGGCATGGCCAGGCATCGACATTTCTCATCGCTCTGTTGCTGCACTGCATACTAGGCAGTACTTTAGTATTCACCAGTCATCTCCACCAGTCATCTGGCCGTTCTCCTTGGCCTGGCAGCTCACCGCGACTCTCCCGGCGGCGCTACTGTGCTGGATATGCGCCCTGGCAGCCGCCATTCCCGCTACGGGTTCATACGTAATAGTACTGTACTAACTAGGTAGGTATTGTGCGTACGGAGTACAGTACATACATGCTAATATATTCACTGTACATACATCCATACATTCACAGGTGAGCTACGTCCGTACAGTATCCGTACACGCAGCTTGGCCTTCCTCGAGCAAGCTCGGCGTCAGGCTGCTGACTGGAGGCCCGTTGTCGGCGGCGGTGCCGAGCGGGACATGTACATGTACTTGTGGCTGCACCGTAGGGCTGCCCGCCACGGCCGCGAGCAACGCACCTGGGCCGTGCTCTGGGGAACTTGGTATCCGTACTGTAGCGCCCTGTAAGCACGCCATGTGCAGCTGCCCACGTTTCAGTCGCGATGCATCCCGTCGCCGCGACGTGGTATTATTGCTTACTGACCCGGGCTCCGGAACCGCAATCTGTCCTCTCTTGTGACCCTGCATCTGGGCCTTTTTTCAATCCATCCTCCATCCTCGCCCGGTCCGTGTCTTGCTGCAGTGGAGTCGGCGGGCGCGGTACTCCGTACAGTTCAGCGGGTGTAGGCCTAGCGCCAGCGCTAGCCAAGTGCCAGAGGCCGTCTCCGCACTCTGAGCACTGACGGCCTCCACCGTGGCTGCTGCCAGACAGTGGCGGAGGCGGCGACGGGCCGCGGCACACCCGACGGGGCAAACCCTCTTTTTTTTGGTCGCCCTTTTCTTTTTTTTCGGCCGACTTTGAAACCTCGAGGCAAGGGAGCATGTAGTCTTGGCCTGGCAAGGCATGCCACCATGTACAGTATGTACGAGCTGCAGCATGTATGACATTGGGCGCTGTACAGCACTGTGCCTCTCTCTGTGGCTCCAGCTGTCTTGCAGTCCCTGGCGGTACATGGAGGTACATGCTAGCAAGTGGTACACCTGGCACGGCGATCAGATAGATCTCCGGGTCGGTGACAGCCTCTCGAGTTGAAAGCCAACCGGCGAACAGCGAGCAACTCGTTTTGGAGGCAACCAACGACCGCCAACACTCGACTCTCGCCGCGGTAGTCTGTCAATGTAGGCGTACAGTACATACGTACTAGTAGCTTGTGTATGCTAAAAGTATGCCATGCAGGTGCCTTATTCTTAGAGGCGAATCACGACCCTCGGCGCAGCCAACGGGCTTGGCCCTTTTTCTTCGTATCGATACCTCGTAAACACAGCCAACAACAAGGAGGCCGGCCGGCTGCCGACCGGGGCGCGCGCAGACGGGTGGGCAGGCAGCCGGATTCGCTCCTTTATGTGCAAAAGTAGCCGACGGTACTGCATCCGTACCTACATTGGCTTGCTGTGCTGTAAATAAGACTGGATACTCCGTAGAGAGAGCCAGGGATCATGTGGGCGGTGGGATACTTGGCCTACATAATTTACTGTACAGTACATATTATCTTGCGGCTCGTCCCATCCGTCCATCCATCCATCCATCCATCCATATCCCATGATCTCGCCCGCCCGCCTCCCTCCGTCCGTACATGCATACGCGCAATCCTAATCAACCACCCACCGAATCTCACCTCTCCTCCTTTTCTTCTTGGTCGGCTGGTCCTCTTCCTGACCTCTGCACCTGCCACTCTCACGCCATCCTCTCGACCGACGACAGACATCAGAGACGCAGGCCTCACTCACCCGCACACACGCACCCCCCTCGTGATACTCTCAAACATCTCCCGTGGACGAGACACGCCTCCAGCTCCTCGCTCTGGGGGTCGGCCCGCCAGTGCATTCGTCGCCCGCAACACGCCATCCCCGCCCCATCCAGAGACATCTCACCCCTCGTCGCCCAATCTAGGCCCTTCTCCCTTTTGCTCACCGGCAAATATCAACACCCGTCCCGCCTCCGCATCTGGAGCAATACCGCCCTCGACTGGCCTTCAGCACACTGACCTCAACACCCTCACCTCTATGCACTGCCCTGCCCGGCATCCACAATCCGCCATCATGGCCGCCGCCTCACCCGTACCCATCCGCATCTCCTCGTCTTCGTCCTCGCCTTCGCCCTCGCCCTCGTCCTTCTTCCAGCTGCCCACCCGCCGGCGCAAGCAGACGCGCCTGATGGAGCAGCAAAAGAGCGAGCAGGCCGCCGTCCTCCAGGAAGAGCTCTCCCTGCGCACCCAGGCCTGGGTCTACCTCGAGGACTTCCTCCACAACTCGCAGTGGAGCGACCAGATGGACCGCATCACCATTGTCCGCGACGCCGTCCCCACCATGCCCGAGCTCAACGCCTACGGCGACCTCGACGAAAAGGAGGGCACCCGCGCCTGTCGCCGCCTCTTCAAGGCCGTCGTCATCTGGGACGAGCTGGGCCACAGCCTCTGGGGGACCCTCCGCGCCGCCTCGGAGCAGAGGCAGCTCGCCCAGCGCCAGTTCGAGATGGGCTCGCCGCGGAGGAGCCGCTTCCCCGACGAGCTGCGCGCCACCGCCGCCTACACCTCGCGCCGCCCCTCGCGCCGCTCCTCCGAGGACTCGTATGACTCGGACTACTCGTTTGACTCGTGCGACTCGTTCCAATCGTCGACCAACAGCCTCTCCGGCGCTCCTCCCGTCCCGCCGCTGCCCGCCGCCTTTGTCGCGGCAGCGGCGGCAGCAGCCGAGAAGAAGCCGCGCATCAAGCTGCCCAAGCGCCTCTCGCGATCCTCGGGCTCGGCATCCTCGTCGTCTGGCCGGCCGTCGTGCGAGATGGAGCCGGCCGGCGCCGACGTCCCCTTGTGCCTCGACCAACAACACGACGCCGCGGACCCGAGCGCTCTCGACATGCTCGGCAGATCGCCTCCCCGTGATGGCGACTCGTCGCCCTCGGCATTTCCGAGAATCTTCTCCCATAACTGGGCCGTGAGGAAGCGCCTTGGCGTCTTTGGCGACAGCCGCCCCAGTACGGCGAGCGCCCCGAGGCAATCCTACAGCCATCACCAGTCCCACCAGTCCTCATAGAGTGGGGAGACGACGACGAGGCGGCGGGGCGCGCCGAAAACCCCCGATTTTTTGGAATGTACACTGTGAATTTGGGCGTCGATCTGGACAGCGCGGGCATGTAACGGCGTTGGTGGCTTCACATTCAGGGGCCTGGTTTGCCTTGTTTCTTTATTTTATTTTCTGACGATTGACGATGATGATGCCCTTTTGAGGGGACCGTGTGTCATCAGACCGCCTGCTTGGCAGAGCGTGTTGGCCGCCGCCATGGGCTGGACCCTCTTGCGGCGGTCTAGCGACGGATGGAGCGGACGATCTGCCATTCGACCATGGCCATCTGACAATGGACGGCATAGACACGTTGGACGACGCTGGTCCGTTTAGCGGTCAAAGGCCGGTAGAGGGAGAATGTCTAGTGTAATGAACATTGAATGAACAAGAACAAGCAGTTGGCCGTGTGGCACCGCGGATGGGCTGCTTGGCTTGCTTCAAGCCTTGAACTCTATTGTTTGCTGGCCGAGATGCCATGCAGTCGTTGAGCCCCAAGTCCCTTGAAGTGCTAAACCGTTGTTTGCCCGACGAATCGCCATTCAATCGTCGAGCCCAAGTCCGCCTCGGTAATGGCAATGCATGTGCACGTCAATATCAATATGTGAAAGTCACGGACAACTTGCGGAGGCTCATGCGATGGATATGTGTATCAGTTTGCTGCGACGGAGAAAATCCTCCGCCACGGCCCTGAGGGCGCCGGCCATTAATTAGCTCCAGTCCGTAATCGAAGCCAAGACGCCAACACGAACATGGCTGGAACCGGGGAGCCGGGCAGCGAATCAAGTAGTCAGGCAAGCGTGGCCGTGGTTGCGCAGTTGGTGAGCAATCGATGAGCTTTCGGACAACAGCTGGGTCTGCAGTGGCTTGGGCTACGTGGCAGTCATTTCAGTAGCTGGACAGTAGGCAAGTTGAGCGGCCACCTGATATTTTTTGTTGGTCGCATATGGAGACTGAGGACTTGCCTTGGCCGAGCTGTGCTTGCTGACTCATTCCTAGCTGCATCTGTCGGCTGATCCTCGCGCCTCTCCTAGCTCGGCGGCCACGATTACATAAACACCCCCCAGGTACGACCGACTCTAGGCAATTCCCGGCGCTGCCCTCGTACCTACTCTTCGGGCTAGGTATTCAGCACGCCCGACGACGAAGCGGGTCCACCCTCCACCAGCGAACCTGCGCGACGACAGCTTCATCGTCGACGCGAGAGCTCTTCTTTCGCCTCGATCAGGCTCCCGACTCTCCCCATCGCTGCGGCTTTATCGCGACGCCACCGCATCCTTTGTCTCCTCAATCGCTCGTCCGCTGTCGCACATCTTGCCAGGGGCAACTCAAAACCGTTTGTTTTTCCTCCACGAGTTCATTTTTTTCATTCACTCGAACCGCTTCTAACCTCGACTTTCCTCGCAGCCACTCTCCACTCCGCCTCAACTTCTCCCTCCTCTGACTGCGCGCCCTCTGCGCCACCGCCTTGCCTCGAGTGATGACGACGCAGCCTGCAATCTCCTTCTAGTCTGGTCGTCGTCATGGCGGCTGCAGATGTCGACGTCGGCTACGTCGCAGGTCACCTCGGCCTCGACCAGCCTGTCCTTGCGGCCCTGACGACGGAGCCCACCGTCGACCTCGTCGCCACGCTCCTGCAGGCCGTCGCCGCAAAGGCCCACGAGTTCGACGTCCTCTACGCCGACAAGCTGCAAACCGACATCGAGCTCGAGAATGCCGTCCGCAGCGCCGAGTCCCGCGCCCAGACCTCAAAGGCCACGGCTGAAAACGCGCTCAAAGAGGCGCAGCAAGCTCGGCAAAGCTCAAAGGAACATGGTGCGTCTGCTCAGCGCGAGTTCTCCGAGTCCGACGGCCGCTAAACCTTTATCCCCAGAAATGAAGAGCCAGTCCCTCGAAAACGAGCTGCAGGTTCTCAAGGCAAAGAGCTCCGACCACGAGGCAGAGGTCAAGACCCTTAACGATAAGATCGAGACCCTGCAGTCATCCAACCGCACAAACCTCAGCATCATCGAATCAAACACAAAACGCGACCAGACCGTCGCCGACGAGCTAGCCAAGCAGCACCAGCGAAACGTCGAGCTTACCCGCCAGGCCTCCGCCCTGCAGCAGTCCGAGCAAAACGCAAAGGGCCAGCTCAACAGCGCCAAGTATCGCGAGGACTCGCTCAAGCAACAGCTTGACCTCGCCCGCCGCAATGCCGAGTGGCTCGAAGGCGAGCTCAAGACGAAGAGCGACGAGGCCCTCAAGTACAGGAAGGAAAAGGGTGCTCGCGTCGCCCAGCTGCAGAGAGAATGCGAGGACGCAAAGTCCCAGATCGACGCCCTCAAGCGGACCGAGCAACAGCTTCGCGAACGCCTCGAGTCCATGCAGGCCAAAGCCGACGAGGCTCTCGTCAAGCTCCAGAAGCAGGAAATCGCCTTTGCCACGACCGTCGACAGCTACAAGCAGGAACTCGACGACCAGCGCAGGCTCGTCGACATGTCTGACCAGCTGAGCAAGAAGCACCAAGAGCGCGTGCGGGAGCTCGAGGCGGAAAAGGAACGTCAAAGGGACAACTACGAAAACGAGATTCGCCGGGTTCGCCTCGAGCTGGAACAGGAGAGACAAACGACGTCTCAAATGGAGGCCAAGATCCAGCAGCTCGAAGGCCAGCTCGACGAGCTGCACGCCCGCATGGACCAAGCAGTCCAGCCCAGCTCGGTGCCTCAGACGCCCCGCGCCAACGGCTCCGTCATGGGCCGTCCTGCCTCGCCCTTTGGCCCCTTCGGCACCCCGGGCTCTGTCCGAAGTAAGTCGGCCGTCACCGCCACGCAAGCCATTGAGCAGCTGTTCCACGTCAAGGGACAGCTCGCCAGCGAAAAGAGGCGAAATCAGCAGCTCTCGGAGGAGCTCGACGGCATGATCTCCGCCCTCGAGGCCAAGGCGCCCGAGATCCAAGAGCTTCAGGCGGAAACCGATACTCTCCGCGACGAGATTGCCCGCATGTCGGAGCTGTCCCAGCAGAGCTTCGAGGAGCGCGATATGGCGAGAAAGGCGGCGCGCAAGGCCGAGGGTGCTTTGGGGTCGGCCCAGTCCGAAACAAAGATCCTCAAGACGCAACTCCGCGACCTGGGCACGCAAATACAGATGCTCGTCTTTAGCATCTACGCCCTCGAAAAGGGCGTCGACCAGCTGACCGAGGAAGAAAAATTCCGTCTCCAGCAGCTGGAACAGGGAGAGATCACCGAGGAGGCCCTGTCCGACTTGTCCGACACCCACCAGTTCATCACCCAGAAGCTTGTTGTCTTCAAGGACATCAAGTCCTTGCAGGCCAAGAACCAGGAGTTGATGCGCATCACCCGCGAGCTGGCCGAGCAGCTCGAGAGCGAGGAAGCCCTCGCCGCCAAGCATCAGGCCAAGGTGGATCACGACAAGGTGGAGAAGCTCCAGCAGGAGCTGGATCACATGGTCGAGGAGAGCAGGTCCATCAAGAGCACCATGGAGAGCTTCAAGGCCGAGCGCGACATGTTCCGGCGCATCCTCCAGCAACGCGGTCACGGCGGAGACGAGGCCTCTATGATGAGAAGCTCTCTCGACAGCTCTCAACGCCCTCCACTCGCCAGCATCGAGGGAGACCAGTCTGAGGCGCTCAATGAAGCCCTGCGCAAGCTGCAATCCGAGTACGACAGCTTCCGCGATGCCCAGAACGACGTCCGCACAGACCTTCGCCGGCAGATTGACCATTTGTCGACGGAGAAAAACCAGCTACAGACCGAGAGGATCAAGGTGCATGGTGATCTCAGGATCGAGTCGGAGAGGCGGGAGATGTTGCAGAGCAACTATGTTGCCCTACAGGCCGAGAATGTGGAGCTTCAAAAGCGCAGCCAGGTCCTTTCGGAGACGGCAGCCAAACAGGACATTCGCACGCAACAGGTTGCCGAGGAGCTCATTGAAGCAAAGGGGTTGCTGGACAGCATGAGGAACGAGACGGCCAACCTCAAGGCCGAGAAGAAGCTGTGGAAGGACATTCAGGATCGCATGAGCAGGGACAACGAGGGCCTGATTGAGGAGAAGAACCGCCTGAACCAGATTCTGGCCACCCATCAGAACCTGGAGAACGAACGCAGCGTTGCCGAGTCCGAGGCACGGCGGAAGGCCCAGGAAAAGATTGACAAGCTGGAGCGCGAGTTGAGCGACGCTCAACGCAAGCTGTCTACCGAGGCCGACGAGAGCAGGAACCTGCAGCTGAGAAAGGAGTTTGAGGCTAAAGAGTCCCAGAGGCGGATCGACGAGCTCATGCAGAGCCTGAGCCAAATCCGCGAGGAACACGTCAGTGTCAAGACGACAAAGGATCACCTCCAGGCTCGCGTTGACGAGCTGACGGTCGAGCTGCGGAATGCGGAAGAGCGGGTTGGTCGGCTGCAGCCGCGGCCCACTCCCCGACCTGCGTTGGCATCGGACAACAACCAGCGCCAGCAGGAGCTCGAATCTGATATCCAAGACCTGAACAACGAAGTCTCGGACCTGAAACGCGACCTCGACCTGGCCAATACCAAGCTCGAAAACGCCAAGGCGCAAGTCGAGCAGTACAAGGAGCTGAGTCAGAGCAACGAGGAGGCCGTCGAGGACCTCCGCGCCTCGCAGGACCAGTACAGGGAGGAAATGGAGTCGCTCGTGGCAGAGAAGGAGGCCAAGGTCAAGGAACTCGAACAGCGCGTCGGGGACATGTCTGCGGAGCTGTCGCGGTCCAACAGTGAGCTATCGGCGCTCCGGGACTCCCAGAACGAGGTGTCGCGCAGGCACGGTGACGAAAAAGCCATTCTCCAGGAGGAGCTTGACCGTCTCAAGGAGGACAGCGCCAAGCACGTCGAGGCTGCCCGGTACCACCAGCAGGACCTGCGTGCCCAGGCCGAGATTGCTTCCAAGGCTCAGCAGGATTACGAGCAAGAACTCGTCAAGCATGCCGAGGCAGCCAAACTTGCCCAGCAACTGCGCAGCGAGTACAACGAGCTCAAGAGTCAGACGGCGTCTCTCAGAGCCGAAGCTGAGTCTGCCAAGGTCGCCCTGTCGCAGAACGAGAGCTCCTGGGACGAGCGGCGGCAGCAGCTGGAGCACGAGATGACCGAGGTGACGGCCCGACGAGAGGATGTCAACGCCCAGAACAAGCTCCTTCATCAGCAACTGGAGGCCTTGACCGCCCAGGTCGCAGCCCTGCAGCAGAAACGTGGGGGCGGCGAGGATGACGAGGCCATGTCTCCCGCGCACATTGGCGACGCCCTCGACGGGCTGCGCGAACTCAACAGCTATCTCCGCCGTGAAAAGGAGATTCTCGAGGTCCAGTACGACCTCAAGTCGCAGGAGTCGAAGCGGTTGCAGCAGCAGGTGGAATACATCCAGTCTCAGCTTGACGAGGCTCGTTTGAAGCTCGACCAGGAACGTGCCCAGTCTGCTCATGGTGGTCGCAATGCAATAACCCACCAGAACCTCATGGAGAAGCTCAACGAACTTAACCTTTACCGAGAGAGCAGCGCCGCTCTGCGCAACGAAAACACGCAGTTGAAGGATCAGCTTGCGGACAAGAACAAGAAGATTGAGGTGTTGGAGGGCAAGATCCAACCACTTGAGGCCGAGATTGACAGCCTCAGCACGTCCAAGTCGTATCTGGAAGAGGAGATTAAGCAGATTCAAGAAGACCGCGACCGCTGGCAGAAGCGTACCGAGGGCATCCTCACCAAGTACGGGCGCGTCGACCCGGCCGAGATGGAGTCGCTCAAGATGACCATTGAAGAATTGCAAACGGAACGCAACGCTCTTAGAGAGGGCGAGGGCCCGCTGCGAGCCAAGGTCGCAGAGCTCGAGTCGACCATCAACTCTGAACGCGAGGCCTGGCAGTCCACCCGCTCCAAGCTCACAGACCAATTCAAGGAAAGGTCCAAGAGGCTCACGGGTGAGAAGAACGAGTATATCCAGCTGAGCAACCAGTTGCAGGAACAGCTGAACCAGGTCAACGTCGAGCTTGAGGGAGCGCAGAAGCGTGCGGAGGAGGTCGGGCTGGAGAAGACGGAGCTGGAGAAGGAGATTGAAAGCTTCAGACAGCAAGTGCAGGAGCTTCGTCAACAGGCACAGCAAGATCAGCAGGCCCAGCCATTGCAGCAGGCTCAGGAGGCGCGGCAAGCGCAGGGAGCTCAGCTGGCACCGCAGTCCTCTGCATCGACCGAAGTTGTGGCCCAGCTAGAGCGGCGGCTGGCGGATGCGCAAAAGGATCTGGAAGCCATCAGCGCGCAGAAACTGGGTGCCGACCAGCAGCTGGAGACGTTGCGGACGGAGCTGCAAGCGACCATCTCGGAGCGCGATGAGGCAAGACAAAAGCTGCAGGACGCGGTAGCCACTTCGATGGACGTTTCTGGACCTGCTCAACAACCTGCCCCGGCTCAAGAGGCGGGTAGCGCGACGCAGACGAGCGGCCCACCTGGACTGTCGGACGAAGAGAGGAAATCGCTGGAGGAAAAGGTCGCTGTCGCTGAAGCTCAGGTGGCCGAGCTAGAAGAAAGGGTGAACTCGGCTCAGCAGGCGGCCAAGGAGCGATGCGACAAGATGCGCGACTCGTTGAACAACAAGCTTAAAGAGAGCCGTGGAAAGTTCGACGAGGAGCTCAGGCAGAAGGACGAAGACCTCAGGCTCAGAATCGAGCAGGAAAGGCTCATCTGGCAGGCCGAGAACCAGGGCGCCAAGCCCGCCGCTCCAGAGCAGATGCCATCCACACCAGCCACGGACGGCCAATCCCAGCCGTCACAGGCCACGCCCGCGCCGGGCGGCAGCGTTGCTGACTTGACGCAGCTCGACGACGCCAGCATTCGGCAGTTCCTCGCTTCGAATGCGACGGTCAAGAGCATCATTGCAGCCAATCTTAAGAAGAGGCTCGAAGCCGAGAGCGCCAAGATCAAGGGGGATGTGGACACGAAGATTGCGTCGGCGCGTGATCAGGCCCAGTTGATGGAATCCAAAAAGTCGACTTTGCGCATCAACATGGCCGAGAACAAGCTCAAGGCGGCCAACACGAGACTCGGGGTTGTCGAAACGGCGGCTAAGGAGACGCCTGAGAAGCCAGTGGTTGAGGTGTGGGAGGTTGTCAAGAAGATCCCCGGCCCCGGGGGGCCAGCCCCTCCGGCAACGCCAGTCAAGGCCGTGCCGGCGACGCCGGCTTCGGCCGGCAGCAGCCAACAGCCCGATGCTGCTGCTCCCAAGCAAGCCACGGCGAAGCCTGCCGAACAAGCCGCGGAACCAGCCGCCCAGGAGTCGAAGCCAGCGGAGCCCCAGCAGCAGCAGCCCGCCAGCAGCAGCCTGCCCGCCAAGCCGACCAATCCCTTTGCGCAGTCCGCCAATGCCAACAAGATGGAGCCTCAAAACCCTTTTGCGCTCAAGGCGGAACCGGCAGCGAATGCTTCCCCGGGCAACCAAGTGCCACACCAAAATCAGCAGCAAGGCCAAGGCGGTCCGAGGTCGTCGGGTATTCCCATGCCCCGCGGCGGTGGACGCGGACGAGGAGGCGCCTATGTGCCCCCCGGCCAGCGATCTGGTAGCGGAAATCAAGACGGCGGCCCTGGCAACGCGGCCCAGGCCGGTCGGGGCAGAGGTCGGGGCGGCATTAACCCTGGCGCGACAGAGTTTCAGCCCGGAACCAAGAGGCAAAGGGGCGAGTCGGAAGGAGGCCGAGGGGCAAAGAGAGTGCGAGGAGGCCACTAGTGGTGGTGACCGCACGGCACTTGCCCAGGCGAGGGTGAAGGGAATCCAGGATGAGAATCTCAAGCCATGCGACGACGGCGTGGGTTGGGCTCTGTACTTGTACTCGAGAAGGGGGATGGAGAGGAGACTCACGACGGACGGATGGGTTTGTTGATACACCGTTGCGTCTAGCAAGCATGGCATGACAAGATGTTTCCCTTTTCCTCACTCCTGGGGTCTTTTCTCCCATTGCTACTGTTCCGTCTCCTCATTCCTCGTCTCGTTGCCAGCGATGTATAAGTGCCAGCCAGCTACAAGGTCGCTGCTGCCGAACGGCAAAGCCGCGCCTAGATCTCCATCGTACTTGTTAAATATAATCTCCGCACCAAATATAGATGCACGTCTCGCAATTGGATGTGACGCAGGAATTAAGTAAAGTCGCGATGTGTGCCCAAGTGCAAGTTGGCATGGCTTGGTGTTGTCGGCGGGTCGGTGTTGTGGATGCCGATGTACTTCGTACCGTAATTACTTCGTAGACGACTTCCGAAAAAAAAAAGTCAAATCGTTCAAACTCGCCTCAACCAGCGCCCTCTACCATTCAACTCGACCTCCATTCTTACCAACCTATGCATCGCGGGCTGATACCAGTCTCTGCTATATAGCACCGTCACCGGCAGCACTCATGATTCCGCAGTCGAAGAAGCGCAAACTCCCTGCCGCCTCGGGGCCTGCGCCGAAACGCAGCAGGAGCCTGAAGCCGACGACTCCCAAGGGCAAGGCGTCGACGAAGCGCGCCATCGACGTGGCGTCGCTCTCGTGGAAGCCCGTCGGCGAGGATTTTGGCGGGCTCGAGGTGATTACGGGCGTCGACGTGGTCAAGGATGGGGACAAGGTGCAGTTTGTGGTGAGAGAACGAGACGACGGCGGTGACGAGACGCACAACGACGGCAACGGCGACAAAGACACAGACGGAGACAGGGGCAAAAACACGCACGAACGGCAAGATGAGGCTGAATCTTTTGAGGGGTTTGGTGACGACCCTGTGGAGGGCCAAGATGTCCATATCCGCAAAGCTGGCAGCCGTCAAGATGGTGTGGCGAGCCAGAAAGCTTCGCAACAGGTTGCGAGCCAAGGCGAACCGAAGACGAACAAAAAAGACAAAAAAGACAAAAAGAAGAAACCCCTCCCGCAAGACAAGCAAGCAACCGACGCGACGGCCGATAAAGTACTTTCAAAGCCCCCTGCACACGGCGGGAACTCGTTCGGCGCGCTCGCGGAACTCGCACAAGGGGATCAAGAAGACGACGCCGTCGACCTGGTGGACTGGGTGGCGCTGAACCTGTCGCCGCGCATCTTGTCGGGCATCGCCAAGCTTGGCTTTGCCAAGCCGACGGCAATTCAGACGATGGCGATCCCCGAGATTATGGCCGGCGAGGACGTCATTGGCAAGGCACAGACGGGGTCGGGCAAGACGCTGGCCTTCGGGATCCCCGTCGTCGAGAAGTGGCTCGAGACACACGACGACGAGCAAGCCGCGGACGGCGACGACACGGAAGAGAAGAGTCCGATGGCTCTGGTCCTTTCCCCGACGAGAGAACTGGCCAAGCAGTTGGGCGACCACCTCAAGGCGCTGTGCGACGGCCTCGCCGCGGCACCATACGTGTGCGTCGTGACGGGCGGGCTGAGCATCCAGAAGCAGCAGCGGCAGCTGGCCAAGGCGGACATCATTATTGGCACCCCGGGCCGGCTGTGGGAAGTCATGGACGGCGACATGGCGCTGCAGGAGTCGCTGACGTGCATCAAGTTCCTGGTGGTTGACGAGGCGGACCGGCTGTTCAAGGTGGGTCAGTTCAAGGAGGCCGAGGATATCATCGGTGCCCTGGACCGGCGAGCTCCCGAGGCCGGGGAGGAAGACGACGAGGGCGAGGACGAGTTGCCGCCGAGACAGACGCTCGTCTTCTCGGCCACGTTTGACAAGGACCTGCAGACGAAGCTTGCTGGCAAGGGCAGGTCGGGCACGGCGGGCACGGCCGAGGACAAGATGGCATATCTGATGAAGTGCCTCAAGTTTCGGCGAGAGCCCAAGTTTCTTGACGCCAATCCTGTTAGCCAACTGGCCGACAAACTGCGCGAGGGCCTGATTGAGTGCGGCGCCATGGAAAAGGTAAGCTTCCAGCCTTCCATGTGCAGATGCTGTGCAGACACGACTGCATCTCACTCGGGGTTTTGGAGACGAAGCCTTGCTGACATTTTCCCTAGGATCTCTACCTGTACGCAGTCCTTGTCCTCAACCCCGGCCGTCGCACCCTCGTCTTTACAAACTCCATCTCGGCCGTCCGACGCCTCACGCCCTTGCTGAGCAACCTCAACCTGACGGTGCTACCGCTGCACTCCCAGATGGCGCAAAAGGCGCGGATGCGCTCGCTTGAGCGCTTCACCGAGTCGCGCAACTCAATCCTCGTCGCGACCGACGTGGCGGCGCGCGGCCTCGACATTGACCAGGTCGAGCAGGTTATTCACTACCACGTGCCGCGCACGGCCGACACGTACATTCACCGCTCCGGTCGGACGGCCCGCGGTGAGCGTGGCGGCGTCAGCGTCCTGCTGTGCTCGCCCGAGGAGGTGCTGCCGACGCGCAGGCTGGCGGCCAAAGTCCACGCCAAGCGCAGCTCCACTGGGGCGCGTCGTCAGCACGTCATCCAGGCGCTGCCCGTGGACCGCAAGGTGGCGGCGCGCCTGCGGCCTCGGGTCGACCTGTCGAAGCGCCTAGCCGACGCGGTGCTGGCCAAGGAAAAGGCGCACGGCGACGAGGCGTGGCTGCGGGCTGCCGCCGAGGACCTAGGCGTCGAGTACGACGCCGACGACTTTGATGACGGCGGCCTCGGCGGCGGCAGGGGCGGACGCGGCGGTGGGCGGAAGCGCAAGGAAAAGGAGGCGCGCGCGCTGAGCAAGGCGGAGATGGGGGCGCTGCGGGCGCAGCTTCGCGAGGAGCTGAGTCGGAGGGTCAATCTCGGGGTGAGCGAGCGGTACATTACCGGCGGACGGGTCGATGTGGCGGCGCTGCTCCGGGAGCGCGAGGCCGGGGCGAACGGCATCTTTCTCGGGGGCGACAACCTGGGGCTGGGGCTGTAGAGGGGGGCATAGGTGATGGGCGGATAGACTCACGGACGGAGAAAGAGAGGGCATTCGACAATCGAGGCGGATCATCTATTTATCACGGTTTCGACGGCGCCTACGCAGGCCTGCTTCATCATGTCCCGAAGATCGAGTCAGGCGTGACCGGGACGGGGGGATTGCGCTTCTCAGGCACAGCGCAGTCATTGCAGAAGGACTAGCCCTCTGCCATACCTGAGCTCCGCCGACCCCGGGTGTTACTGTCGGAGGGGGCTCCGGCTTGTCTGACGAGAAGCGTTCCGGACCTGCTGAGACCGCCGAGGGCTTCGGGACCCGCCCCGGACCGACAGTGCAGGTATACCGGGCCAAGGCGCTGTGTGGTTTACTGCTGAGAAGGATGCGATGAGTTTTTTTGACGTTTTCTTGTGCTGGTCGTCCTAGAATACAAACAAACCATCAGTAACTTACCTCGACAGTCAATTGTTTCCGTACGACAATAGGGTGACACCAATGCTCGACTTGCACGGCCTTTTCCGCAGGCTTCAATTTGCCAATGCCGATGGGATAATTATCCTGCGTGCTGTGGAACGCTTGTCCTAGTAATCAAGGCCCGAGTTATGCCGCGTGAGCTTTGTTGGGAAGGATGGGGGCGTGGCATGGCTTTCATAATGACTTCAAGCATGGAGAAGCATCCTTTACCAAGGAACACCACTGTCGAGCTGGGGGACGCCGTTTAACCAGGCAAAGGCGGAAGGCTCCAACAGATGCCTCTATTGGCGCGGTATAGTCTTGCAACTGCTGACAGCCACCTATTTTCGACTCCAGTGGTCCACATGGCTTCTGTCAAATGCAAAATAGAGGAATTCTGATTTTACAATTCAATAGCCTTCGTGTGTTTGGTATACAAAGCCCCTCTCATCGTCTAATAAACAACGCCCTTCAAGTCTATGTGTCCAGTCCCTATATTCGTAAATTCGCTCTCACGTTTGATAAACCAGCCGCATCCTGTCTATCATCCCGCAAACACGATAGCGTTGGGGCTGTGGCGGGACGCATGATGAAATGAGACAAGTTCCAAAGGCAGGAAGCAAATTGGTTGGTGGTCTTGAAGAAATGCGCTGATGCTTCTGTTGCTGTCTTCATGATGGTGAGCTGTCCCAGGCAGGGGGTTTATAGTTGCAGCATTTCACACACAACCATACCCCATCGGTCCCCCTTCCGACTCGAGCTGATCGACTCGTGCTCAGACGCCAACCAAGATGCCCACGACATGCCCCATCACAACCATAGGCCACCGTAGCAAGTACAGCTCACGGCCGTCCGTCGGAGCACAGCCGCAGAGACGCACGAGATTGTCAAGACGAGCTGCATTCGGAGCCTCGTTAACATAAGTTGACCCGATGCTCCGGGCTGTGAGGCGGGATGAGGCTCGGTGGGGGGGGGGCAGCAGAGGATCAACCTCACTGCCTCCATTCGACAGTGGTCTGGCGGGACAGGCAAACCAAATCTCGAGGCCGTGATGATTACTCAACACCGTTCACAAAGCTAGTGCATAACCCTCGGACCAGGTCAGGGGTTCGGGCATCGACGGAGGTTAAGCAGGGACAAGAGTCACAAGACAAGCCGGTTCAGTGGCTCATGGCTGCTGGGCCCGAAGACAAAGTTAATAGCGATGCGGCCCCGTCAGGCAGAGTCGCATTAAGGCTGAATTATCAAAGCGCTCCGCGTTGAGGCTCCAGCCGCCAGGCATTTGCGAAGAAACGTGAAGCTACCGAGCACTTCACAACGCCGTGGGAGGGCCGGGTTTGCCTCGCATACGTGCTTAACACTGCTACCTGTCTGGAATTTGCTGGTGCCTGAACAGGCCTTGTGCTTTACTTCTATAGACGGCTGCGGGGTGTCTTGCTTGCTTAAGCAGCTTGTTCTTCTAGATAATCACCGAGTAAGTTGCTGATGCCATCAACAGTCAATGGATGAATGGTGAGTTCATGACGCCAAGCTGATTTTGAATTGAGGTCTGTTGCACCACGTCCAGAGAGCTATAAAGCCGACAGGTTTATTGGGCAAAGAGCCACGGATGCATGAAGGTGTCTAGAGTTTAGGTTGAAACAGGAAATGTTGCGGCTTTCCGATTTCAGGCAAATACCCACGATATTTCTCTTCGCGCCCATCCCACAAAACCCATCATCTACACGCGGTCTTCAACGTCATGTCAGCTCCAAGGCACCGGTCCGTCCAAGCCATGCTCGTACCCGTTTGGGGGGGGCACGCAGGCGAGATGGCAAGGCCGCGACATACGCCCAGGAAAGGTGCTTGTCAAGGGGCACGTGGTGTCGGCCGCATCAATGATGCAAATCTTCGAGCGCCTTCTACTTTTGCCTGGGCAAGCCATCGATGCCTTTTCGCAGATGGGTACCCAAGGAGGTCACGACCAATCTGACAGGCACGGAGAGACGGCACGAGGATCAAGCCTAGCTGTCTCGTTTCGGGATTTCCGACTCGTCTGTCCTCTTACGCCGAATCTCAATGCGCGCCCCGAGCGGTGGGATGTTGGTGGCGCCGATCCAGCGGGGCTGTGGCCGCTGCGGTAGGCTCTTGAAGTCGTAGTTGAGGAGCAGGTGCGCCATGATGAGCTTGAGCTCGTGCGCAACAAAGAAGCGTCCAGGGCTGGTGAAAGGGGTCGGTAAGCAGCGGTATCCTTCCGAAGAGAGGGGGGAGAGAATGGAGGGTTTCAGGGTGACAATTACCCCCCTTTTAGAGGTTTGCAAGTTGCATAAGCAGGGGTGTGGGAAAGGGATCTCACCATGCGTGTCTCCCGTGGCCAAAGGCAAAGTGCCGATCGCTCGTCGTCACCATGCCCAGGGCCCTCGCTGCCGTGGTCTCCTCCTCGTCGCCGTTGTCGCGAGGAGGCACATTTCCGCTTCCGCTTCCGCTTCCGCTTGCACCGCCACGGGCGCCCTCGCGGATGCGGGCAAAGCGCAGCGGGTCGTAGGCGCGGGCGTTGGAGTGCAGGTCGTCGTCGTGGTGGGTGCCCTCGAGGTTGACGGTGACAAAGGCGCCCCGGGGCAGCGTCCAGTCAAAGTCCGGATGCCGCAGGCCGCGCGGCGCCACAACGACGCGCTCGATGAGCGTGTCGGCAAAGTTGCTGACGCGCTGCGACTCGCGGATCGACGAGTCGAGCCGCATGAGCGACGCCAGCGCCGCCTTTGTCCACGCGCCCCCCGGCGACGCCGGCATGTGCGCGCGCACCTCGGCGCCCAGCACATCGAGGATGCCCTCCTCGGGCGGCGTCGACAGCAGGTCCAACATCCACGAGTGGCCCGTCAGCACCGTCGTGTGAATTGAGGCAAACTCGAGCGGCAGCAGCCGCAGCGAAATGGTGATGGGGTCCAAGTCCGACGTCCGGCCCTCTTTCATGGCCAGCCGGATCAGCCAGGTGATGAAGTCCTCGGGCGCAGCCCAGTCTTTGTACTCCAGGTCCCCGCGCGCCATGCGGCCCATGTCCTCGAGCCGCTTCTCGATGACGGGGCCGACAGTTCGGTGCGCCCGCCGCCATTGCAGCCAGTTGGGTATGGCCAGAAGGCGGCCGACGAACGGGTGCAGGGCCCGCGGACACAGCCCCAAAAGAATGCAGTTGCGGACAACGGTGTCGGTAAAAGCCACCATGGCCTTGAGGAAGCCTTCGTCGCGGCTGACGGCGCGGCCAGCGAGCATCATGTTTGTGACGCGCGGCACAATCTCGAGCCAAAGGTCCCATAGATTGACGCTCACCCACTCGTCCTCGGTGACGTGGCCCAGCGCCAGGCCCGCCGCGTGTTGAATCTCGTCGTCGACGGCCGGGATGAGGCCCGGCAAGTTGCGCGGTAGCGACTTGTGGACGACGCGGCCGCCGAAGCCATCGTGAGCGACCTTGCGGCTGAGGAAGTTGTAGTCGCCGTAAAGAATTTCGTTGTGCGCTCGGTGTGCGCTCAGCACGTCGTCCGGCTGCTCAACCAGCCACGAGACAAGGGATTGCGGCAACACAATGTCCGCGTGGCGTGAGATGGCGGCCGGGACGGCAAAGGGTAATCCCTTCTTATTATACTAGAGACCGTCGTGTTGTAAGAATCTGAACGCCATCTGGCATGACGAAGCCTACAAGCGGCGCGTTCGTACCTTGGCGTAGCCCTCCTCGACCCATGCTTTGTGGCTCGTAAAATAGGCAATGCTATTCCTCAGATGGGCCCAGATTCCATGACCAAAGCCAAAGGCAGGGATTTGCTCCGGGCAGCGTGGCAGCGTCGCAAAGTCGACGACGAAGCACGCCACCAACAGCAGCACAGAGTATCCCGCGACGCGCCCCCACGCCACGGCGCCCAGCAGCTCGGATAGTGCCATGCGGTCGATGCCCGTGCTGCAAGGCTGTAGGTTTATGGGAGACTCGTCGAGGCTCGTGGCGCCTGCTTGTTTCTCTAGGCACTCGTGCGACCCCGGTCGCCTTCTCGGCAGCTTCGCAGTTGTCCGGCCGAGGATGTCGAACGTGCCGCCAAGTCGTCGCGCGCTCGTACCAGATCGCAGCCAACAGTTGTTAATCCAGCCCGGGCCGAGGAAACAAACCAGACAGGATGTGAGGGTGGGACCAAAGGGGGCGATGATGTTTAGCTCAGGTCCAGTTAAGCACGCCTCGATGACGGCTCGTGCTCGGAGAATTGGAGCGACTGCAGCCCTGGCACTCGACCCGGCCATTCCCGATACGTCAACGCTTGTCTTCGTTCCTTCGTGCTCCCGGCTCCAGATCCATGCAAGCTTGGGATTTCGAGTTTGGACTAAGTTACTCCGTAAACTGAGACATCCAGGGATGGACCCCGCGACCAAGAGCCAATGGGCGAGAGAGCACCTGAATGGGATGCAAGACGCGGGGCTCCGAGGCTCTGGACACACGTATTTTCTGACGGCATAAGACAGCAGTCTCTTAGACGGCCCAGAGTCGGTGACTTTGGAAATGTCGTGTCTTTGTGGTTCTCTGTGCTCGGGATCGTCACGCCTCTCATTCGGGCCAAATAGGCGATTTGACAATACTCGTGGCGTCTGGTGGAAGCTATTCCGGGCCCTCGTCACGTCCGCCAAAGTCAGTTGTCCACAGACCAATCATGGCCGACATGTTTCCTCATTTAATCTGTCCGTTAGCCATACACATACATGTCATCACTACATGCAGAATGCGCTCCTATCAGAGCTCTTCGTCTGGCTTGCTGTTGTGTCCGTCGGTGGACATCAGCGGGATGGGCCTGCAGCCGCCGTCGGCTGCGTTGCCGAGCATCCGATAGTACGCCTCGGTGCGGGTCACCGAGTCCTGCACATGAAGCGTCGATATGAGAGAGTCCTCGGTCTGTTGCGAGTCGTTGCCATCGACATCTTCCGACTCCTCACTGGCTTCGGCTCGCTCATCATGTTTGCGCTTCCGCGTCAAAGCCACTCCGTCGTTACGTTTGCTTTCGTCTCCGTCCACCGCTGCCTTGGCTTCTAGCCGACGGTCACAGCCGCCTATTCTCGCCTCCGCTTCACTTGCTTGGCCCTGCGGTTCCAGTGGTTGCGGATCATACCGTGGCTGACACAAGGCGCTCGAGGGCGCCTCGAGTGGTGAAGCATCGCGCGTAAAAGAAAGATCCTTTCTCGGCGTGGAATCTGCCATTTGCGACTCGGAAGCCCGCGATGCCCCCACAAGCGCAACTCTTGGCGCGAAAGCAGCCAGTTTCAGATCATGTTGGAAGACTTGACCGGAGCAAAGCTGGCCAAACAGCGATTCGACGGATATGCCTGCAGCAAAGCTCAAGTCAGCCTGTATTGGTCGTGCAAGAGCCACAAGGAGAGCATGTGCGCAAACCTTCTGCTATCCACTGCTTCGTGTCTACTGTACACGGCCAAATATCTCGTGGTTGAAAGATGCTGACCAGATGGCAGAGCTCGGGATATGACGAGTGCCTCGAAAACGGAAATTGAATGACTCTAGATAGGCCCTCCTCAGTCGACACTTTTGGCGGCTCACTCTGCGGCCAAGGACCTGGGCGCAGATGGGGGAGGGCGCAAAGAGCAGTTTCAAGATCTGCCGACAGCCCTTGTCCAAGTATTGAAGCTGCTAGATTTAACGGTAGTTCTCTGCCTCGTGCGGATGCGTCCCTAATGGCTTCCATAATCCCGTCTCGCTCGGCATCTGTCATGGAGTTGCATGCAGAAATTCTACGCCTGCATCAGCCGTTGCCCGCTTACACCAGCGTCGGGCGGCATGCAACCCACAAGTCAGCCAACGCCGCGGCGTCGTCATCGAAGAGACATGTCAACTCGGCCTCGCGCTCGAGGTCCTCGCCGCCCCCTCCAACGCCTGCCTCGGCGAGCTGCTGGCCATTGGCCAAGCGAGCGATGATTGGTTGGATTGTGACAACGCCCGGGGCACTGGCCACGGCACACATATTGCCTTTTTCGCAGCTGTGCAGCCGGACTGTTGTATCCGAGGTCAAGCAGCCCGGGTGGGGCATGTTTCCGCACATGTGCCCTGTCAATGCCGCTGCCCCGGCAGTCAGATGATTCTCGGTGGTGGGCTGATTCTCCAAAGGCCGGCTTCGCAGGGCGCCATAGAGGTGGAACTTGTAGTCGTCAACGTGCACCTGGCGCACGTCAGTCAGTTCGCATGCCCTCGGGGGCGGAGGAACATACAGCAGACTGAAGCGCTTTGGACAGGGCGATCCAGACATCCTCGTACCCGTACGTCCATGCTTGGAAATGGAAGACCGTGTCTCTTGGGTACCGGGAGACGGTGCGAAGAAGCTCGGCGATGCCTTCTGACTTTGTCTGAAAGGGCACGTCTGCGGTGAACGAGGTGTCGAGGTAAAGCTTATCGAGCGTTTTCAAGCCGCAAGTGTATTCGATAAGAATCGGATTTCTGGCGAGGCAGTCGACGAACCAGGGCTCGCTACGAACGTCTCCAGTGTAAAGTACTGACTTGCCATGTCCCTCAATCACTGAGATGTATGAGCTTGCAAACCGCCAGGGTGCTTGGGCTTGAACCTACAGAACATGACGGCGCCCGGGCAGTGGTTGGCGTCAAAGAGGGTCACCTGAATGCGGTAACCGGGGCGAAGCTCAATGGTTGTCGGCGTTTCAAGGGGCAGCGGCTTCTGCAGATAGAATGTGACCCGTCAACAAAATGCACTGTTCCCGAGTCCCAAATCACGCACCAGAACCCTGCCGAGGTGCTTATACGTCTGCTGCCGGGCTTCCAAGACACCTTTTGCGTAATTGATGCGGCAGGGGTAGCGCTCCAGACGGAGCAGCATCTCCCGTGTTGCCGCAGAGCAGTAGACGCTTCACATGTCAGTTGTTTACACGACGGTCAAAGGCAGCCGCACATACAACGGGGAGCGAAGGCTCTCGAGCCCGGCGAGGTGGTCGCTGTGGACATGGCTCAAGAAGCAGGCCAGCGGTGGTGACGCGTCGGCGTGCTTGCGGAAGAAGTCGACTGGAGCCATATCAGCAATGTTAATGCGGTCAAGGGGGGCTGAGCAGACTGACTCCTGATGTCCGGAAACTCAGCCACGATGCCGTCAAAGGTGGACATGGCCCTCGGCCGCCCTCTTCGCGCCTTCCCCGCGCCCTCCCCGCCTCTGCTCGCTTCTCAGGTCCGGTAACTCGTCAGGGCCTCCAGTCGGGCAGGCTAGTGATTGCTCGAGGCATGTCGGCACTTCATCGAGCTGTGGCTGGCTGTTCTGTTGGTGGAGATCAGGAGATTCGAAGTCGGAGAGCCCACCGCGAAAGAAGGCAAGGGCCTCGACTTGTTGCCGCGCACTGTATGCCGCTCGGCCTCGGATCCGAGATTTACGTCGGGTGGGTTCCACAGTGCGACCTGGAGGCAAGCTCTCATGTTCACTGTGTGGACGGCACGAGTACCTTGCTACCTACCCTACATCAATCAATTTATGTACATTTTGGTAGAGAAGAGTAACATAATTAATTGTTCGAGCTGGAACATGAGGCAGTCCTTGTCTTGAATGAGATTCTCTTACCTTGTGCGACGGATTCTTGGCATCCAAGTTACCAGGTACCGTAAGCCCCTTGCTGAGATTAATGCGAGTTATTCAAACAGATATCGATTTCAGCCGCATTTCGTCAGTCTGAAAACACACGCGCCGGTAACATTGTGCAACAGCTTCGTTCCCGTTCGAAGACACGGTTATTACTGTACAACAGCCGGGTGAAAGGGGGGTCTAATTCGTACTGTACAAAAATATATATGCCTGCTGCGCTCATCATTCGTGAAAATCTCCCTCCCAGGCGACTTGCCCATCTCATGCTCAATCGAAATGAATGCGCCAGAGCTCACGGTCGCTGCCGGCCGTAAAGTCACTCCTGGTATGCATCATCAGTGTGTTGTCGCTGACAACCATGTCGCCCTTCTGCCACACATGGTAGTAGGCCACGCGTCGGTCGTGGAGGGCGGCGTCGATGGCCTCGCAGATGGCCGTGCTTTCACCCTCCTCATGCCCGTCAATGGTAACGCTCGTGGCATCAAACTGCGTCCTGCTCTGCGGCCACGGCTCGTGGTAGCGGAGGCAGGGCTTGCCCGTCGTTGGGTGCGGCACCACCAGCGGCAGGCCCTTGAGCTCCGTCTGGTCAAACGACGTCGTCGACACAGTCCACGTCTTGTCGGCGAGCGAGTCGGCCGTATGCAACGGCGACAGGTATTTGAAGACCTGTGTCGACGACGAGAAGATGGTGAAGCCCGTGTCTCGCGGAGACGCCATGGGCCCGACAAAGAACTGAAATCTGCAAAAAGGCCCCATCAGCACTGCTTCCCGCTTGGAGGCGGCGACGAGGGCGGAATATCAAAGACGTGTGCTTACCGAGGTGGACAGGAGACGCTGACTTCTTCCCCCTTGTCGTTGATTTGCTTTGTCGTCTTAAAGAGCCCGTCGTAGTGAAACGGCATCCATTCGGCAGACAGCACATTGTTCAGCCCTTTTGTGTTCGCTCCGAGATCCTTGACTTTGAGCACGAGGCCAAACTTCCAAGACAACGGCTCGCCAAACTCCCTCGACTTTTCCACGAAAAGCTCCTCCTTGGGCTTGTTGAAGAAGCCGCGCATCACGACGGGCGAGTTCATCTCCGACAAGGCCCGCACCTTCTTGGCGTCGACATCGTGAATCGTCAGCGTGCCGTGGCCCTTGGCCGGCCTCAGCAGCCAGCCGCTGGGGTATATGGGCTCGCACGTAATGCCGCCCTTGTCGTCGGCCCACGAGAAGAGGTCCGACTTTTCGCGAAAGTAGCTCGGCCTGCCGTGCTCGTAGACAAGTTCCATATTATCGTCCTCGTCAAACTCGGACCGCATGCCCGTCACGACGGTGCCGTCAATCTTGATGGCGACCGCGCAATGCCACGGGGTCGTGTACATGGTCGTCGTGGGCAGGAGGCTAATGGAGAGCTTGCTCGCGCCCGTAGACGGGTGGATCGACAGGCGGACGTAATTCTTGTATCTCTCTCGTACGGCTCTGGCGAATGCCTGTTGGGCAGATCACATCACGGTCAGCCATGTCCCGTCGCCACCGGCAAAGGGCGGGCTGGACAGTTTCAAGGACGACCTACATCACCGCGAGCCAACATCTGCTTGGCAATGTACTCGATTCCCCGCTTGTACTTTGTCTTTGAGCGGCCATCGGTGAGGGGAAAGACGTCCTTAAGGTCCGTCTCGAGGAACTTAATGTATCCTCGATACGTCAAGCAGACGTCCTCGTTCTGGCTGACCTCCTTCCACTCCCAGTCCGCGGAGCCAAAGTTGTTGAAGAGTGCCCGGCGAAAGTTGGATGCGTTGGCTACGTAAACCATTTCATCGAGGGTTTCGGGCAAGGAAAGCGAGACAAGGTCTCGAAGACGAGAAAAGACGATGTTATCAAAGCCGCGGTCCGCAGCAATGGCTCGAACGGACTCTCCGTAAGCCCAGACGTCTCTGTCAGGCACTCCAAGCAGGTCTATGCTACGGTTAGTTGGAGTTTTGCGGCGCCGCAGTCCGGCCTCTGGTTTCGAGACGAAAAGGGGGAAACTGACCGTTATATACGAGCCCGTCGGAGACGATGGTGATCTGGGCGCCAGGGGGGTATATGTCCCCGATGGCCTGGCAAAGGCCGTTGAGGTGTGCCAGCGCCATCTCCTCGGCCCGGTCTGGAAGCCGCCCTAGCGTCTTTGTCGAGTTGTTGGGCGACTTGAAGGGGAAGGCGGGCAGACACATGGCAACCACTTGGCCGGCTCGAACGTAGCTGTAGATGGTGGCGAGGAACCCGAGGGCTCCATCGGCGGCCTTGACAGGGACATCCGCAGACTTCTTCAGGCGGTACCGGTCGATGATGTGCAGGATCTTGGACGACGTCTCCAACGCAGCAGTGTTCACCACTGCGGGGAGCGATCCGAGCATGGTTGCCTCTTGGCCAGCATGAGGGCCAGCGGCGTCTAGCACCGGAAGGGCTTGGGGGTTGGGAATGGCGACAGGCATCTTGTCTCTGGCTCGGAAAAGGAAGGGGTATCGAAGGCAAGCAGAAGATGACCGAACAGTTGAGGAGATGAGACAAGAAGGAGAGAATGCTGATGAGAAGCGAGCTGGAGTTGATGTAAGTGAAGGGGACACGGAGGGGTCGATGCGTTTAAATAACCATACTTGCAATGAAGCTCAGTTCCATAAACTTCAATCTACCAGAGTCGAGTACAACTACCGGCATTTGACTACCATTGGAAAAGGCTCTTGGGCCGATACAGGTCACGAAGCATCTCGAAGCGGGGCTGGCTTGCTCTCCCCCATGCATGGATCGCTGCAACGATTGATAAAGGTCGATGATCCCTGCCACTTCCTTTTCATCTCAGTGCTGGTGACCGGTGGGGATAGGGGGACGAGGCGCGCGTCTGCGACGGCACATCCCACCCCAATAACCGGCTGATCCAGCAGTCGTCTTGGTAATCAGGATGTTGACGCGAGCAGCTCACAGGCGAATCGCTCACGTCTCCACGCTTGGGTCTGGCTCGGGTCGACATGTAACGATCCCCGGAGATGTCACCCCAAAAGGGGCAAGTCAAGGAAGGCAGACCCTCACATCAGGATACACTTAGTCACTTACATGCTGCACGCACACGTGCAGGCGCGAACGCAGCAGTAGCCCATCCTTGAGGACCGGGATTTGAATCGCAGTAGCGTGAACACGACGCCGAAGGCGTGAAGACCACGTTGAAAGTGCTCGGTGGACCAAGTCATGGCTCCTCCGGCCTGCCTCGGTATAGGAGGTTACGAAGCATTTGGGACTACGAGTACGGCTGAGGTGCCAAGAGGTGACTACTATCCCGCACGTCCACAAAAGACATGAGCGGGATAACAGAGTTTCATGTGACGACGCCTGGCCCGTCAGGAGGGCGTCGCCTGCCAAGCGCGCTCTGGGGCATGCAAGGATGGGCCCTGAACGATCAGGGTCCCCGTCGTCCGATCAAGCCGAACTGGGGCAAAGCACCCCGGTGGACCATTTACTACGCGGCCACACACATACTGTAGGTCTAAATAACCCGTTTCATGGAGTAAGCGCCTTGCTCGTTGCCCGAGGTGCTGGCCCTTGGCCGAGTTGACGTGGCTCTGCATTGATGCCATGATGGGAAAGGGGGGGAGACGCTTGGGCTCGCCCCGCCCACGGACTGTCATCTCAGGTAGTGTATGAATATGTATGTCGTGCGTGTAGTCGCAGTAACACTGCAGCGTGCATGTAGCTCCATGTACGCAGGATGCATGTGATGGGAAAGCAGAGGCTAAGAGTCGGCAGTCCATGGTACTCTGTCTGATTGATATGCAAACCACGATGTAGAGGGACATGTTATTCTGCCTCTCCAGTCTCCACTGACACGGTCAAAAGCGTCCAGCATCCAGATCGGGTGAGGCATGGCGAGCCTGAAACAATCTGGACCGCGGGCTTGACTCGGCGTGGCCGCCTCTACGGACTGCGGCTGGACGTGTTGGCCGACTTTCACCCCGAAGAGGTCTAATTAGTTCTCGGCGCTGCTCGGAATAAAAGGATGATAAGTTGTAACTAGTAAGCTTCTCCAGACAGACTCCAAGCGCCCTTGCAGCAGCCGGCGTAAGCCTCATTAGCTGAGTCAGTTCGATTCGGCTCGATCCAGGACAATCCAGTTATTCGGCCCAGGACCGTCGTCTACCCTCCCTCCAGCCATGCTGTTACGCCACGTATTATTACCTACACCCGCCTTGACATGAACCCCACGATCTGCATACCCAACTGAAACCATTGCCAGTCTAAGGACAGGACCGCAAAGCGCAGTGCGCAATTCAAGGACAATATTCAGCGTTTGTCATCTCGTGCATAAGGAACGGGGTGGGAGTCCACAAGCTTGTCGCCGGCACGGATGAGGCATGCGCAAATTTGCATCGGAGTACCGTCCCCTTTCATTCATGCGCAGATACTGAACATATCATTGATAAGTTATTACCTGGCCTGCTTTTCATAAAGCGGCCCCCTGCACCTTACCGGCAAAGTGAGCAAGAGGAAAAGGCAAGAGAAAACGTCTCGCTCAAAACCGGCATCAAGATGGCCGTCGAAGCAACACATGACCATCAGGCTGTTGGCGTTGCCATCGTTGGTGGTATGCCATTCTTCCTCCCACACCTACCTATACAGTCGCCACAATCTTCGCCCTAGTGTTGGGTCGATACTCTCCAGTCTGCTAACGTTGCTTCACCCCGGGCTGCAGGCGGACCAACCGGTTTGTTCGCCGGCCTGCTCCTCCATCGATTGGGAGTCTCGGTCTGCGTCCTTGGTACGTCGCAGGCAGCTCCACCCCGTTCCATGCCGAGACCAAACTCTCTTGCCACTCCACGTTGGCGACGGCGCGGAGGCTGACACTGAGTTTCTCGCAGATGCCAAGCCTAGGAGCCTTGAGCTGGGGAGGGCAGATGCTCTGAACGCTCGAACGCAACAGTACTTTGAAGTGGCCAAGATTCTCGAGGATCTGCTACCCCTGGGTCTCAAATGCAGCAGTGAGTCTAGGCAACCCTTTAACCCATGCGGCTGCCCCATTTGCCAAGTCCCCTGGCTCCCCGAGTCCCCAGTCTCTTTTGCCCTTGGCTTCTCGAATCTCAACACCCCTCTTCTCCGAGACTTCGCCTCATGTAAAGCCCGATCACTCCGTGTTCGCAAGTGTGTTCCGCTGGCTGGGTATACCTCTGCAATCAGCATCAAGCACACCAGACAAATCTTGACTGACGACGCGAGCTCATTCGCACCACCCAACAGCAAGTTCCACCTTTGGCAATGGCGAGTTCAAATCACGGCAGAACAAGTGGTGGGTGAGCCTCGAGCACACGCTGCACAAAAACTTTCTCATGCTCGGCCAACCAGTCATCGAGAAGCTGCTGAGCAGCGAGCTGGGTGACCTTGTGCACTACGGAGAGCAAGTCGTCTCTATTTACGAGCACGACGAGAGTGTTGACATCATCACGAGCTCCGGACGTCGAGTTCGCTCCCGGTATGTCGTCGGCGCAGACGGCGCTCGCTCGGCGGTGCGCAAGCACATGGGCGTCACTTTCACCGGCACCAAACCGGAGATGGTGTGGGCGGTGCTCGATACCTTCATCGACACGGACTTTCCTGTCTGCCCGGAAATCATTACGTTCGAAATCGACTCTCAGTCGCGCGTGTCTTGGATCCCGAGGGAGCGAGGGCTATCCCGCTTTTACGTGCTCCTGGACGGAGAAGTCACCCAGGAAAGGGCGCAAGAGTCCATCAAAAGACACATGACTCCGCACCGAGTCGAATTTCAGAGAACAGAGTGGTATAGCACTTTCGAAGGTACGTTCATCCCCAATGTGTTCAGCGAGTGTAATCTCGCGAACCATCGACCTGACTTTGCACTTGTCCACAGTCAAGGAGCGCGTTGCGTCATGTTTTATTTCAAAAGACGGTAGTGGGCGCATCATCCTGGCCGGCGACGCTGCGCACGTTCACTCCGTCAACGGAGGACAGGGACTGAACACGGGCATCGCCGATGCCTTTGGCTTGGCTTGGCGGCTTGCTGCTGTGGTCAACGTCCCTTCGAGCCTCAGGGCAGACGCCGCGGGCAAGTTGCTTCTCAGCTACGATATCGAGCGGAGAGGCACGGCGCAGGGAGTCGTTGACGTTGCCGCCGCTCTGGTGCGCGATACGGTGCACGAGGCGAAGCAATATGTCGGGACTATTGAAAAGAATGCGGTGTCTGATCATTTGTACGATAGAGCGCACATCGCAGGAGGGTATCACGTGCGTCAGCAGGGAACAACGTTTACCCGACACGCGCACAACCTATCAAACCTCACAGCATGGTCTAGATAGCGAAGAATAACAAGAACAACACGATCATCGATCAAAGACCCAACTGAGCCTCAGTTAACCTATCCACACTGATCAGTTGTTACCTGGCTGGTAACCTCAGAGCAGCAAGATAGAAGAGAGTCTTTCTAAGCATCATCTGCATCAGATTGCCCTGCGAAGTTAAGATTGCTAGAACGCGAGACTGACTACGAAGACCCGACCGGCGCCCACTCTATTCAGTCAACCGTGCCTAGTTGTTTGCCTCAGCCGCTGACCTCTTAGGCGTGCCCTATCGCACATACAAATCTCTGGTATCCCGCTTGATTATCAGCTTCATTGATCACTCTCGATCAATTTGACCTCTCTTGACACCTTCTTGCCCTATTCCTCGCAGATTTTCCTGTCAAGCCCCATCCGACATCATGAGCAGCAGCGCAAGCGGCACCAGCGCGAACGCGAACGCACCGACGCTCGACATCAACGAATTCCTCGATATTGCTGAATTCAACCGTGGCCTCGCCACAATCTTCAACATGGACCTCTTCAACACCCCAGTCAACGAGACTTCCGATGAGATCCACTATAATACCTTCGTTCTCGCCCGCATCGTTGATTATAAAGTCTCCTCAACATGTCAAGGTCTCGAGCTGCTTGGATCATTCCAAGAAGACTTTGAGGATTGGGAGGAAGACGACTTCAAGAAGGTCGATCCAAGGGTCCGTAAGGTCCTACGGAATACCCTAAGGTTCAGAGGAATCTATACAGGAAAGCTGAACGCAAAGATCACGGCATTCCTAGTAAATCTGAAGAACCGTGACCGACTTCCTGAGTGGGATGAAGACGATCTTCGTGATGCCATCTTATACGAGAAAACGGCCGCCTACCGACGCCAACAAGAACTCCTCAGACGATCGCCATCGCTAGCAACAACCCCAGCACCAACCCCAGCACCAACCCCAGCACCAGTCACTCCCGATCTAAACCTCCCGCAAGACCCCCCCCCAATGACCAATCCCTACCCCTGTCACGATCGAATCAACAGCAGCAGGAACTTATGATCAGACCAGCTATCGACCGCGAAGCTTACCGGACCGTGCCCCCCAGTCCAGGTCCCCAATGAAGACCTCGATCCTGCCATCGCCAACCAGTTTTCTAAGCTATGGGATCGAAAGCTCAACTATTCAGGTGACGCCTACGATATCCTAGATGATAAGATCCGTTACTTTCTCGATGCCTGCCTCACAGCTAGCATCAAACCGTCACAATTCCACGCTTTGCTCTCAAATATCCTCACGAAGAGAGCAAAGAACTTCTTCGTGCATCAAGTCAGCCGCGATTCAACGTTCGCGGAGATGTATCAGAAGATGAAGCAGCACTTTGATACGGAAGTCAATAGGCAACAGTATCACACTGACTGGACCTCGATCAATTTCACACAGCTTCGGAAGGAATCTCCGAGAAGCCTCTCTGTGAAATCCTCCAGGCTCTTCTTGACAAATTGCAGCTATGCCAGAGAGCTCTTGGGAATAGCTATGGCGGCGAAGACCAGCTAATTTCAACGACAATTCGAGCATGCCGTGGCGTGCCTGAATTAGAATTCGCCCTCTTCGTGCCGGCTAAGACCTTCGAGGGACTATCTTCACAGCTAAGATCGTCACTCACAACCGTCAGCCAAAGACAGCCCGGACAGCCCAGTCAATATCTTCAAGATCAAGACCAATTCTTTACTGACCGCCGCTATCAGCACCCCGCTGACAAAAGGAAGAAGTGGACGAAGCGCTGCTACGTCTGCGGCAAAGAAGGCTGTTTTTCAACGAAGCATCCGGATGACGAGAGAAAGAGGGCCACGAAAGATATCTTCGAGAACGAGGATTTCACGGCCAGAAGTCATCTTCCCGTCCATTTACTACGTTCCTTGCCGATTACGAAGGGGACCCAGATGAAGATCAGACCTCTGATTCTGCTGACGATGACTCTGACGATCAAAGCGATAGCTTCTTTGCAGCTGCCTTCCTATCTAATAGAGCTTTTCGCCACCGCATTCACACCGTCGAGGGAGAATCGATATGCGAGGAATCACAGCATTTCTTGCTCGATCGCTACAACCGGACCTCTTTCCAAGGGATCCTGCCTGACACGGGTGCAGCGAAGATATCTACAGCTGGGATCGACCAATTCCGCGCGCTCCAACGAGAGATGCCGACGGTCCAGCTACGGAAGAATGCGACGATCGCAACGGTCAGATTCGGTGGAAACGAGCCGACGAACACGATCGGGATCACAACAGTCATTACCCCGATTGGAGAAGTCGTTTTCCACGTTATCAATATGTCAACGCCCTTCTTGCTATGCCTCAAGGATATGGACCGTCTCGGTGCCTATCTCAACAACGTCACGAACGAATTGATCTGCGGCGATAAGAGGATTCCGATCGTACGCAAATGGGGTCATCCGTGGTTCTTCCTACGGAAGGATGAAGCCGCTATTGCCTTCCTATCCGAAGCCGAGCTTCGGCGCCTACACACTCGCTTTGGCCACCCGTCAGTACACAAGCTACATAAGCTACTGACAAGCGCTGGGCATGATGTTGAATTCGAAGCAATCGCGATGATCCGAAAATTCTGTCATTTTGCCAGATCAAGGCAGACGCACCGCGCAGGTTCAAATTCACGTTAAAGGATAACTGCGATTTCAACTACGAATTGATCGTCGATGTAATGCATCTTGACAGCCGGCCAGTCCTTCATGCCGTTGACCTAGCAACCTCTTTCCAAGCCGGACGATTTCTTCAGAATATATCGGCTAAAGAGACGTGGGAAGCACTCAAATTGTGTTGGATTGACACATACCTAGGCCCTCCAGATGTTATCACGCACGACGCTGGTACGAATTTTGCCTCCTCTGAGTTCCAAGCAGAAGCGAAGCTGCTAGGAATAACCTGTCACCGTGCCCGTCGAAGCCCACTGGTCAATTGGCAAGGTGGAGAGATATCACGCCCCGATTCGAAGGGCATACGAGATCTTGAAAGCCGAGCTAAAAACAGCATCAGCTGAGTCGTTGCTTCAAATGGCCTTCAAATCCGTCAATGATACCGCCGGACCTGACGGTCTAGTGCCCACACTACTAGTCTTTGGTGCCTACCCTCGGATAACGATGGATTCGCCGCCTTCTGCTTCCGCGATCACACGTGCGAAAGCCGTGACGAAAGCTATGGCAGAGCTACGCAAGCTTGTAGCTAAAAGGAAGGTCAATGACGCCCTCAATGCCCGTAATGGGCCCAACACGATTGAGAAGATGCCACTATCATTGCCGCTTGGTAGTGAAGTTCGAGTATTTCGTGAGAAAGGAGGATGGAAAGGCCCATACAAGGTCCTAGCTGTGACAGACACAGAGGTCACAGTTGAGCTAGACAACGGGCCAGCTAAATTTCGCAGCACGGCTGTCCAGCCCTACTTTCGCCACCCGGATTCGCAGCAGCAACGAAGTCACGATGTTCTACAGCAGCCACACGCTGACAATCAGACTGCTGACAATCAGGCTGATAGCATCAACGTTGAGACCGAAGTGCCTAAGCCATTCGAATATCCCGAGCCGGAGAGACCACGCAGACGCGGCAGACCAAGAAAAGTCCCTCGAGATCAGCAGCAATACGATACCTTCGTTCCTTCTAGTTATTTCCTTAGTCTTAGCCCTTTTTCGTTACCTCGATCTCAATTTTCACCCGCTAATATGTTTCTATCGCATAAGGAGTGCGCCGCCCTCGACCTTGCCGTAAAGTTACGTGCAGAGAAGAAAATCACTACCGCCGGACGACCGTTTGAAGCCTCTGATGACCTCGAAATCACGAACCTGCTAGGCGCAGGCGTCATCGTGCCCGAACGATACGATATGAATAAGCATGGAAAACACAGGCTATTCAAGTCACGAATGGTCCGGGAGGTCAAAGGCAAGAACACTGCTACACCGTACGAGAAGTCTCGTCTTGTGGTACAAGGATATGGTGACGACGAGAAGCGTGAGATCCTCACGCAGGCTCCAACAATCTCCCGTCCTGCCCAGCGGGTAGTACTCGCTCTTTCCCTTTCCTTTGCTCTTTGAAGATGTCTCTTGCTATCCGAGACATTACGATGGCCTATACGCAGGCATCGACCACTTTGAATCGCACTATCCTCATCTCTTTGCCACACGAATTAAAGAGAGATACCCAGGGGAACCATCCTTCGTGTGGTCAAGCCATTGTACGGAATCGCTGAAGCAGGCGCTCATTGGTTCAATACGTATCATGAGCATCACCGCATCAAGCTACAGATGGAGCCGTCAACGTTTGATCCATGTTTAATGATAACGACCGCAGAGATCAACGTCACGACCGCAGAGACCAACGCGGATACCGCACTTCAGGTTAATGCCTTCGGCGTTGCCGCGCTTCAGACTGATGATACGTTATTGGTAGGCACAACAACATTCCTGCAACGTGAAGACCGCGAGCTATGCTTCCAAGCCAAGCCAAAGAAGACCCTACGAGAAGGCGATACCTGTGATTTCAACGGCAGCCTCATTGCTCTAGAGAAGGGCTATCTTCTAGTCATGCAGAAAGGTCAGGTCAACAACCTCAAAATTATCGATCTATCCACGGAAGATCGGGCCCAACGATACGTGGAACAACGTGCCCGTGGCGCCTATATAGCCTCAATTTGTCAACCAGAGGCTAGCTTCGATTATTCAATCGCGGCACAATCACAAGATCCAACCGCGGAGGATTTTCAGGCGTTGAATAAACGGATCCAATGGCAGATCGACAATCCACAAAGAGGCCTTCGATTCGTCCCAATAGGTCTAGAAGCAGCAAAGGTCTTCGTCTTCACAGACGGATCATTCGCCAACAACAAGGACTTAAGCTCTCAGATCGGATTCGTTATAATCATTGCAACCGAGACTAAGTCAGATGAGTCATTCACGATCCACGGAAACCTGATCCATTGGAGCTCGACGAAGTGCAAGAGAGTCACCCGCAGCGTCTTGGCTTCTGAGATATATGGATTAGCTTCAGGCTTCGATTTGGCATATGTGGTTGCAGGGACGATCAACCAGATTACAAGCCGCCTTGGATTACCGCAAATCCCGCTCGTTGTGTGTACAGATTCGTACAGCCTGTACGAGTGCCTAGTGAAGCTTGGCACCACCACGGAGAAACGTCTGATGATCGATATCATGGCGTTGAGACAGGCCTACGAACAACGCGAAATCACCAACATCCGCTGGATCAACGGAGCGGATAACCCGGCCGATGCAATGACGAAGCTATCTCCAAACGGGGCCTTAACCCGATTCGTTAACGACAACGAGATCACGATCCGGCTCGAAGGCTGGGTTCAAAGGAAGGAAGATATGACCGCATGATTGACGATTTTGATTTAAGCTTGCTATCGATTGTTCCTTTGTGTTGAGATACCCGTTTTACATGTTGTTTGGGTGTTACGTTTAGTGCGTTTTGTTCGATTCTTAAAGAGATGCCAGTGTCTGATCATTTGTACGATAGAGCGCACATCGCAGGAGGGTATCACGTGCGTCAGCAGGGAACAACGTTTACCCGACACGCGCACAACCTATCAAACCTCACAGCATGGTCTAGATAGCGAAGAATAACAAGAACAACACGATCATCGATCAAAGACCCAACTGAGCCTCAGTTAACCTATCCACAGCGGGGTACATTACGGGTGAGTGCTGCCTGTGTCGTTGCGCTGCTTCGTGTCTTGCTTTAGACTTGTTTAGCTGACAGTTTGGGGATTGTTCCTATGACGCAGGCATGGGCGTATCTTACACGAGTTTCGACTCGCCGCTTGTTTGGGAGTCCGAGTACGATATCTGGACGGCGGGATGCCGATGTCCTGATCTCATCCTGCAGTCACTCGACGGCAGCAAGAGCACAAGGCTCTACACCGAAGCTACCTACGGCAAATATCTGGTGTTGTTTATCGGAACCCACGCCAGCATCGACTTTGGGCATCTGAATGTCGCAGTGCCGTACCAGGTCCGCCCTCTGGCAGAATCAAATCTAACAAATGGGCATGTGATCTCGGGATCAAATGGATTTCAGGCGCCAGAAGCAGAAGGTGGCAAGATGTTCAGGGCAGATTGGGCCAACCGGGATGATTCGTTCGCCGTCGTGGTTCGCCCAGACATGTATATCGGTCGTGTCGGCAAGGATGCAAACAGCTGCAGGCTGTTCTTGGACGAGATCTATGCCTGAAAAGAACGCCAGAAACAAGGTCCACGGTAGAGGAAACATCTGGGAAACAGGGCCTTTGTTTTTTCGTACAAAAATATCACTACTGCATGTATCAAATGGGACAATACCGAACGACTACGTGTGCGTAAACAAAAAGAGGACATTTTCAGCAACTGCATTGCTTGTGCGATCGATATAAGTGTGTTTTTTCTGACAACGTCTTAAGGTGCCACTCAGGTTGCGCCTGAGACCGCATGAAACTTACATTGGAACAGTCCTACTAGGGGTCTGTCCTCGAGAACATATTTTGAACGAGACTAAAAAGCCTCCCATGGTGTCAGCGGGACCAGCGATCCGGAAATGTAACGGTCGATACCAGATTCAGGAGCGATGTCGGTCGGCGGGGAGTTGTCGCACCAAAATTAGAAAATCAAAGGTTCAAGACTACCCTATGCTGCCACTGTTCTCTCACGTTCCCCTGAATTCAAGCTTCTCAATGCCATAAGGCTGCTCTTGTACGGTCGATACCATTGAAGAGCTACTAACAGTGTCCCCCAACTGCCGTGTATTCGTATGCAACGAAGACAGCAGGTTCTACATGTAGGATGCTTGCTCCTAGAAAAAAGGCTCAGTAAAGCCATGAATATAGATCCTCCAGGCTGCGATGTGAGCAGTGATGTCCAGCTCGGTTCGGATATGCACGAGTCTGCGAGCATAAATGGCGAAAATTACCAGCTCCTTTCATCCATAGTTATTTTAAAGTCAGGGCGGCAGGGTGAACCAGGTCTCCCTGTGTGTGTATACGAGGTTGCCGTTACGTAAAGTCTGTATACATTGACGATTCATGCACGACATGGTACAGGTGGTTATCGAGACCGCACACCGGGTTGCCCGGCCTCACCGTTCGGTTGATGTAGATGGTATAATCCATGTAAGAGTGAATCAGATGCGCGACTACTACCATCCTTTGACACTACAATGGAGATGGTTCGTCCAGAGGGCTCACGAGATCATGCTGGCCGAATGTCTTACGGCAGTTGTTTGTTTTTCCCACAATGAACTCGACAGACATTTCTGAATCGCAGTTCGCAATCCTGACGATCTTCGCCTAGCATGGAGCGCCAATTGATTCATGCAATCAGATTTCCTATGAATAGGGTGGAGGAGAATCTGAAGAACTCTACCCCGCCCTGCAGCTTGTTGTTTGTTTAAGCATGGTATGCGCCAATGCTGACGATGAGGTTGTGCAAGTAGAGAGCATGCTGAATCGACTCTATATATATATACGCACCTGAGACTTTGCGCCACCACATCTCCGTCAGACTGGCGAGAAGGCGCGGCGCGTACGTATGCTCATTGCTTCCTGGAATCATGGGCGCATGCTATCGCTACTGCCCCCGGTCATTCGTGGGAACCGAGAGCGGCCATGCCCGTATACACGAAATCTTGTCTCACGACCTATTTCCTAAGTAGTAAGAGCCGTGTTTCAGCAAGATCAATGCCGAGCTGGTTACGCAAACGAGCTAGGATATGAAGGACCAAAACAAATTGTCGCCACAGGCCGCCAATGGTATCAATGCCGATACCACGAAAGCAATCCGCCAGAGCGACGACATCCCCAATGCACGACGGAATACGTCCCCTGGGGCCGGCTTCCGAAAGGACAATCCAGAAGGCAGGGGGAGCCATGACTATTGGTCTTTGGCTCAGCTGCGGTCCAGGGCGTTTTGAAAAGTAAACCCCCTTGGGCATCTCTTATAGGGCCCGAGGATGGAAGACACTTGTCGGGCATTGATGATTGAATGTCATCTAGATTTTACAATTCCACACCCTTGTCCATTTCCTGGGTGTAATGAGAGCCACCTCGCCAGCTCTTCCGTCCCCGTAAGCCCGTGGACATGAGCCACGTCGAGACTTTCGAAATCCACTTTGAATCTATGCCGTCCCCTGTGGCGAGTAGCTTGGTGCCGAAATACGAAGGATATGCTGGGGGAATATACACCTGCTAGGGAAGTCCGGCTCACATGAAACATCTGTGGGGGAACTGGAGAGACGCGCGGCCTACACAGCATGGCTTGCCTTGGCTACCTGGATGTGGATGTAAATAGTAAGGTATGGGTCCATCGTGCTGAAATCACCCCTCCCTTGACAGGAAGAAGTATGTACTTTATACGCGTAATCTACATTATTTTACCCGTTTGTTTCGTCCCTTGGCCACTTGTCTTGTCCAGTCAGGCTCGCACTTTAGTGGGGGTCCACTTACCCTATAATATGCGTTGATAACACGTCCAATGGGGTGCCCCTATTTTTCCTGGTGTAGCGGTATTTTAAGCAGCTTGACATGATCATTATGCGTACGAGAGGAAGGCTCGCCAGCCGCGGCTCGCGCAAAGAAGCCTTTCGGAACGAAATTTGGCGACAAGAGAACCGGAGAAGAGTTGGCTACAGAAGAGAGAGAGAGAGTTGGCGACAGTAGATAGGAGACAGGAAGAAGAGTGAGGTCGAGATACGAGACACGGCGAGAGACGTAGAGCATTATCGTGAGTGAAACCGAGACAGAGCGTCGGGAAGGCAGGCTAGGCCGCTGGAGGAAAATTTGGTTTAAAAAGGCGCAAACTCAAAGGGCGTGGAGAGACGGCAGGGTTGAAGAGAGATGTGAGTGGGTAATGCATGTCTGGGCGAGTGGAAGGCTCGGAAAATTTACATGTGCTACCGGTATAAGTCGTAGGTATAAACAGAATAAGGAGTATATTGGGGAAGTTTTGACTTGATCGTCTTCATGAAAAGGAGAACAAGAAGAGAAGAGAATGTGCTATTCGAGCCTTTGGCAGTTGATTTTGAGGATGATGAGACATGTTGTCATGTTGTATTGTTTCGTTTGATGCTTTAAAGTTCAGAGAATATTCTTGGGCGGACGTCGGGCGCGCAGTGGTCGGGAAGATATCGACGCGGGAGGTCTGATAGAGCCAGAGGCGGATGTGTCTTGGTGATTGACCTGTTCGGTGTCCGTCTCTGACTCTGCGGGTCTTCCGGGGACAGAAAGGAGGAGGTATCGGATTTGGGAGTCTTGACCGTCACAGTCGGTGATTATGGTGGAAGTTTCGGGAGAAAGTCGCGGTCTCTTGGTTGGGGTTTGGTAGGGATCGGGCAATGACCGACTTGATGCCAGCATAAGGGGATCGACTGGGCCAGAAGCATGCGGCGTGGGGGAGGCGGGGCTTTGGGCGGCCTTGGGTTTCTTCGTAGAGGTAAACCTGGCCAACGCAACGCTATAGTCCGAGGGATTGCCGACCGCGCTCTTGGGTGTCGTCGGCAGTAGTTGTGTTGCAGAAGCCTGGCCGGACATGGCCTTGTCGTGGAAAGTCCACGTGTCGGGGACGACGATGAAGATATAGTCTTGGTCGAAAGCCGGGGCATGTTTCATGATCTGGTGATCCAGTAAGCCGGCGATTTTGCCCGTACAGGTGAAGAGAGCGTTCGACTGGAACTGGCTGTCGCGCCTCTCGGTCATATTCTTGCATAGGAGGTCCAAGGATTAGCGTGAATGGGGAAGATGACGAAAACTTGGAAGGGTGAAAGCCCTTGAAGGGGTTTTGCCGGGAATCCCAGGACAAATAAAGGTGGAGAGCTGGACAAAGCCGCAGCAGCTCAGCTGGGTGTCGTCAAGGGCCGCAGCCGAGTTTCCATGCAGGAGGTCGCGGCCGGAGCCGATGACAGGTCCCGTGAAGGAGACAATGGGTTGTATCGTTGGGAAAGTATCCACCGAGCTGAGGTGCGAGTGACAATTCTATGGATATCGTCAGGGAGGGCAGTGGCGACAGAGAGATTTGGAGCATAGACTCACGGTTGGTAGCTGTGATCGCGGACTATAAGCGCGGGGACGGTGTATTCTGTGATGTTATCATCGTCCGACTCCAAGCCATCACGTCGCTCGATTTCCCACGTCAGGGCAAAGGGATGAACACGGCCGACCATGAAGAACCATTGCTCGGTCCATTCCGAGGAGATTATCTGTTGGTTGTATATGGAAATATTAAGGCTGAAGAAGATGCAGGTCGATGGATTGCCAGTATCTGACCGGATTGCTGCATACTCCGGAGTCGACAGCCATGAGGGCGTGGGAAGGAAGACCCTCGCTAGGGTTTCTGCGTTGAGCCCTTTGACACGATGCTCATTCTGGTAGGCGAACCTAGCCGGGCAGCCGGGCTGGACAAAGGCCATCATGGACATGTCGGCGCCAGCATTTTCTGGCTGTCAAGAGGTTGCCGCGGGGAGGACGAGGTATCGACGTTGAGCTGGGAGGCCGACATCGTGAGAACATGGCAGATGTAGTCACCGTGGAAGTGTAAATGAGGGGTTACGCAGAGTGGAGGTGGGCATCCTATAAAGCAGGTTTTCTTGCTGCTCGAAAGAGGGCTCGCGGCTAGGGTCGGGGAGACTTAAGAGTCAGAGAATGCTACCTAGGTGATAGATCAGAAGCGGGGGTATGCGGGAATGAGCTGGCGAGGTTCTTGAACAGTCTCGACCATCTGGTTCTATGGTCGTGAGTGAAGGGAGCCGGGGTTGGAAGTTGAGTAGGGGTGATGGCTATGTCGCGAGAAGTTGGAGGTCGGCGAACAGTAAGGTTAGTGTGGGTAAGTCTGCGGAGAAAGAAAGTCCAGCAGTACCCTTCGGTGTCATCGTTGCATGGAGTAGATAGCAAAGGCGACAATAACGAATGAGAGTGAAGGAAAGAAAGAGGTTATGGTAGTATTGCAGGGTCCCTTTTGACGGTCGTCGGTAGTTGGATGGGCATTGCGTGCGGCTGAGCGAGGCGGGTGCCGACCGTGTCGAGTCCACTATTGGGACACGGTGAAGTCGGATATAGGGGACGACCTGAGGAGGAGGATGCGAGTTGGTCACGAGAACTCTCCAAGAGGGTCTGCAAGTCGAGACTCCGGTGGCTAGCGACTACAAGAGGACAGGCAGGGGGATCCTGGCTGTCGCTTTAGCATGAAGGCCGTTGATGCGACGTTGGTGGTGGCGAGGGAGCAAACCTAGCCGGGTAGTCCGGTTGCACGAGGACACCGTGGACATGTTATCGCCGGCAGCCTTTGGCTGTTGCTCGACGAGGTGGAGTGGCAGATATTGATGGAGCAACTGATGCGCAAGGTGGGTGGGACGGCGTTGGAAGGGCCGAGAGTATGGTTGGAAGTGTGCGGCGGGCGGTTGGCGCGGCCACCCCATGTGCCGGAGGTCGGCAGTAGCCAGGATTCGCTGGAGTGCGCAAAGAGAGCACGGCGATGGAAGGGCCGCCTTTGGCAAAGCTGGGGTAGCAGGTCGCACGTGGAGACCAGCCGAGGGCCGGGACGGTGGACGCACATAGGGAGGGTAAATGGGGATTACAAAGGGTAGTAGTATTGCATCGCTTCGGTACCATAGGCAAGCATTATAAGGGAAGAAACGCCACGGCCATGAGAGTAGTGATCGTTAGGAAGCTTCCCACTCGGAAAGAAATAGTGTACGCCAAGAAGCGAGATTATCCAAGTGGAAGTGCTCCGAGCCAAAACTTTCTAGCCTGTTGCCAATCCACGCTAGTCGACGTCGAGGAGGCAGTAGCATGGCGGACAGTCCTGCAGGGAAGCTAGGCGAGGCGGCCGCTCACCGTGGAGCCTGTTCGTTGTCAGTCGAGGATGGAGAAGAGGGTAGGAACGGGGGAGTGCCTGTTTCGGGGTGCGGAGATGATACAGGGCAACTCCGAGAAGGGCACAGAGCACGGGAGACAAGGTTGGGGCGGTTCGGGAGATACAGATCAGTGGCGAATGAAGCATTAACGTTCCGGCTGATTCAGCCTAAGCAGTCTGCGGTCGAAGAAACCGCATGGAGAAAGCATGCAGAGGCGATCGCAAAGTCACTGCCGAGAAGACCGCCGCGAGGCGGTTTGCGGTCAAGCAGAGCACGGAAGTCCCGTAATTTGGTCAGCAGCGGAAATTCCGCGCAACGTCAGTCACCGAGTCCGCTTCCGAGGTTCGTGTTGCCTACAGAACGTGGAGACCAGGGGGCAGTGGGCTCTAACAGTCCGCCCCTTCATCGGCCGTTTTTGCCCCAGGAGAGGGGTCCTGAAGGTGACGGGCAGGGAGATAAGGTGGCGACCGGCGGTGTCCCGGGTGTTCGTTCGAAAAAGGGACCGACGCTCCGACCTATCCAGCCCAAGGATACGACTTTCCAAGACCTAAGACGAACGGCGCAATTTGCAGCATCGATTGCATGGGGTTTGCCCAAGCTCCGTCGGGGACCGGTTCGGCGGCCAAGGGCACAGGTGGGTGTGGACGATGGCGCAGCAGAGGCAGCGGACGGCTCGCTGCGCGGACAGAGGCAGTCCCGGAGGCGGGAGAAGAGAGCCCGTCTTCCTAGCCGGGATGGGCGCCCGATAAAACAGGTCCGAAGTGGAATCGGAAGGCATAGGAGACGGGAGCTGCAGGCCGAAGACCTGGCGAGTGTGCTGCGCTTTTTGGAGGAAGACTTTGCCTTGAAGGAGAGATTGTCTAACGATCAGACGTGGTGCACGCCAATACCGCTCGAGAGGAAGGTGTCGACGGTGCGAGACTTCTATCAGGCGTTCCACGATGCGAGCACGTTGCCGATACGGACCTGCATGGTGTGCTACCGCAAGTGTACGAGAGGAGAGTTGAGGGAGATTACATGGGATCATTGGCTGTCAAGTTGCGTACCAAAGGGCGGCCGCTCACCATTTTCATGCCGGAGTTGCTTTCCTGAGGGCGAGTCCGTGTCGGTGTGCGCCGAGTGTGGCCGATGCCTGGCGCGCAGGAGCCTGTCGCCGGCGATCCACCTTCACAGTCGCCTTGGCTGCGAGCACATGTTCCCGATGAGCTCAAGGGACTGACGCCGGTCGAAGAGAAGCTCATCTCGCTGAACTCATGTTACGGGTTTGTCACGAGATATAGCATTCCGGGCGGGCAGAGGCAGAGCGTGAAGTATCCGAGGCATGTCAGGGCCACATCACGGTGTTTCCGAACAATGTGCAGGAGCTGGCCACCAAAGTGCTCCCGCACCCCTTTGCAAGCACTGGACGAGATCCACATCTCGTGGCAGGGCGCGGAGAAGCCGGCACCGAGCGACCTGTCGAGTCTCTTGTCGGTGAGGCGGCGGGTGGTCGAGAGGGCCCTTGTCTGGCTGAAGCGGAACAACCCCACTACGCCGAGATCGAGATCGACGCGGCGGAGATGGAGAGCTGGGAGACTCGATACACGGGGTACCGTCGTCGGTGTGCGATCGTATGGAGCGGAACGAGCCGTCTGGGTGGAGAAAGCGCGGACGGCGCACGTTGTGCCGCCCACGGAACGCGCCATGGACGAGGAGGGCCGGTGGAGATCGAGGAGCTCTTCGCCCTGCTCAACCAAGGACAAGAAGCCGGCGGCCAGGGTGAAGGTCACGGGCCCAACGGAGAAGGCGCGGTTCGCGATGGAAGTGACGCCTGCCCCGACCAGAACGTTCCAGCGATCAACGAGGTGACGTCTTCTGGCATGTTCGCGCTCGACGGACCGCCAGACGTCGCGGACGTGGAGAAGCTGCAGTTTGCCTGTGACGCTGTTGGTGAAGGTGCCGACGACGGCCGTGCGGGCCCGAGAGCGTGGGTCGGGTCCCTAGCCGGGGGGGTTCGGGGGCGTGGCGACGGTGGTTGTGAGCCATACATCCGGGTTTCGCGGGGGGGTGAGTTTACCGATTCCTTTGAGGCGTCCTTCTTTGCCAGGACGTTCCCGACCCTGTTCCCATTTGGCGTTGGGGGACCAAGGCTGGTTGAAGAGACCATGGTCGACGCGGGGAAGGTCACGGCCAACTTGCGAGGCAGGGCTGTCGAGGCAGAGGCGGCCGCGGGAGACCCCGTATCGTCTCGAAGCTTGAACCTTCAGGCGTGGGCCGAGATCGTGCTCCGGCGCCATGGTGGTCGATTTGCACTGCACCACATCTTCGCATTTCTCGTCTTCAACATGGGGGTGCGATCGAGGAACCGCCGGGTCAGCATGTTGAGTGTGGGGAGGAAGAACTTCCGCAAGGTAGAGCGCATCGTGCGTTCGATGACCACAGAAAGGCTAGCGGCGGCGAGGGTCGAGTTGGAGAGCTCGGGTAAGACGACCGATGGTGACGTGAAGGAGCTTCTCAGGAGCCTCTCGCTTTACGGCCACCGGCAGCCCATGTCGAGAGAGGTCCGTCTCAATATGCGGCGGAAAATCCAGTCGCTCATCGTCGGATATGGCGTGCCGGCCATCTGGTTCACCATCAACCCGAACGACATTACGAACCCGGTGAAGCTGCGACTGGCGGCATACCGCACACGCGATCCCGACGCGGCCGAGGAGTTCTTAGAAGGCCTTGGGGATGCGTATAAGCGGGCACGGCTGGCGATATCGGATCCCATGAGCTCGGCCGTGTTCTTCCACCGCGAGATGAAGCTGTTCTTCGATCATTACGTGAAGGTCGGTGAAGAGTCGGTATTCGGGCGCATCGGCAAGTACTATGGCGCCGTGGAGACGAACGAACGAGGGGCGCTTCATGTTCACGGCTTGCTCTGGCTGCACGGGAACGCGCATCTCAGCTCGATGCTTGCCGACATCCACGGGGAGGATCAGGCGGCGTATCGCGAGCGAATCGTCCGATACATCGATAGCGTCTTCTCAGAGGTAAGAATGCCTACCTAAGATATGCCACCGGGAGCCTGAAGTACTCTTCTGATGGCCAAGTGGGGCCGGGTTGACGTGCAAGGCAGGATCTGGACCAGGAAAGTTTTTGCGCCGTGCAAGCGGAGCGATCTGTGACGGGCGGTATTGGTTCCCTGCTGGACAACGCCGCGCAGTTCTCGGCCGCGTTTATCGAGGAGGCCAACTTCTGTGCCGGCGCGACGCAGGTGCACACGCATAGCCCGACCTGTGTGAAGTATTCCTTGGGCAAAGGAGGGCGGAAAGGGGACCTCTGCCGGTTCAAGGCGCCATGGAGGTTAGTCGACAAGACCGCCCTCACGGCAGACGGGGTGCTGCAGATCCGGAGGACACACAGCATGGTCAATCGATGGAACGAGGCTATTGCTGTCGGGCCCGGCACAACCATGATATTTCCTTCATTGCGACGCAGCGCAAGACAATGGCCCTCATCTATTATGTCACGAACTACGCGACCAAGGTGGAGGACCCGGTGTGGAAGCGTGTGGCGGCCGCGGCCGAGCTCCTGGCCGCCTCAACAGGTGATGGCACGGCCAACGGAGGGCGGGACGGTGGCGGAGACGCTGCCACCGATGACCCTGTCAAGGGAACAGGACGCGACAGTTCCTGATGAGAGTGGCGAACCGCGTGTTCACGGAGCGTCCGCTATCACAGGTCGAGGTCGTCGCTCACCTTCTCGGATATCCGGCCGAGTTCACCGACAGCAGCGCGTGGGCGTACCTGAACTGTTCTCTGCTGTACTGGAAGTCTTTCGGCGATGGCGGCATCTCCGAGAAGCCAGTGGCGCTGCGGCTATGGATGACACCTTGGATGAGTCGGTCGTCGTCGAAGAAGAAGGCCTGAGAATCTCCCACGTCGAGGCGTACCAGCACCGGGAGAGCTGCTGAAAGGCCTATGCCTGTATGACTACATATCGATCGTCAGACTGAAACGCATCGGCAACGACGAGAGCTGGGCGGCTTGGGGGGAGATGTCTTTCGAGGATGGATGGGCGCCGGGACGACGCTGGGTTCAGGTGCTCAGGCGGCCGGGCAAGCACGCTACCGTCTGCCTCGACGGCTACCTGAGCAAGGACTTCACCTACGATGACGAGTCGTGCTACCGGAGGTGTGTATGGCAACTGCTCTGTCAGCGGGCATTATCGGAGAGGCTAACCCACCCCCTGAAGGGCAGCCGTGCAGCATCTTGCGCTGTTCGTGCCGTGGAGTCCTTCCTGGGCGAAGGAACAGGTGAGATCAACAGCATCTGGGCGCGGGCTCGAGACGCTATGGCCCCGAGAATATCATGTCTCGTCGACAACGTGCAGCTGCTTCGACGATCCGCCGAAGACGCAAAACGCGACGCCAAGCAATGGGCAGCCTCGTCCGGCGATGGCGACCCGACGGTCGCACACGTCGAGGAGGGTGGAGCAGGCGAGGCGGGCGCGGAGTCTGCAGCGACATATCAGCCCAACAGCATCGGAGACGCAACGCGGCTCATCGACGTCGTCCGAGGTGCAGTGGGAGCGAATCAGGTGACGGCCAAGTCGCCGGAGCTCATGGCAATGATACAGCAGCTCTGTCGGTTTCAGCAATCGGCGCTGCGCTCGACGGCCGAGCTCGAGGCCACGGCGCTGATCGAACGAGGGAGAGGCGGTTAAGCATGCCAGGGCGGGTATTTTCCGGGGCCGCACTACCGCCGCAGGATCAGGTCAAGGCTATCAAGTCGCAGCAGGTAAGTGCCTCGAAGGAGAGGAGAGGATGATCCAGGGATACAAAGCACGCCCGCCGCCTGGGAAAGCGATCGCCGCGCAGCGTTGCGAAGGGTGATGACCGGTTTCGGGAGGACGAGGTCGAAATGACGATGGCCGACTCCGACGAGACCGCTATCGACGCAGGGGCGGGAATGGACGTTCAGTTTGGCCCATCAACCTCCTTCCTCGCGGCGGGCAAGGTGTTGGCAACACGGCTGACGCTGAACAAGAGGCAGTCCATCGCTTTTCTGATAATATGCCGCCAGCTCGATTTGATGCAGCAGACCGACGGGGCGATGCCTGCCAGCTGCGCCAGTTCGTCGGTGGCGAGGGCGGTACCGGCAAGTCGCGAATCATCGAGGCACTCGTCGAGCTGTTCAGTAAAAGAGCCTTTCGAATCGTCTGCTGATCACGGCGACGTCGGGGACTGCGGCGGCGCGGATCAACGGCATCACGATCCACTCCGCCTGCGGGTTCACTAAAGACCAAGGGGCGGGGCGCGAACATGGTCAAAGACCTTGACGGTGCGGCTGCCGAAACAGGCGGAGCGGTTCATCCACGGCCAGTCTCGAATGGATTGGCAGGAGAAGGATGTGCTCGTCATCGACGAGGTGAGCATGCTCGGGGCGCGGACGCTGCACGCCGTGAACGAGCGGCTTCGCCGGCTTCGCGGATCGCGGCAAGATTTCGGGGGGATCCCCATCGTCCTCTTCTGCGGAGATTTTCAGCAGTTCCGGCCGGTCCAAGAGAGGTCGATCGTCCTGCCTAGCGCGGCCATCTCGTGGGACGTAGACAACTCGTTCAAGGCCGAGCAGCGTCACCAGCACGACAAAGCGCACGCACTGTGGAAGAGGTTCACGACGGTCGTCATGCTGGACGAGCAGATGCGCGCCGCCGGCGACCCGGAGCTGCAGAGGCTGCTGAAGCGGATCCGTCTAGGCGTGCAGGATCGGACGGATCTAAACCTCCTCAACTCAAGGTGCTACCGGGAGGAAGGCGGATCCTTGGGAGACGGGCATCACCGTGGTGACGCCGCTCAATAGGAATCGGTGGAACCTGAACATGGAGGCGAGCCTGGCGTTCCGGGTCCAGCAGCGGTCGACGATGCGCATTTTCATCTCCGAGCACAAGTGGAAGGAGGAGCTGCCGACGGAGGAAGAGGCGATCATGATACTCAACCAGGGCGACGATAGCGCGATCCCGGTGCCGGCCGTCTTCATGTTCGTGGCCGGGATGCCCATCGTCGTGAACCACAACACCCACCAGGGCTGAAGCTAGTGAACGGCGCGAGCTACTCGGCGGTGGAGGTCATTGTCGACAAGGCGTACCCGGGGCATCGGATCTCGGCCGATATGACGATCCACTTCGGGCCGCCGGCGGGGATCATTCTCGAATCGGAGACGACGAGATATCTCCACTTCGTCGGGATGCCGCCGGGCACGATCTTGTTGACACCCATGACCGTTAAGATACAGTGCCAGCGAAAAAGGCCGTGGCAACGCAACGACGTCAGCCGAAAGGGTTTGCCGTGCGCAGCAGCGTTCGCGTGCACGGACTACAAGGTGCAGGGCAAAACGCTGGAGCGCGTGGCCCTCGAGCTGCGAGGGACACGGACGACGAAGATGGATGGAACGGTGGTGCCTCGCAGTGCGACCCGTACGGCCTGTACGTGCAGCTATCGCGCTGCCGAACTCTAGACGGCATCATGCTCGTGTCCAAGGTGCGGGACAGAGACTTGGTGGGCAACCGGGTCCCCGAGGAGATGACTGCCGCACAGGCCAGGCTCGAGGTACTGAGCGAGAGGACCGTTGAGGAGGCGTTGCGCTGGCTGGACGGTGATGCTGAAGAGTCAAGGCGGCCGCGCTAGGTGACGCGATGAAGAGTTCGGCAGGCGGGAAGAGTCGGCAGTGGTGGGATAAGGCACGCGAAAAGGCAACAGAAGCCGGGGGAAGGGCAGCGACCAACAAGGAGGGAGGGAGGCAAGGAGGGACCAATCACAAGGGACCAATCAAGGGGCGGAGAACTTTTGGGGGGAGAGGGCGGGGTCTGCGGGGCACGTTAGAAGGCCTTTCGTTCCTCAAGGCATATGGCAAGACATCGATCCTAACTTTGGACAGTGTCTGAAATATCGAGATGAACCCTGCCCTCAGATCAAACACTCGGATAAGGCGTGTCAGCCAGCCTGACTTGGAGGCTATTTCACGGGGGCTTTGCCGATTTCAAGCAAGCGGAAACGTGTTCTCACCAAGACACAGACCACATCCGCTGGCCATTCAAGCTTTTGCAAACACTTTGGCCAGCTCCATTGTCTGTCGACACATCCGCTGACGCCCATCCGTCGCACTTATCGCCGCTATGAGAATTGGTGCTTTCGCGCAGCAGTTTGGCGGCCAGCGCCTTGGCGAGGCCGTTTCGCCGATGGGATTCCTAAATGGCATCATAGAGCAGAGTCAGGAGCAGCGCCTTGTCCAGGTTGGAAGCCGGCTCGGTTTCCATGGCTTGAGTTTTGGTCCCTACCTCGCAGTGCAAGCTTATTATGCTCCCGTCTATGCCTGTCATTGCCCGTTGAGTACGATAGGTCAATTAACACTTTACATGAAGCGCACTGAGGGACACTTACCTAGAAATGCCCAGGCTATCGGCGTCAGGTCCTGGAGTTTGACCATGAGGTTGTGTAGCTTGATGAGCAGGTCCCTGTCGTTGGGGAACAAGACGTGTCAGGGTGTATCTCGAGCAAGAGCGGTAAAAAAGAAAAGGAAAAACGAAAGGATAGTGCTATTTGCCCAATACCAAATCTCTATTTGGCCCACGTGGTTGATCGGACAGTGGATCGAGTAGCCCGGAAAGCAGTCAGTCGGCCGGCCGGCCGGCCGGACAAGCAAGCGGGCAAGCAAATTGCTCGTAGTTCTTGCGATGCCATGACCAACGATAATGGTTGCGATAGGTTCTGCAAAATGTAAAGCGATACACGTACTGTTGACCAAACAGAGATTTGGTCTTGGGCAAATGGTAATACTCGTTAGGACTGGTCACGCTTACGGGCTTCGCAGTATGTGTGTTCGCGACACGACCATCTGGCAGTCGGAAAGGGTAGCAAAGCCCCAGTGCATGTCCTCCGGAAGCTGACTGCCCACCCGGGGCAGAGTCTGGGCTTGAAAAAGCCACTTGTCGTAAATTCCCGAGCCGCGTGAGGGCAGGAGATGTATTCGGCCGGTTCTTTCGAGAATGGCTCTCACATCGGAGTGCAGGCTCCCGAGAATGAGGCGTCTCGGATACCGCTCCCCTGAGCCCCCCTCTCTGCGCAGACGAACGAGTGACTCGACGGTGGTTGCGAGCAGCGCCTCGTGCTCAGACTGGTCTTGGGCATAACCAGTTTCGTAATTCTGGCTCTCTAGGCTAGAGTAGAGAAATATTTGCGTGTTGGGGTTATAAAACAGGTCGACATGTGCCACGACAAAGATTTTGGGATCGGGCGAGCCTCGCTCAAGTCTTCCGTGGTCTGAGGTAAAGATGGTACGAGCATGGGGATTGGTGCCGGCGTCACGTCTCGCGAACTGGAGTCGACGGAGAATGCTCAATGACGATGGCAAATATCCTGTTAGCAGCTCGAGCACGCGGTCCGGCACGGAGGAGAAAATGGCGGTTTCCGTGGGCATGTTGGTAAGGAGTAGCTGTCACGGGCTGTGCCCGGCTGGTGGACCCGGTTGTACCGGGTCCGGTGGGTCGTGCTCCGGTGGCAACACCGGCCCCGCTCCGCGGACCCAGAAGCTGCGAGAACATTCCGAGAAGGGTAATATAAGCTCGCACTCGAGGCTACGCCTCGAGTTCAGCTTCTTTCCTCCTTAGCTCTAGATAGACAACATCTAGGCACCTGCTTGTTGAATAAACTCCGGGCCAGCCTTTCACATATCTAGAGCTCCTTCTAAATACCGCAAGCTGCAGACTGCTCGTCAGGATGGACCAGCAGAGTGAGAGCCCAAGTCTCCAGCAGCAATGGATTGACCAACGCATTCAAGAAGCGGTCAATGCGACTCTCAGCCCTCTACAGGACCAACTTTCCTTGCTGATGGAGCAACTCGGGCGAGCGCAGCCGCAGAGCGCCGACTTGCAATCGCCGCCAGTGGCACGAGGATTGGGCGAGCACGCCTGGCTTGGGCACGCCCTCCCAAAACCTGCGGTACTGGAATGCGGAAACCGTTGCCCAACCCACCCAAGTATGACGGCTCACGGAAGAGCTACTCCTCCTGGGCCAGGCAGATGCGAGACAAGCTGGACCTTGATGCACACTACTACAGTGGAAATCGCGAACTTTGGTACCTCATCAACTCATGTTTGGACGAGCGACCACAGCAAGTGGTCGCTACCTTTACGCCGCGGAGGCCCTGGGGTAGCTACGACCCCAAGAGTTCATGCGATACCTCGACCGAACCTACCAGGACAGCAACATCCAATCCCGCGCTGCTGCCACGCTGAGAACTATGCGGCAGCGCGAAGACCAACCTCTCGCGTCCTTCCTTCCCGATTCGAACAGGCATTAGCTGAAGCCGGGGAGCAGACTGGCCGGACAGTGCAAAGATCGTATTTCTAGAGAACGCAATAAATGCACGCCTCCAAGAGAGTTTGGTCACAGCCGTCCTACCCGACGACTACCAGGGATGGCTTGCGAGAGTTCAGGAAATTGCGGGCAGATTGAGAGACTGAAACCCGGTAGGCAGCCGACGTCGACTGAGCGGACGCCTCAACAGCTACCAAGGCAACGACCCAAGGAGGAACCGGAGGACCCCGACGGAGATGTTAAGATGACGGACATCAACCGTATTGGCCACGAGTCGAAGGGTCGTCGACATGTCGATAAGAAGCCGAAGGATGAGCGCCGCTGCTATCGCTGTGGTCGGACGGATCATCTTATCGTGGACTGCCCAGCCCAGGTGGTCTTTCCTGGCGAAGGAAGCAACAGCGACCTAAAGCTGCGCGCATGAAGAAGCCCGATGCCGCAGATGATTCGGAATCAACCGCAGCATCCAGTGAGGACGAGTCGGCGGGAAAAGACTAGCCCCGGGGCGAAAGCGGGCGCCGGGGCCTGCAAAGGCAGACATCCGGGACTGGGAAGCGTTCAAGCCACGAATGAATAGTCGGACTGTATTAGTCAACGCGCGGGTAAACCGAGGCTATCGAATACGCGCCCTTGTCGACTGTGGATGTGACTGCTATGCCGTGATCGACGAAGCCCTTGTTCGGAAGCTGCGGATACCCTTCGTCGACTCGAAACCACGAGAAATTGGGGATTCTCAGAGTCAGCGAAGAGTGTCATATCCCCAGGGTCGTGGCTGTTGTGGTCGAGACAGCTGGATTTGACGAACGTGTCTTTGCATACGTGATCCCAAGCCTGGGCCAGGACATGTTCCTCGGCCGGCCTTGGATGGAGAGAAATCACGTCGTGTACGATGCTGCCAAGCAGCGAATGTACCATGGGAGGGCAGGTGTGACGATACGCCTCATTGGGCAGGAAGAGCCCGCCAAGATACGCGCGATTCGAAGCGCAAGACTCGTGTCGGCAGCCGTATTCACGGCGGAGTGTCGACGCGCAAAGAGACGCAAGAAGTGCAACGCGATCTCGATTCATGCAATCAGTTTGTCGGATATAGAGGGCGCTTCAGCCGAAGCCGCCAGTCGATCCGAGCGAGAAGGTCCCGGCAGAAGTGCTGAAAGAATTCCGCGACCTATTCTCACCAGGAGAGGCAATGAAGCTGCCGCCACATCGACCGGGTGTGGATCATGAAGTCAACCTGCAGCCTGACAAGAACGGCAACGAGCCACCCTTCCGTGGGGCCCACTCTACAACATGTCACGAGAAGAGCTGTTGGTCTTGCGAAAGACCCTGAAAGACCTGCTGGACAGAGGATTCATCCGAGCGAGTAGCTCAGCGGCTGCCGCGCCGGTGCTGTTCGTGCGGAAGCCGAATGGAGGGCTGCGATTTTGTTGCGACTACCGAGCGCTGAATGCAATCACCAAGCGCGACCGATACCCACTGCCCTCATCGCGGAGACCCTGCAGAATCTGGCCAAGGCTAAGTGGTTCACCGTTGGACGTGGTGGCCGCTTTCCATAAGATCCGCATGGCTCCGGGACATGAGGAAAGACTGCATTTCGCACGAGGTTTGGGCTCTACGAGTGGCTCGTGTGCCCTTTCGGCCTGAGCGGCGCCCCGGCATCATTCCAACGATACATGAACAGTGTATTGCGCGAATGGCTGGACGACTTTGTCACAGCGTACCTGGATGATGTACTGATCTACTCGAGCGGTTCGAAGGCGGATCATGAGGCTAAGGTGCGACGAGTTCTCCAAGCACTCGCCGACGCTGGGCTGCACCTAGACCCAGCGAAGTGCGAGTTTTCGGTACAAGAGGTCAAATACCTTGGGTTCATCGTCAACGCAGGGAAAGGAATCGCCTGCGACCCCGAAAAGCAGCGCGCCATCCGCGAATGGGAGGCCCCGACCACGGTGAAGGGTGTCAGAAGCTTTCTGGGCTTCGCCAACTATTACCGGATCTTCATCCCCGACTATGCCAAGATCACGCAGTCTCTGGATGCCCTGCTTAAGAAAGGAACTGCCTTTCATTGGGGACGAGCGGAGAACGAGGCGTTTCAGGAGCTGAAGCGACGATTTTGCGAGTCACCGGTGCTCAAGCAGTGGGACCCGAGCCTCCTGACCTTTTGGAGACGGATTGCTCAGGCTACGCATTGGGAGGCGTCCTGTCGCAGGAAGGCCCAGATGGACGTCGACACGCATGCGCCTTCTTCTCGAAGCGACTTTCGCCAGCGGAGTACAACTATCCCATTCACGACAAGGAGATGCTTGCCATCATGAGATGTCTCGACAACTGGAACGCCGAACTTAGGAGCTGCGGCCCATTTACAATCCTTACCGATCACCGCAACCTGGAGTATTTCATGACACGCCAGAAGCTCACGGAACGGCAGAGCCGTTGGGCAGCCGAATTGTCCCAGTTCGACTTCAAGCTCGAGTATCGACCGGGAAGCGAGGCTGTCGTGCCTGATGCGTTGTCCCGCCGTGAACAAGACAAGCCACAGGGCATTGACGACGAGCGGGAACAAGGAAGAATGATACAGTTGATACCGGATAGTGCCATTCCATCATCGACAAGAGCATGTATCAACGCGATGAGTTCTGACTGTTCAGAGGCATCCACCCTGCCGAAGATGAAGGTCTTCGAGGTAGCGGACCTGCAGCAACTCTGGGACGAAACGGTGGCGAAGGACTCGATATTCCGGGCAGCCTATAAGGCAGTCCGCGATCGCGAGCGTGCCTTCCCGCCCTCGCTGGGCCTGAAGATCCAGATTTCAGAATGTGCGATCGACGCAGGCAAAGGCTGACATTCAGAGACCGTATTTGGGTGCCGGGTGGATCCGGAGAGGAGGGTAACCAGGAGGAAGCTGAGAAAGACCAGTTGAGAACCCGCATTGTGCAGCAGTCGCATGACTCTGTTGCGACCGGTCATCCCGGCAGGAAGGTACGCTGGCTATTGTGGCTCGGCGATTCTACTGGCCTGGGCAGTCCCAGCTGGTTCGCCGGTACGTAGCCAATTGCGACACCTGCGGCAGAGCACACATCTGGCGCCAGTCGAAAAGGGGATTTCTCAAGCCTCTGCCGATTCCAGATCGACCCCGAAGCCATTTGTCCATGGACTTCATCACAGATCTGCCGCCTACTGGACCGAGCAAGGCAAGGTACCTGTGGGTGATTGTGGACAGACTGACAAAGGCTGTGACCCTCGAGGTGATGGACAACATGGAAGCTGAGCCGTGTGCAAACCGTTTTCCAGTGTCATTACCGATTTCACGGAATGCCACGGTCCATCGTCAGCGACCGCGGGAGCAACTGGCTAAGTAGGTTCTGGAAGAGGTTCTGCCGTCTTGCAGGTGTCACGCAGAAATTGAGCACGGCCTATCATCCTCAGACGGACGGAGGGCCAGAGAGAATGAACCAGGAGATCGAGGCCTACCTGAGAGCCTACGTGTCGTACGTGCAGGACGACTGGGGAGAACTGTGCCCTGCCGCGCAGCTGGCACTCAACAATCGTGAATCCGCAGCGACCAAGATCAGCCCCTTTTTCGCTGAGCATGGTTACCACGTCGATCCCATCAGCGTCGAGGAATCGGAAGAGCCACCGAGGCATAGAGAGGAAAGCAGAGCTGATAGCCTACTCAGTCGCCTGCAGGAGGTCAATGAGTACATGCAAGCAGTGATGGCCTCCTCACAGCAACAACAAGAAGAGGCTGCCAACGCAAAGCGACAGCCTGCGGAGCGATTTGAAGTTGGTGACAAGGTGTGGCTCTCGATGGCAAACTACAGATCGCCACGACCGTGCAAGAAGCTCGACTGGCTGCATCACAAGTACACAGTCACGAAGGTAATTAGTTCGCACGTTGTTGAGCTCGATGTTCGTGGCTCAATTTACCCGCGATTTCATGTTGACCTTTGCGGCGGGCGCATCAAGATCCGGCTCCTGGCCAAAAGGTAGATGACGCACAGCCACCACCGGTACAAGATGAGTCCGGCACGAATCTGTGGGATGTCGACGAGATTCTCTGCGCGAGATGGAAGAAGCGGGGACGAGGGGAATTCAGGCAAGCACTAGTGCGATGGACGGGCTACGCAGAGCCGACTTGGGAGCCAGTTGAGTGGTTGCAAGGAACAATTGCGATGAAGGCATTCGAGGACAAGTACGGGCCAATCAAGACCAATGATGGCCCTAGGAGAGGTACGAGACGCTGGCAGGAACGCAAGAACCCGCAGACGCCGACCTGGTCGGAGGGGACAAGGGGGTAATGTCACGGGCTGTGCCCGGCTGGTGGACCCGGTTGTACCGGGTCCGGTGGGTCGTGCTCCGGTGGCAACACCGGCCGCCCGCGGACCCAGAAGCTGCGAGAACATTCCGAGAAGGGTAATATAAGCTCGCACTCGAGGCTACGCCTCGAGTTCAGCTTCTTTTCCTCCTTAGCTCTAGATAGACAACATCTAGGCACCTGCTTGTTGAATAAACTCCGGGCCAGCCTTTCACAGTAGCGAGCGGTGTTTAGGCCCAAGAGTGCACAATGTCTGACGGCTTGTGCTCATATGACTCATCGAGTGTCGTGGCTCTGTTGAGGGGAGCCCCTGAAGTCAGTCTGTGCGGCTCGGGCCAAGTCCTTAGCCCTCGGGCCGAGCCCTTTGCCCTCGGGCCCACGCACACAACGTAGGCAGGCTTCCTCTTCGTCCTTTTCCCTCCTCCCCAGACTCGATGCCACAGTTGCATTTCCTCCCTGACCATGACGTCAAGAACAGCAGCCTTGACGCGGGGTTTGTAATGTAATTGTCAAGCTGGTAAAATACCGCTACACCATGCAAAATGAGGGCACCCCCAATAGAGGTGTTACTAACGCGTATTATAGGCCCTTTCTTGTCCTGACAGTAATGCATAACATGTGTTGGGCAGCTGAAGAGACGTCCGCCCCGGTGCTCTTTGGTGCTTGTTGAGCACAAACCATTTGATCCGCGGCACACTGCCAAAGCCTGGATGACGAGCCTAACAGCGAGCGAGAAACACAAACCAACACGCCCGGGCCCAGGTCGCCCTATTGAGCATGTCAGCGCCGAGGATTCAACGCTGTCTGTCTCACATAGACTCTTAGACTGTTGTGTCCAAGTCCAGGTCAATTCGAGGGGGTAATGAGCTTGCCCCTGGGCGTGAAAGGGAGTCGAAGAGATGGGTTGACCCTGCGGTGCGGCCTTGATAAGTAGCCACGCGATTCCGGTATGCAGGCGGGCCAAGCTTCGAGTTGGCTCAAAGAAGGAGATAACATACCGGTACTAGCTTTGAGCTACCAGAATGCTCAGAGGTGAATAATACATGATGGGTAACGACAAGTTGTCAATGAATGATTAGGTAGCCAGCGGCTGAGATAGGCCTTGGGTCCAATGCCCCCAGTTGCGGACAAATGGACGGCAATACGAAGTCAACTGCTACAGTTTGGTTAAAGCCATTCTCTAAAGGCCAACTCCGACACAAACTTAGGCGGCCTTTGAATCGGCTTGGCCAGTGAGTGGCTTGCTCTGTTGAGCCCGGCATGCGCCCCTGCCGCTGAAGTGGTCCTTTCGCACACACAAAGGGATAGAGGCAAAGGTCCGTGCCAGCAGCAATCAGCAGGGAACTCGACCGACCAACCGTATTATGCTGCGCCAACAAGGGTGGTGAGATGCGTGTGTAATCTCAAACCATTTCTCGTATCCACAAGCATCCACCAAACACAACTTTGACTCTCACACTGACCAGCTCATCCACGCCCGAGTCCAAGATGCCAGACTCACCAGAGCATTCGGCAGGCGAGCCGCCCCGAGGTGATGAGCACGCGCACTTTCTCTGGGTCTCCCAGGGAGACCGGGAACCGATTCGAGAGTTGGCCAGTCACGGCAACTTTGACGAGCACTATGAATCGACTTTCAACAAGGTGGCGGCCGTGACCGAATATTACTGCCGTGACGGAAAGTGCACCCTGATGTTCGAGCCGCGTCTGCACGACCTCTGGTATGCCTACTACAAAGGCGGCAGACACATCCCGCACTCGAAACCCGTGCAGAATAGGCTGGCGCTTAGCCTCGTCCAAATTCGAGGGCCGGGGCCTCTGACCAGGCCAAATCCAGGAAACGTTAGTTTCTAAGTCGCCACCATCAACGGCCTGGGAAACTTCCCCTTATTTGCCACCGACATGTCCTAGTTTTGGGTCAACGACTGCGCAGCTAGGGGTGATAGACGAAGGTGAATTTTTTGAAGATTTTGAATGAAGGATGAATCAAATGAATTGAATTTTTTGGATCTTGATTCAAAATCTTCAAGCTCCAATTTTCGCGATTCAAGTTGGGTTTGGGCCAATTCAGGCCATTCATGAATAGTTTGAAGGAATCCCCTAAACGAAGTGAATTTGGTGTGTACCTAAGCGATTGCAAAGATACCTCGAAAACGCCAATAAGTAGTATATGGTTTTATAGCCTTCTGGGAAGTCTCTCGATAATCTCGAATATTACAAAAATTAACTTACATAAATACTGATCCGCCCGTCCTAGGCAAATGGACCGAAAATAAGCACTTTCAAAAGCTCTGCCGAATCCTCAAAATATATCGGTCCAACGCGTTCGAATCCGCGATTGTACACAGTTACACACTTGTAGAGCCTCAATCCTCCGAAGCCTCCATTGTATCTGGACAGGGGGTTGATATCGCAGACTTATCGGCTTGGGAGGCAGGAGGTTTGGGGGTAGGGGGTTCGGCGAGCCTCGGTAGTAGCCTCGGTGGGAACTTCCGCCGGAGCAGGGGGTTGAGGAGGAGGATTCTCGCCTGAACGCAGATTAGCATATACACAAACAATGAGGGTATATTCACACCATCTACCAGCTTGCCCGGAAATTGGAATGTGGTCTGGTCTTCAAATAATAGAGCGTGCCGTTGTTGGCGGCGTTGTCTCCCGTAATGGCGAGAAGCTTTGGCTTGAGCCTGAGCTCCTCAAGTGTCTTCTCAACTATCTCGTGTTTGCCAGTGTGAGATTTTTGAGCTCGATAAACTCAATAACCTCCTCTCTCCTCAAACTCCGGCGTAATCCAGTGCGTAATAATGGCGAAAATAGGCACCCGATTCGGTGCTGTCCAGATATCAAGGGTGAGCGAGATGGTAGCACAATTGTACTGAAGCTCGATCTTCAGCTTCTCTCTGCGTTCCACAAAGTCTGTGTAGATGTGATTGCGTAAGGTTATACGGCTCCTGTACACACAGGTTGTATTGTGAGCCAAGAACATCTCTTGGAAAGCAGGAGTCTCAAGTTCTCAACAACAGAGAAGGGTTGTCGGTGTTTTACAAACCACTGGCGGATAGACTCCTTTGCCGTGAGCCTTGCTCTTTGCCTGGGTCGACCGCTCCATGCATCTACCTCTGTATAATCTCCTCCACCAATGGCGCGGCCGTATCCATTGATTCGACCGTGGTGAGACTCCTTCGTAATACTGTGGGATTTTAAATGGTCTCCCATGCCAGAGGTAACCCTCGGCGGTTCGATTCAAGGACCTGGAATATCTTCCGAAGAGTAGAAGGATTTTGAAGGCACTCTATACAAGTCCACCGGAACTCTTGGAATATTTTCGGTCCATCCTTGTACTCGAGTAAAAGCTTCTGTCTATGGCTTCCTCTGCATGTACCAATAAACGTGGCTATTCTTGTCTCTCTTCTTGCGAACATGCTTCTGTTTGTTGTCGGCCCACTTCTTGATAAGTCTGGCTTTCTCTGCGAGCGTCATGTGACTACCGGTACTGTTCAATGGCGGCTCTGATGTATCCGCGTCAGGCATGTCATCATCTGACTCACAGTCAGGATGGCCGGGGCGCGCAGACAATCGTATCTTTGCCAGTCGGAGGAGGGGACGAAGGAGCCGGAGTTGTGCTAGGATCAGGGCGCGCGCGCGGGATTCTGAGGTTGAATTGAGGGCGTTCAATGCGGGCATAACTCTGCGTTGGCAATTTACGCCGGGTCCTAGGAGCAAAGAAATCGCTGCGGCAGCTGTTTTCGATTCAGCAGGGGCCATACTATGTATCATGTTATAATTAGCTATCGGTTGGACAGTAATGAAGTTTTACCTGGTCTAGGCTAAAAGGCTCGAGAATGGACGTGAGACAGGTAGTCGGGACGACACCAAATAACCCACAATAAAGTATAACGGAGTCGAGGTTGAACGGGTGGGATAGGTCGTCGGGCAGGACGTTGATTCGGGGGCCGACCCGAAGCCGCTGTCGGAAACATCGAAGCAGGAATTAGGCGAGATCGTCGTAAAATAATGTCGTGGCAGTTGTCGCGAAGACCGTTGCCCAATGCAGGCAAAAATGTGGGATGGGCTGACGACCGTGTCTTTCCGACAGTAGAATTAACAGGTGGTCAATTGAGCGCGAATAACGCGTCTAAACGCGGCTAGTTGGCACAACATATCCTTATCATGCAGATGTTTCGGTACTTTCTGATCGGGCTAGTTTGTGTGGACAAGCAAGTAGCAGTCATATTGGGCTCGATGAGTAGATAAGTCCCTAACAGTCTCCAAATCGCGAGATGACGCAATTCGTGTCACGTCCAATTGTTCGCGCAGTATTGAGACGTTGAGGGATCTGAACGCGTTTTTCTAATCAGTTTGCCGGAGGCTGTTTAACGGTATAAGTCTTGTATTATATTTCAAAATTTGGGCTGCCGAGCTTAATCTGTGCTTGAGATGTAGTTTTGCAAGTAGCAAATGACCGATCTATTTATTGCCTTCAGGATGATGTGGCATTTCTTGAGCAAATGTTAAGCACAGATATCGAGAGTTATATCACCCGAACCAGAAAATCCAGAACATTCGAGTGATACTACATTTAAATGGTGTGCATTATAAAATGGCACTGTTCATAAGCTTCATGGTTTTTTTGATACTCCGTATAGGGTGGCAAGACTGCTGAAACGGTGGGCGTATCAGGCACTGTTAGGGTCGTTATACCAACATATATGGACCCTAACTACCCCACTTCCAACCCACTGGGATTTTCCCAGTGGAGTGTGGACGGCGGAATCCAACTGAAACACGCACAACAGACTTTTAAATACGCAGTGCGTCATCGCATGGGCGGCCGATTTCGAAGTTACCATGTCCGCGCGGGGCGAACCCCTTGCTCCTGTCAGAACGGTGGTTCTGTGGCGTGCCTAATGGGGAAAGTGCATTGTGGAATCTATTGGTATTGTGGGAATCATGCTCGTCAATTGTATCTAGATCACACGGTCAGCATGTGGCCTTAGGGTCACGTGTGCGGCTGAGGCTTGCGTGGCTATATCTTCCACGCTGGCCTCTCCCTCCCTAGATAGAAGACAATCCTCATAGCATAATACGACACACCGGTTGAACGACGTTCCCAGTTTGTCTCATGCTCGAGCCCTGCCAACAGGTATGATGGGGGTCAAAGCAGCTTGTTTCTTGATGTGTACGTGTGTGTCTGCTTGTTGGAACGGCGCAGCAGGAAGGGCGGCATGGGTCACCTGCCAGGTCACGTGGGGCATTCAGCCGAGATTTCTGCGGGCCCAAAGGGCACATTCCTAGCCGGAAGGGGCAACACACATCGCCTTTACACACACACAGCCGTGCATATAGCTCCAATTGACCTCTTCTGTGTGCCCACTATCGTTGCCACCTTCCTCATTCGGACGAGCCGCAGAACCGCTGTTTCTGACACTGCTCAGAAAGAAAAGGAGGCCCTTGGTGGGTGGCTTTGGGCATTAGCCCATTCCTCCCTGTATGCCCCCTTGGCTGGCAGCTGCGAAGGGTGATCCTTTTTCACCGTATATTTCGACCATATCGCCATTCATTCAAGATTTTGATGAATGAATTGAATAAAGACTCCTGATTTTTGATTCATCGAATTTGAAGACCTTACCCGATTCGGCTTCATTCAATTCAAGGGTCCCGAGGCCGATTCGACTTCAAAATCTTCAAATATCAGCCCTATGCGCAGCCATGCCGACAACAAACGCCTCAACCCGTCTTGTTCCCTTGCCAAGCTCACCGCAACGGGCATAGCCAACGACGGACTCTGCAACATCGCCCTGCTCGTTTTCGTAATGCCTTTGAGACCGATCGGCCCCTCGATGGCCTGGACGAGCCCAACCTGTCAGTAGCCGCTCTGCTCCCGTCAGCGGATGCTTGGATACAGGAAGCCAATCCTAAGATCCTGGCCCTGACTAACGAGCAAACAGCTCTGCCTAAGGGCTGCAGTGGCGTTTGAAGTAGGGAGTACCTGAGATTTTCAACTCTTTATTTAAATTTTTTTAATATAATACTCCTATAGCTAACTCCAAGCCCTGGCTGACCATAATCCTAGTCTAGACGCCCAAAGAGCTAACTAAAACTAACCCTAATTTCAGCATAAAAAGGTTGTATAGTGTAAAAGAGCTAAACAAGTCAATGTACTTGTCAGCTGCCACCAGCACCTCCATATATGGCCCACTTCCAGGTCATTTGTTGGAGTGTCACCTCACTTTTGCCTGAACAACACAGTGGTTTCCTCACAGTACTAGATACAAGCTCCGTTTTTACACCTTTCTTCTTTAGGTGAGCTCGCTACAGATGCCCCACTTTCTGTTTGCTCGTTAGTCAGGGCCATCGGCATTTTGGCGGTCACCCTTATATATACATGCCAGCTGCCACCGGCATCTTCATGGCATATAAGGTCCACTACCAGGTCACCTGTTGGAGTGTCACTTCGCTTTTGCCTGCACAGCCCAGTGATTTCCTCACAATATATATATATCTGGGCTTCTCGAGGGTCGCGCTGGTCTCCTGTGGCTGACACTTCCTGCGACCAGACATAAAATGACATTCTCCTCCATCGACCGCTCAACCGTGTCAAGCTCCCAAGGATGCTTTTGCTACAAAGCACAGCATATGAGCGACCGATTGCTCACGGTTCACGCAAACGCCGATGTCCTTCCTACCTGGATTCGTCGCCAAACGCGGACACGATTCACCAAGGCTCACCAATCGCCGAACAAACAAAGGCTGAGCCATCCGGACTTCCCACCGAGGAGATTCTGGCGAAACCTCTCCAAGCTGCATCTAACAAAAAACGCGTTGCGAGCATTAGACGGTGACGGAGGCGTCGGCCCTTCAAACTCGACGCTGAGACGGAGTCGTCGGCTTGCTGATCGACGAATCTCCGAGTCGACGAGCGACCAGCAGCCAGCCGAGAGTTTCCTTCGCAGCTGCTCCCCGACATCATCGAGACATATCCGTCGTTTCGCGTCACATGGTGGTCCAGATCTCAGGGATTTGAGAGGGGTAAGCACTTGCTTGTGCCGCGCTTTATCAAAATTAACACTTGCAGCACCGCTTCACTGGGCCAAAAGACAATATGGGCTTGCGAGAGTTGATTCTCGGCCGTCGAAAGCGAGGTTCTCAAACTCCTATTAAGAGCGGTGAGACACGAAACACGACCACAACAAAGAGCACAGGTCCATACGATGGTAATTTCCAGCAACATTTGATAAATCGTGGAGTCTACCCCGTCCGATATACCTATCCTGACGGCAAGGCCCTGCCGCGACCCGATAATGTGGACGAAATTAAGCGAGCACTTGGGCAACGCAGACCCTCACTTTCCCCCTCGCAATTCTCAGAGGCCGCGTTCGAAGCATTCCAGGATGCAGATACGCATGCTGCTAAGGAGGCGCAGGTCATGGCAAGAGTCATTCCAATCATTAAAGGAAAGGTAGAAGATCCCAAATGTGCTGCAGGACAGCTACCATTTAGGAACCTCGACCACTTAACTGATGGTTCGCTGGTGCCTGGGAACCCGGACATATACTATGGCGCGCGTCCCGAACAGCTTCGACCGGCAATATATGACGAGCTTGGCGGCCATATTATACCTTTAGCCCAGGACAGTCTCCCCGTGGCGCCGAACTTCTTTCTCCACGTGAAGGGCCCTGGAGGATCTCTAGCAGTCGCATCCCGACAAGCGTGCTACGACGGAGCACTAGGGGCGAGAGGTATCCATGGCCTGCACTCGTACAAGCAGTCGGAGCCACAATACGACAATAAGGCCTATACACTCACGTCAATATACCACGGTGGCCATCTCAAAATGTACACCAGTCATATGATACCACCATCTACGCCTGGAGGACGACCTAATTTTGCCATGACGCAGATCAAAACCTGGAGTCTGACTGCTGATGCCGATGCCTTTCGACAAGGAGCTGCTGCGTATCGGAACGGCAGGGACTGGGCAAAGCGACAGAGGGACGATGCGATCAAGCAAGCAAACGAGAGAGCAGCTGAGGCCGAAGCCGGTGCCTCTCCTTTTGGTGGTGGTTTGGGATTGAGCTTCGCAAGCAAGGCGTCGGCTGGCGAAACGATCGCCACGAGCCAAGGGACGATCGTCGATCCCGCTGCCAACATAGCACCCTCTTACGAGTCTGAGACCTCAGCAGATGAACCGTCGCTGGATGCTCGAGAATTCCGACCCGTCAAACGCACGAAATTGCATTCTCCGTGAAAGAAGCAATAGGATGGTAAGATGTTTTCGCCCTCTTGCAATGCCTACGCATAATTAATGTGGTGGTTTGTAGTTGCGAGCCCAATCAAGCGTTGGACAGATGGCGTGGTGACGGGCTCTTATGGCAAAGTTTATCAGTTCCTATACTCTTCCATTTATAGTACTCCTTCTATGACCGTATCAAGTTGTGTGCCATTGAACGGTAAACCATGTGGTCGCTGTGTTGCCTGACCCCTAGAGGGCAAGATAGACGTAGGGGAGTATGAGGCGGGCTGGGGGAACGAGGAATTGCGGGGTTAACAAGCCTCACTGGGTGTCGTAGATATTTGTCCCTGCTTTCTCGACTGCACCCTCTCCTGCGTTGCCGGCCGAGTTGTACATACAACTGGCTCCCAGTAAAAAGTCAAAAGAGTCGATGGAGGAGTACGCCAAGTACCACAGCGATATCCGGCGTCAGTTCTGCCAGGTTGAGAGTCGGCCTAATACGAATCCGGACTTGTGATCCCACCGCCGTAGAGGGATAGATATATTCCTGTCAAGTTCGTCCAATCTATATTAAACCACTCGATGTTTTTTATGCATCTTTAGGAATACGGCTTTATATTTTAGGCCAGTGTTAGTATTAGTCCTAGTTTTAAGCCTAGCTAGCTATATTATACGGAGACATGTTTCTTCGACCGACTTGTCTGCTATGCAGGGCAAAGTTGACCATCGTCACCTCCGTGGAGGCCCTGAAGCGTGCCAAGTCCTTTATGACACAGGCAACGACCCGTCAAGGATGGACGACGAGCTTTTCGAACCACGCCGAGAGCCCGGATGATGTCCGGAAGCAGCATTTGACGCTGGATGTCCAAGAAGACGGCCGAGGTACAACGGTACAGAGTGCCCCTCTCGGAGGCGGGGCCCTGTGGTCCCCTCAGCATCCAGTCAAAAAAAAACTTTTCTTGGGCACCACCGACGAAATCTCTCTTCTTCCTTCATCTTCACCCACCGTCGCCTCCCAACGCCTTGCTCCGTCGCCGGCGCTGCCCAGCGGCAAGATGGACAAGGACAAGCTTGCACAGCTGCTGCAGGCCAGCCAAGTTCGTAAGTCGACGTAATCTGGCCCAGCGGACAAGTCATCGGGCTGACGTCTCGTGCAGCCAACACGGAGCAAGTCAAGGCCGTCACGGCCGATCTCCAGAAAAATTACTACTCGCAGCCCGAGTCGCTGCTCCTCCTCATCGAAATCGCCCTCACCCACAGCCATGGTGCCGTCCGACAGCTCGCCGCTGTCCAGGCACTCCGCCTCGTCCCCAAGCACTGGGAGCGCACCCCCGAGGCCCAGAAGCCCCTCGCCCGCTCCCACCTCCTCGACGGCACCCTCAACGAGACGTCGTCGACCACCCGCCACTCCCTCGCCCGCCTCGTTGCCGCCATAGTTGGCCTCGACATGGAGCAGGGCCAAGGAGACGACTTCCTCAAGCAGCTGCTGCCCCTCAATAATAGCTCCAGCGTCATCGCCAGAGAAGTGGGCTCCTACATCCTCTTTGCCATGCTCGAGGACGATCCCACCCACTTCAGCGACCACACTCACCAGCTGCTCGACCTTTTCCAGGCCCGCATCGAGGACCCGGAGAGCAGGGAGGTCCAGATCAACGTGGTCCAGGCCATTGGCGCCATCCTCATGATCATCGAGCCTGAGGAAGACCCCCAGGCCCTCAAGGCCATGCAGGCCTTCCTCCCCAACTTAGTCAACATCCTCAGCGCAACCGTCGAGGCCGGCGACAACGACAAATACAAGACCGTCTTCGAAGTCTTCCACTCCTTTCTCGCCTACGACTCTGCCCTCCTCTCTCTCCACCTGCGCCATCTGCTGCAGTTCATGGTAGACCTGGCCGCCAACGCCGATGCTGACCAAGACGCCCGCACTCAAGCCCTCGGCTTCCTCATCCAGTGCGTCCGCTACCGCCGCATGAAGATCCAGGCCATGAAGGACATGGGCCCCCAGCTCATGGTCAAGGCCATGCACATTGTCACCACCCTCGACGCCGACGACGATGACGAGGACATGTCCCCGGCTCGGACCGCCATCAGCCTCATCAACACCCTCGCCAACGAGCTGCCTCCTCGCCAGGTCATCGTCCCGCTCCTCGACCAGTTCCCCTCCTTCGCCACCAACCAGAACCCCGGCTTCCGCATGGCCGCCATGCTTGCCCTTGGCAACGCTGCCGAGGGTGCTCCCGACTTCGTCTCGACCCAGCTGCAGCCATTGCTGCCTACCATACTCAACCTGCTGTGCGACTCGGATGGCCAGGTGAGGCACGCCGCACTCGTCGGTCTTATCCACCTGGCCGAGGAAATGGCCGATGAGATGGCCTCGCATCACGAGCAGATCATCTCGGCTGTCCTCAAAAACCTCGAGGCCGCCTCCCAGGGCTCCCCGGACAAGCAAAACGTGAGCATTGTTCGATGCGCATGTGGGGCCTTGGACACCTTTGGCGACGGCGTCGACACCAAGATCATGGCCCAATACGGCCCCAGCTTGATCGGGCCCATGGTCAAGCTCCTCGACCACGACGACTTTGGCGTCAAGGCTGCGGCTGCGTCCGCCATCGGTGCGATAGCTTCGTCCATGGACAAGTCGTTTGAGCCCTACTTTGAAGGTGTCATGAAGGCGCTCGCGAAGTTCGTCATGATCAAGGACAATGATGATGCCATGAACCTAAGGAGCTCCACCTGCGACAGCCTGGGTCGCATCGCCATGGCGGTCGGGCCCGAAGCCTTCCAGCCCTACGTCATGGACTTGATGAAGGCCAGCGAGGAGGCCCTGGGCCTCGACAACCCCAGACTCAAGGAGACGAGCTTTATTCTCTGGTCTAATCTGTCCAAGGTTTACCGCGAGCAGTTTGACCATTTCCTCGACGGTGTCTTCAAGGGCATCTTTGCTTCATTGGAGCTCGAGGAAGAGGAAATAGACCTTCCTGGCATTGATGTCAGCCAGCTGGGCGACGGTGCTTTGGTTGTCGGCGGCAAGCGCGTCAAGGTCAAGGCTCCGGACAACGAGCACGATCTCGCCATTGCCACCGGCGGAGATGACGAGTGGGACGACATCGAGGACCTGGAGAACCTCGGTGCCGTCACTGCCGTTGCTCTGGAGCAGGAGATTGCACTTGATGTCCTTGGCGACGTCATCACCAACTGCTGCAGCAGCGGCAACCTCGAGACTTACGCTGAGAGGGTCATTGACAAGGTTGAGCCCTTTGCCGAGCATACTTATGAGGGGTGTCGCAGGACGGCAATCTCCACCCTTTGGCGCACATACGCACGCGTCTTTCAGGTCTGGGAGGAGAGCGCCGGAGTCAAGTGGCAGCCCGGTATGCCTCCGAACCCCACGCCGCCGCCGTCCATCATCAAGATGAGCCAGACCCTCTACAAGGCCACCATGAGCATCTGGTGCGAGGACAGTGAACGGTACGTGGCCCTTCCAACCCCCTCCGATCAGCCCAATCAGCCTGTCGTTGGCCTTCTGCATGATGAACACTTCGCGTTATACCCAGCTCACTCAGACGCAACATGCGGTTGCTGAGAACACGTTTGATCTACTTCTGACTCCCATCGGCTGGCCAATGCTATCATAATACAACCCACGCTCGTGACATCTCGAGCATGTATCACTGACCGGATTGGACTAACATAGGTCTGTCATCACCGACGTAAATCGAAATGTCGCCGCCACCCTGAGAGCTTGCGGCCCCGCTGTCTTGGTTTCCAAGGACGACATGCTCCAGGAGCTGGTGTCGGTTGTGGGTCTCATTCTTACGCGCTCGCACCCCTGCCAGCAGGACCTGGGAGACGAGGAGGAGGAGCAGGAAGTCGACAGCGGATCTTCCGAATACGATTGGCTCGTCATCGACACTGCCCTCGACGTCGTGGTCGGCCTCTCCGCCGCCCTTGGCTCTGCCTTTGGCGAGTTGTGGAAGATTTTCGAGAAGCCAGTCCTCAAACTGGCCAGCTCCACCGAGGACCTGCACCGGTCCACGGCCGTCGGCACCATTGCCGAGGTGACAAAGTACACCGGCGAGGGCATCTCTCCGTTCACAGAGTCGCTGAGCCAGGCACTGGGCCGGCGTCTGACGGACCCGGACTCTCTGGCCAAGTCCAACGCCGCCTATGCCATGGGTCTGTTGATCTTGAAGTCGAACGACGTGAACAAGACGGTTCCCCTCTTTCCGCAGCTGTGGGAGAAGCTGGAGCCACTGCTGTCCATGAAGGAGATGCGCATGACGGACAATGTTGCCGGCTGCCTGGCGCGCATGATGATGAAGCACGCAGACGGCGACTTTGTCGCCCAGGCGCTGCCCGCCATTGTTAACGCCCTTCCGCTGACAGAGGACTACGAGGAAAACGAGCCCATCTATCAGTGCATCTACAACCTTTGTAAGTGACCCGGGGATTGGAAGGGTCTAGAACGAGTGAAGCACTGACGTATGGTCTTAGATGAGCGAGGCAACCAGACTGTGGAGCAGCTGACGCCTCAGCTCGTCGGGATCTTTGAAAGGGTGATGGGCCCGCCCGAGGACCAGCTGGAGCAAGACACCCGGGAGTTGCTGCACAGGACGGTCCAGACACTGTACAAGGCAAAGCCGGAGCTGCTCTCCAACAAACCTGGCCTGCTGCAGTTGGCCGGTGCGCAGTGAAAGTCGAATAAGTGGATCATGGACAGACCGGGCAACAGCGACGATGAAGACGAAGCCACGAATGATCTTCGACGAGTTTTGAAAAGAAAAGGGCCCTCGACGAAGGTCTCCAGAAGGAGGAAGAGGTGATACCACAGACGAGGCTGCAAAAGAAAGTGTAGACAAGGTTGTCGACGCCTCCCAACCGGGACGTTGTTTTTGCCGTAGACAGATTGTCCCATGAGGAGGCTTTATCCGGGAGGATGCAAGTCCCGACCGCCTACCCTAGGACTGGCGAGAATCGGAGACGTCCTCGCCGTGTGAGTGGTCGACTGGATTGTCTCGGAGAGCAAGCGAGATTTCTAGCAGGAGCAGCAAAGACAGGATTCAGCAAGAACTTCGAGGTAAGCCATCGATAGTATTGAAGGCCTGATATGTGGAGAAGACGAAGCATTCCACACAAATTCTATATTTGATGCATGCCCATGTCAGAACACCAAGAATGAAGACAGGGCGCCCTGCCGGCATCACCAGATGCGCTTGGCCACCATCTCGTAGCGGAAAACGCCCTGGTAGTCGCCCGACGTCTTTATCTTCTTATTGTCCTCGCCGGCCCTCTTGGCGCCCGGCAGGCCCTCTGACGCGTCGGCGTTTATCCAGCGCTGCCGGTCCTCGCCAATCTCCACCTCGGGCCGGCAGCCGACTCGCCGACCGCGCGTCTCGTATGTCTCGCGCTCCGCCTGGCCGAGCGCTATCATGCTGTCCTTTTGCTTCATCTTGGCGTAGCGGTTGCGCGCGTACTGCAGCAGGACCATGCCGAGGATGAGCTTGACGATGAGAAGCACGAGAAAGGCCATGAAGAAGACGACGACCATGGTCAGCGCGGCGATGAGGTCGTCCGAGGTCCACGAGTACCAGGGGCGCGAGTTGAGCGGCGAGCCGTACGGGTAGCCGTACGTAGCGCGGCCGAGCGAGTCTCGGATGAGGGCGTCGAAGCGGCTCAGCGCGGCAATCATGGCGGGCGATGAAGGCGTTGCAGACTCCTCGCTCAGCGACGTCTGCGTCGACTGCGGCATCGGCATCGGGATCTTGGTGGACAGAAACATGTGGTACGTCTGAACGGATGCGCGGATGAAGAGACACGACAGGGGAATCACGGCCAGCCCCAGGCGCCGCGTCAAGGCCGGAGTGGTGAATGCCTGCGGCTTGTCAGGGGCTGAACGAGGTGGCGGGGCGGACAACTCACATTTGCGTAGTAGTCCTTGCACAGGATGTCGAGCGTTCTGCTGTAAAAGGCAGGCTTGATGTTGTTAAACTTTGTCACGTACGCATGCTTGATGGTGTCGACCAGCATCTCACTCCCCACCACAATCAGAAACGGCGACAGGACCTCGCCGGACATGAGCCACGACGGCAACACGGTAAAGCTGTGTGGCAGTATGGACGGCGGATGGAGCGGCCCCGGGCCAGAGCCGTCTTCGTAGGCCGAGTCGACACCCGCGCCGGGCACGGAGAGGCCGCCGACCTCGACGACGTTGCGCATGCCGATGATGAGCAGCATGACCCAGAGCTGGAATCGCTCCACAATGTCGGCACACGTGAGCTGGAACAGGCTGTCTCGCTCAAAGCGCTTGAAAACGGTGCTCTTGATTTCGACAAACTGGTTGGAGAGAAGCAGGGTGAGGAGGGCGTTGGAGTACGAGTTGACTGCCACGTTGAGCGTGATGACCTGGTAGTAAAGGGCAATAGAGTGCAGGCAGTTGTAGACGAGGGCGAGCAGGAACATGGTCAGTGGCAGGAAGATCTTTGACCGTCCAGACGAGTTGCGCGACAGCGTCTCGGCGCTGAAGAGGCACTCGAGGATATCTTGGCCGAGGGCCGACAGGAGCCGGTCACCAACCTCAAGAATGTTGAATATGACGTAGAGCTTGATGGCTGACTGCGCGCGGACGAAATGATACATGCGACTGGCATCCAGCGTCATCAGAGCCAGTGAGCTGCAGATGATGACTGCCCCCTGCAGCAAGTCTGCCTTGTGAAAGGCCGACAGACTCGACGGCAGCGACTTGGTTCTGCGGTGGCGAAAGGCACCGGTCTTAGGCCCAGGGTCTCTGGCCTTGGGGAAGCGGAAGGGCTTTGACCGTTCTTCATCAGTGCTGTCCACGTGCGACTCGGCCCGTTGGCGCCCGCGGAGACGAAATGAGTAGGTCGGGCCGGCATCAGTCGACGACTCGGCGCCACTCATCCTGCTTCGCGACCGCTCTCTGTCCGAGGCATCGCTGGGCCTGCGCGACGGGCCTCGACCTCGTGCTCGGGACCAGAGTCTGCCCAGGCCATACCACACGAAGCCGACAAGCCACTCGGCCTCTTTTCCAATGACGTATCCCCACCACTTGACCAGGACCGCCAGGGCCAGGATGAAGCGGATGGGTAGAATGGTGAAGGTATGGAGCCATGCATCCAGACAAGCAAGGGCGCCAAAGTATAGCGTTCGCTCGAGATAGGGGGCGAGGAGCAAGACGTTTTTGAGTCGCTCGAGCTTGACGGCATTTGACTCGTAGGGCATGTCGTCTGTGTAGGAGTGATGGATGTAGAGGGGGCTCGGTCGCTGTGCAGCCAATTCGAGTTGTAGGTGCGTCGGCAGGGACATGGGCGGAAGCGGGATCATGCTCGGGGCAGGTGAGGGCAGCCGCGGGCCGGGACTGCCAGGGGCAGCCGGAGACTGCTGCTGCTGGGCGTTGGCCGTTTGCACCGCAGGCGAAGACGCAAGACCGTTGGCGAATTCATTGCTGCCTATATCCAGGGGAGGAGGTCGGCGGGCGGCGGGGCCGAAGGAGAATCGTCGCAGGGCGGATGCGCCATTCAAGTCATCGACGGCGGGGACTCGGGGCGTCGGGGGCGTGGACACGGTTCTGGGTGACTGCGGCCGGTATCCCGGGTCGTCGATCGGCCAGGAGCCTGTTGCCCCGAAGTCGTCGGCTCGGGGGTTGACGGAATGCTGCTTGTGATGCGGTTGAAGCAGACGATGGCGGATGGCCTGGAGCTGCTCGGGGGTCCGCGAGACGAGGTCATAGGCAATGGGGTGGCGCTGGGGAGCGGGGGCGACGGGCAGTGACTCGGGAGCGCTCGTCAGTCGCCGGACCTCTGCAGCAGACAGCCGGGCGACGTTGTCGTTGCTCAGCGCTTTTGTGACGGTGCCGCTGCCGCTCCGACGCTTGGCCGAGTGCGACTCGGAGCCAGAGCCTCGGCTCCCCGCCCCCTCGTCGCCGCGCCGGCCGGGCAAGGCCGGGGACTGGGAGCGTCCTCTCGCAGTCGGGTTGTCAGCCTCGCACGAGGCGCTCCGCGGGGGCAGAGGCTCGCTCAACATGGCGCCGTTGGCCGAGGGTGTCGAGTCCGAGACGAGGGCTCCTCCATTGGTGACGCCGGCAGCAGCAGCTAGGGAGCGGCGAGGCTTGATGGGATCGGCGGATGCTGCCATGACCAGGCCGCTGGGACCATGCCTGCGCGACTCGGGCGCGATCCAATGAGGGGTGGGCAATGCGGTCGGTCGCTGTGATTGGAGGCTGTGATGATGCCAGATGTGCGTTGAGGTCATCGAGCCTCTCTTAGGTAGTTAAGCAGACACCTCGTTGACTAAGCCCCGGCTACACTGCCGATACTGTACAAGTACGTAGCGTACAAGTACATATTTCTCTCCTCCTCAACACATGGAGCTTAAGTGCTCAAACCGTCTCGATTCTCTAGCTAATAACACGCAAAAGGCATCTCCTGTCTTCACCACGCCACCGTTGGACCTCAGGCGTCATCGAGAAACACGTCAAACCAGGTGATGGCCTGTTTCAACGCCTGCTCCTTGGCGAACCTCTGCACCTTGACGTCGGCAGCCCCTCGCACGGCGAAGCCATGTTCGACGCCGCAGTACAGGTTGATCTGATAGGGCTTCTTAGTCTTGAAGAGAATATCCTCGGACCGGTGCCGCTTGTCGGCCGGGAAGATGGCGTCCGTCTCAGCAGCGGCAATGGACAGCGGGCCGCCGATGGCTGCGAGCTCGTCCTCGTCGACAAACGAGGGGTGCGCGACGAAGCCGCAGTCGATGCCGTGTTTGTAGTGACGCACGACGTACTTGACATGGCGCCGTCAGTACATGACCTCCGGGAGAGAGGCAGGCGGCCCAGACTCACCTTGGCGCCGAAGCAGTAGCCCACGGCGGCAATCTTGGTGATACCCAGGTCTCGCATGGCCTTGATGCCGGCCACGACAATGGGGTCGACGGCCTCGGTCGTGTGCGGGTTCTTGCCGTCAGAGCCGTGCTGCATCCACTTGGCAAAGTCGAAGCCGTCGGGCCTGTTGAGCGGCATCGGGTCGCTGTTGAAGAGGTCCAGCACGAGCGTCGTGTAGCCGTTGGCGGCAAAGCTGTCGGCCATGAGCTTGCTGTTCTGCCAGATGCCGATGACGTCGGGCAGGTAGAGGATGCCGCAGCCCTTGCGCGCCTTGGCCTCGGACGACGCCTTGGCCAGGTACGCGTCAATCTTGCCGTCGACTTTGATCATCCCGCCCGTCGGCTCGCCCCTGTTGCCGTCAGCCATTTGTGTCATGTCGTGTCTTTGGCCGGCCTGAGAGATTTGTGCTTGTCCACTTGGTACAGAGGAAGAGGCATATTCACACGCAGCGACATGGACGTACTCGAAAAGGGTGCCGACGGTGCAACACGCACCGGGAGCATGTGAAGCCATCCTGCCTCTCTCTCTGTCTTCTGCCCCGCGCGATGGTGACGAGACACGTCAATGGGCGAGACCTGTATCTGTCGCCGAGCCGCAATTTGCTGGTAGTCAGCGCTCGTTGACGGACGGCCGAGGTGGGGAGTCGGGGTCTGTGACGCCATTACGTTACGCAACCCCTCCTCCTCTCTGCCTGGCTCGGGACGCAGAGCATCTTATTCATACTGTGCCGTACAGTACAGTCATGACCAGCTGCTCTGCCGTCCCTTCCGGTGGCCTTGGGACGCGGGACGGACAGTAAGCCGAATGGCCCCACCTCCTCCGGGCCGATGCTGCGGTCCCTCCGCCATCACGTTCCCGACGCTCTCATGCTTGCAAGTTGCCGTCACGAAGCCGTAAAATGCCATGCCATTCTATCGCCGGGTATCTTGGTGCCGTGAGTCAAAATAGAAAGCAAGAGATGCAGATGCTGACCCCTGCCGCGTCACTTTGTCCGAATACCCTTGGCCTTGCGCTTCTTAAACACCACCGGTACTGTCCCGCCGTCAGTTCCCGCGGTATTGGCACCCAGGGCCAGCCCTTGGCCAGCCTGCGTGTCAACCTCCTGCTTGATCGGGACGCCGTCCGCCTTGACCCCGTCGACCCTCGTGTCTTGGCCCTCTTCCCTTTTCACTTGAGTGCCATCGTCCGCAGCCTTTTCCTCTTTGAACACCCCATCCCCGTCGCTGGGCCGCTTCTTGAGAGGGATCGTCGTCCCGCTCAACAGGGCGTCCAGTTCCGGATCCTCGCCCTGCGCCATCATCTTGGAGTCCCTGCCCCATCTCCGCGGCTTCTTGAAGAGCCGCTCCAAAACCTCCTCCTCCTCCTTGTGCTCCTCGGTAGCCTCCTCCCGCTTCCGCACCCCTGTCGCCACTGTCTCCGTCTTTGTGCTCCCCTCCTCGCCCTCGCTCGCAACGACGCGCGAGCTCGTGACGGTCCATTCGCCAGCGATTGCCATCTCGGGCCGGAAACTGCTCGGTATCGCCACGCCGAGCTCGGCGAGCTGCTCGCGCTGCTTCTTCAGCTCCGACTCGGTGGGTGCCGCGGGCTTGATCAGTGCAGCGTTTGTCGCCGCCCGGGCACCGCTGCTGTACGAGACGACGCCGTTGAGCCGTGCGATCTCCTGTTGCGCGCGCGCCTTGTCGCGCTCCTCCCGCTCGTGGGCGTAGTGCAGATTGCGCAGCGACCGCTTGAGCGCACCTTGATGCCGGGCCGTTGCCTCATGATTCTGTTTCTCGAGTTTGGTGTCGCGCACGTAGCACGAGCAGTGCTTGCACCAGTATTTGGGCGTCGATTTCCAGTGTTCCGACATGTTGGGCTGTGGGATATTTCACCGAGAGGCGCGATGTGGATGCTCGAGGGTCTGGCTCGGCATAAAATGTCCACATGCAGCTTGCTTATGTAATTGACTGTAGGTGGACTCCGTAAAGGTGAAGCCTACCCTATATCACGAGCTGCCTTGGTGGTTTGGTTCATCGAACACCCTTCCCTGCATTTTTACTTTCTTGGCACGCAAGTGTTAAGGAAGTAGCCTATCCATACAGCTTTTCGCTTAACAGTGCTCTTGAAAATTCCGCAACAGCGCCGCGCAAAGCGCCGGCAGCGGCCATGGCACCAGCCTCAGGTTCGCGCGCCGCTCCTGTGCTGTCGACATACAATCGCCACCTGATCTAGCAGCCCGTGCATCTCAGCACCTACTGTCCTCTCCGGCGGAGGCTCGCCCAAATGTCTCAACCCTGGCGGCTCAGCAGCTCCCTCGACCGACGTCTCCCAGCGACACGCCCAACGCTGCCGTCGCGGAAGGAACGCAGCCGGAAATAATCCCGAATGGCCCTGGTTCGACCGGGTCCACGGAAAATGCACCTGTCTCCATCATCGAAGCGGCTACAAAGATCGCTCGCGACCAAACGGCAGCCCATGATGCCAAGCTGGCAGTCTTTCGGGCCTTTAGCGAATCATTCGAACAGACAGCCAAACAATTCACGTCCGGCTCCCACAATAGCATCGCAAAGCAAGTTGCCACCAAGTTTCTGAACCTCTGGACTCAATCGCTCGCCGACCTTGAGGAACCACCGAAACCTACGTACAGCAGCGTTCTCGCATCCGGCAAAACGACACAAGGACAGCTGGCCATTACGGCCTCCGCCCCACCACAGCGAAAACAGCAAACCACCACTCGTCTCCAGGACGACCGCCCGTGGTCCCACCCAAGGAAGACCTGCGTGTCTTTGTCCGACTTGACGCCGATGCTCCGGCCCGAAACCATGAAAGATACGCTATCCGGGCCCACATCGCCGCTAGAGTCGGCATCGACCTACGCCGCATCCCGGCAGCCTTCCCGGTAAACACGGGTTGGGCCATCCTGGCATCGGATGTGGCCACGCGCGAACTACTCGTGCAGCGACAGGCGGATTGGGCCGTAGATCTGGACGCGACGGCCGTAGAGATTAGCCAGAAATGGCATTCGTATGCCGTAGCCGATTGCCCCGTAGGCTCACGGACCTACGCGGCGTTGAGATCAACTTCGATGAGGCGGTCAAAGAAGAAATTGCCTGCCAAACCGGACTGAAGCCCATCAGCATACGGACCTCGCGACACGACTCGGGCGATATGCCTACCAAGACCCTTATTGTATCCTTCCTGGAACCCACGCAGAGACCCTGGCGACTGTTCGGCGCCAGCCGGTTCGCCCGCTATATCGACAAGCCCAGCATTCCTAGCCAATGTGACAAGTGCTGGGATTTCCACGCTCGACACAGCTGCGATCGAACGGCGCGCTGCAGGCGTTGTGGCAAAACCGGCCATCGTAGCCAAGAATGCACCGCCCTCGAGCAGTGTGCAAACTGCCTTGGACCCCATTGCGCGGATGACCCCAAATGCCCTGCCCGCCCCAAGCGCGTTCACGGCATGGTCCGGCGCCTGACGAAGGAGGAGAAGAGCCTGGTACGGCAGATGGGAGTTCAGCTCTGCGCAGCAGAAGCGGCGAACTCCAAAGGCCAGAGTGTCCGACCAGTCTGATCAGAGCCCTGGCAGGCCGCAGATACTTTCCTTGGAGTCAACGGCGCCGCGGGCAGCTGGAGGAGATGGAAGCTCCGACATGGGCGCCATTTACGAGCCAGCCGCGCCGTCAACCCCATGCATCGTTGTGGCCACAACGCCGCCGCATGTAAGGGACGGCGACCAGTTCCTCCCTGTCGTCCCATCGAAGAAACGACGCACTAGTCCTGTGACGCTACCCTAATGCCTCGCTGTTTTCCACGCAATCGAAGCGATAGGAGGATCTTGCGAATCTTCCAAGCCAACGTAGGCAAGATTCCGCCGGCACACGATTGTGCCCTTGCGTTGGCCGACTCGGAACAATACGACATTATTTTGTTGCAGGAGCCATGGACAGGACTGAAAGATGGCCGATGCCTCACTAAGACGCATCAGGCCTACGACACCTTCTCACCCGTCAACGACTGGGACGGCCGCGACACTCGCCCGAGAGTCATGACATACGTCCGGCGTTCCGCAGGTCTCGTCGCTGATCAAAAGAGACCTGCGGCGACTCGTGACATCCTTTGGCTCACCGTCAACGGCATAACAGTCGTCAACTTCTATCGGCAGCCGTACCACGACGGAGCCCTTGAAATCTTGCTTCAGTGGACCGTACCGGACAAGTGTCTTGTTGCTGGTGATTTCAATGCCAAACATCCCAGCTGGCAGGCCGGTCGACGAGAGGACCGCGGCGAAGAAATAGCGTTTTGGGCAATGGACAATCGACTCGGCTTACTGAATCCTGTCGATGTCCCGACCAACGCACACGGCAATACGGTTGATCTCGCCTTCTGCAACATACCTCTGGCCGACGCTGTTGTCGAGGATCATCTAGCAACCGGCTCCGATCATTTTACCCTTAGTATCACGCTGCCAGGACAAGTTCTGGCACCCCTTCCAATAGGAAAGATCCATCTCAACTCCGACGAGGAATTGAAGCGATTCATTGAATTAGTGGAGGCCGGTGCCGCCTTCATCCCGATCACCACGGCATCTCCTTCCGAGCTCGACAGCTTTGCGTCGGCGCTCGTGAACCTTCTTGGTTGTGCAGCCAGAGCTGCCGGTCGACCTGCCCGTAAGACTACGCATGGTGCGCGGTGGTGGACTGAAGAATGCGCAAAGGCGGCGGCCAATTACCGCGCGTGGAGGAGAGTTCACTCTCGGCTTCGACCGAGAAGTACAGCTAGCCAAGAGGAGCTCCATAGCGTGGTGCGCCGGGCCAAGCGCCTTTACTGGCGTAACTTGATTGACAGCTTCACCGATAGCGCCTCCGTCTTCAGGGCGGTCCGCTGGCTGAAGTCTCCAGGTCCGTTTCAAGCTCCTCCTGCAAATTGACGACCGAGTGTATGAGACGCAGCTGGAAAAGGCCACCGCCTTGCGACAAGCCACTCTGGAACGGCGCACGGCGAACGACGACATCCCAGATCCGTGGATCTCCGTGAACACAGATAGGACGATACCCTTCACCGACCGAGTCTCTCCGGAGGAGACCCGCGACGCCACGCTACGCACCGGGAATACGTCCCCTGGTCCCGACAATATTACGGTGCGGATGCTCCGCGCTGTCTGGCATGCGATCGGAAGTCTCGTCCACCAGCTATATCAAGGCTGCCTCAGGATTGGCCACCATCCGAAGCCCTTCCGAGAAGCAGAAGTGGTCATGATTGCCAAGCCGGGGCGCAGGGATCTCTCTACACCCCGCGCTTGGCGCCCCATCTCCCTTTTGTCCTGTCTCGGCAAGGGCCTCGAGCGGCTCATCGCACGGCGTCTAGCGTGGGCCTCGGTCCATTTCGGCGTACTACACCCACAACAAGCCGGCGCGCTCCCGAAGAGATCGGCCGTGGATCTCGTTGCTGCCTTGATTCATGACATCGAGGAGGCATTTGCCTGCAAGCAGGTTGCAACATTGGTGACTTTGGACATTCAGGGCGCCTTCGACACAGTCCTCCGCAACAGATTGATCATTCGCCTACGGGAGCAGGGTGGCCACCGAACCTCGCGCGATGGGTCGGCTCGTTTATGCAAGACAGGTCGGCACGCATCCGCTATCAAGATATCGCAACGAATTCATCGCCTCTCCAGTGCGGGCTGCCACAGGGATCGCCAGTCTCGCCGATCCTCTTCCTACTGTATACGGAACCAATCTACCGCTTGGGCAGCTCAAAAGGGCGTTTCGGCTATGCGGACGACACTGCCATCCTTTGCGTCGGCGATAGCCTGGATGAGACGTCCGCCGAAGCATCTCATCATGTGCGTGAGCTTGTATCGTGGGGCGCCGCCAACAGGATCTCCTTCGACCCTGAGAAGACAGAAGTGATGCACTTCTCTCGAACGACGCCCAAGACGGCGCCGCCAGTGCTCCATGGCGAATTTGAGAAACGGCCGGGCCGGGCGATGCGTTGGCTCGGCGTCTGGCTCGACAGCACTCTGTCTTTCAAGACTCATGTCGAGAAATGGACGGCCAAAGCGCAAGCAGTCGCCTTCCATCTCAGGAGACTGACAAACACCAGGCATGGTCCTCTACCGAGCGCTGTGCGACGAGCGGTCTGCGCTTGCGTCATTCCAGTGCTGCTCTACGCGGCGGAGGTCTGGTATCCTGGTTCTACGCGCCCGCGCTGGACCAAGCCGGGCAAGGAAGGACCGTCCAGGATCGGACACCTCGTAAAGAAGATGAGCAAGGCACTCTACACATCTCTTCGGGCTATCCTGCCAGTGTGGAGAACTACACCAACGAATGTTCTGCACCGGGAGGCAGGGATACCGCCGGTCCCTCTGCTGCTCGAGGCGCGCCGGACTGCATTTGCTGCGCGTCTCAAATCCTGGACGAAGCTCATCCGCTCGTGAAGCGCACGTCGAGGCCAAAAGCCCCTATACTGAATGAAATGATCAAGCTGAAGTACCAAAAGCAGCCAAAACCCTTCCGGACTAGGCTGCGGCGCTCCGACGAATTGCTACCAAGCTGCCCAAGGCCTGCCTTGCTGCAGCGCGGATTTGTCGAAGAGCAGACTGCGCCTCTGCAGAGTGCATCGAAAAATGAGACGGCGAAGAAATTTCGCGATTGGCTCCAGGCACTATCGCCCCGAACTCTGGTCGTCTATTCCGACGGGTCCCGTTCTACCGAAGGCCACGCCGGATATGGCTATGTTGTTCATCGGGACGGATCCACCGTCTTGCGCGACAAGGGCCGTCTCGGGCCCGCCGAGATTTTCGACGCTGAGGCGAAAGGTGCGTTGGAGGTTGAAGGCTGCGGTGAGCCTTCCAGAAACTGACCGCATCTTTGTCTGCCTCGACAACCTTGCGACCGCAACATGCTTACGGGCACGCCGAGCGACTCCTCGCAAGAGGTCTTCCTTGAGTTTCAATCTTTGGCGCGAAAATACGGAGCTGTGGAGGTCCATTGGATCCCCGGCCATGCTGACATCCCAGGCAACGAGGAGGCTGATGCTCTGGCAAAGGCGGGAGCATCACTGCCAGAACCCGCTGATAACGTCCCGACGCTAGCGCACCTGCGAAAGATTGCCCGACAGCAGCCGGAAGAGGCTTTCAAGGCCTGGTGGGAAGCCTCTGCGCCGGAGCGATACAGAGACCTGAGGCTTAAAGCCACAACCAGCTGCCCGTCAGAATTGGCGCTCTCTCGGCCCCTGCTTCGTAACTTGCTTGCAGCAAGAACCCACCATGGGGATTTTGCTGACTACCACGAAAGGTTTGGTCACGACAATGCGCGACTGACGTGCTCGTGCGGAAGACGAAAAGAGCCAGCACACATCTTTTACTGCAGAAAGGTTGCGCCACGGCATCGTATGCGGCTTGCACCTTGGCCGGCTGCAGCCATCAACCGCGCAATCGGCAAGGACTTTGACAAATTCGTCAGGCTGGCGAAAGCGAGCTCCTTCTTCGGAGGATCTGCCCACGCCACTAGACGGTCATCATTCTCCTCTCTCACCCTACCTTTTCCTCTCAATCCTTTCTGTTACCTGCTCCGATCTCGGGCGGCGTCAAGGTCTCGCGACCATGCGATCGCCGAGGTCATCAAGGGCTGCAAGGCCCCAGAAGCAAATTGGCTGATCTGACCACGGGACAGCTTTCTCTTCATGCCTGGACGTCCCGCTGACGGGCAACAGGTTTGTCATGAGCGCCGTTGAGCCGATGAAATGCTGGATAGTGGGTGAAGTGTACGATATGTAGCATGTAGACACCTGCTAGCTCAGCACGTCCTGTGCTCCCCTGCGGAGACCTGAGCGACCAAAAGTTGCTGGACGGAAAATACACTAAACTAAACTAAACTAAACTAAAGTTTGGTTCATCGAAACGACCAGTTTCAAGAGATGAAAGAAACAGATGTATGTGCCAATATTAATTATTTTTATATTTACCCGACCAGTTGGAGCGCGTCTTCTCCATGCCCATGCTTTTTGCCCATGAGATCATCAAACCATCCATGCTTCTTTTGTCGCGAAGCAGATTTGATGTTCAATTGAACATGTCACCTGAACAACAGGTGGCTTGATTTTTCGTGACAGTTATGAGCCCGGGAGGAGGGGCTAACCCCTCCTGGAACTTCCGGTAACTGCGCACGACCACCTAGGCTAGCGCGCACCCCGACGGAGTCAGTGTTCGAGACCTGCACCTGTGTAATGCCATAGCCAGAGCCCGAGGCACTGTCGCAGAGTAGCCCGAATGGCACAAGGCAGAGAGGGCCCAGAGCTAAAGCGAGAGTGGTCTCAGGAATCCCAGGCTAGCCCGTGATCCCTGAGGGGGTGTGTCGCGAAGCAGATTTGATGTTCAATTGAACATGTCACCTGAACAACAGGTGGCTTGATTTTTCGTGACATCTTTTGGTGGCATTATATCGTCCATTTGCTTTTACAGTTCTCCCACCCAAATACGACCAGGACTCTTCGATTAATTCTGACCATCTCTCACCGGCATGCTGTCAACGGCAAAGTTTGCTGCGTATCCAAAACAACCTATCTCCCATCCCAAGTCAATCATACGCTGGTTCCTCCACCCAGCTCAGCATTAGTACAAGAAAACGACAATGCCAATGGCGGCCGTGATCAACGAGGCTGCAGGGCCGGGTATAGCCATCTTGGCACCGGCCTGAACTGGAGAATTGCTGGGCACGTTGCTTGGGGCCTGGGGCTGCTCAGGAACTTGGGTCGAAGACGGCCGAGCAGCCGCCGCCCTGGTCGACGTCTCGAGCCCAGTGACAGACGACGTGGCCACCTCTGATGGGGGGACCGACTCGACATCAGGCGAGACTGCGGAGGTGGCCTCGGGGGTGGGAGTTGGGTTTCTGTCGGCTGGAGGAGCAGACTCTACCTCGGGCGAGGCAGTTTCAGAGGCGGTAGACTGGGGGGCAGCAGTCTCGGGAGGCGGTGCCAGAGGAGCGCCGTCGTCGTCCTGGGACACAGGAGGGGCCGTGGGAACGACCGACGGGGCCTGGGGCTGCCCATCGGCGATCTGTGAGACTGGGTTGACGGCAGCAGCGACGGACGTGATTGGAGGCGCCTGGGCGCAGGGGGTGGTGTGAGCCTGGATCTGACCATCACCAATCTGGCAAATGGGCACGGGGACCTGGGTCTGGATGACCTGAGGCTGGCCGTCGGGAAGCACCGTCACCATCGTCGTGGCCACCATGCTGGTGCCGACGACGCTGTGGCCGCCCGTCTGGTCCTCGCTGCCGGTGTCGCTCAGGGGCGCAACCTGGATGCGGATGGCATCGCACTGCGGCGCCCAGTGGCGGTCGTAGAGGTTGTAAAAGTTGCCCGACTTGCAGCGGTAAAAGATGGTCGTATCGCCCAGGGCCAGGGACCCGTTGTTGAAGACGCAGAAGCCTCCGGTGTAGATGGAACCCGCTTGCGGAGGGCCGTCGAACTGGAACTGATAGTTGGACGCAATGTAGCCCGTCCTATTCTGGGCATCGGTCAGGACCGAGTCTTTCAGCTCCATGACCAGGGCGCCTTCTCCGGCAACGGATCGCTTCTGGACTGCCTGCGGAGACAAGAGTTAGACACGGTGCACGCTGGCTTGGGCCGGTCTTGCTCACCTCGTCGGATGTTGCCGTCTCGTTGGTCAGCGCCTGAACTTCAATCTGGAACTTGACATTGTACGAGGCCTGGCATCCCTCGGGGTTTTCGGCAGAAGGCTTGACCTGGTCGATGACAGCACCGCTGGCGTCAGTCGTTGCCGAGCCGGTGGCGGCAAGGCCACCTAGGACAGCCAGCGAGGTCCACCTCATCGTCACCCTGCAGATCCAGTCAGTCTGGTCCTCCCTCATACACTCATGCTCCTGTGCTTGTGTGTTGCCAAGGGCCGCGAGGAGAAGGGAAACTCTTGCTGCTGTGCATGAGCCGGCCACAAGAGACCAAGTCTGGGTACTTGACGGATATCGCCGGGAGGGAAAAAACCGTCAAGAGGGAGGTGGGAGCCTGGAATGTTGATCCTTGCGTACCTTGGCAGGCTCTAGACTGAGACAGGACTCGGGAAGCGCGCGAGAGAGGCTGGCGATGAAACGGAGTGCTATTCCTGTAGCGATGGCCCGACTTGTTGCTGCAAGTGATTTGACCAGGCGGCGGGGGTTTGTCGGTTGATCAGTTTGGGTTGGGCCCTGAAGCGATCACGCCTTGTATCCCTTGAGGAAGCGGATAGGCAGGTGCCGGAGTCGTGGCCGAGAGCGAGGGTGGTGAGGAAGTAGGAGTTGCTGGAGTCGAGAAAGATGGCCGATGGTTGAGAGTAAAGAGGCCGAGGAAGATAAGAGGACAGGGCCGAGGAGGAGCGAAGAGCCGAAGAAGGAGGAAAGACGGGAGAGGAGAAGAGAGGGAGGACGGGAGCTCAAATATCCACGAGTATACGGCAACAGGTATTCGTGGAGGATGGCTTATAAGTGGAACGGAGTTGGTGGATAGGCAGGCATGCAGCATGCTAGATGGATCTTCTGTCTTCGTCCCCCTCTTCTATATACTTAAGCACGCACGTAGGCACGGTTCATAGAGACTTGTATGGATCCGTGGGAGCGACTCACACGCCATGTCACAATGGCTATGTTCAGACATGACGGACAAGGGGCTGGCCGGTCCATCTCTTCGCAGCAGCGGCCGGGGTGGGTGAAGGCGATGCGCAGCCCCCACTGAGGATGCGAGAACAGCCACGGCCAATGCTACTAGTACATACAGTAGCTAGCAGGTGAGGTGTGTGGGAGGAAGAATAGGACGAGGGCGGGCCACACAACGATGGGGAGGGGGGGGGGGGGGCTGGGGGGGGGAAGTGTGAGTTTGGATCGATCCAAGGTTCGAAGGCAGGCAGGTCGAGGCGCGCGCTACTCTGACTTTGATCGGCCGCTTGCTGCTCAGTGCTTACGGCGTGCCAGCCTCATCGATCCTGTTTGCCTATCAGGTGTGCTTGCATGTATACTGTTTATACATGCAGGATGAGAAAAGAAAAACTGGTCCATGGATGGGGAACCTGGACGGAGCACGGCGAGCAATGACGGAGTTCTACGAGGTGTTGCTCATGTTGTCCGCAGGATCACTACTCGCGAGAGCGCGTTGGATGGAGCAAGTCGAGTGGATGCAAGAGTGGGCTCTTCTCCCCTTACATCAGTTGCCAGTCACGACATCGCTGGTATATATCATGGCCAGTATAGCTATACATTGTATTGCTATGCATTGCGAACCCTATGTGGATTCGTGCAGCACTGTATGCCGGCGTACGGACTCAGGCCGCAAACTATCGTCTATACATGCTGTTCCGTACTTGGCGAGGGATTATCGCCAAGAAAGGGAGAAACTCGCTGGACAGTCCACATCCTGTTGCCATACAATGGAGAGCGGCGTGGATCACTGGGGGCCATTATGAGCGGCGGTAGCCGCCTGACCATCTATGGAACGCAGACAAGCCGCAAGTACAGACATGCAATGCTTTCGCTCTCCCCTGGACATGAGAGAGAAACGAGAGGGGGTGCAAGTGCCGATTCCCACCCCGGTTGCTGCAGAAGGCCAAGCAAGTCATTGAATCACTAGATGGCTATCAGCCGGTGGCGAGCAGTTGCGGAGCTGAGACAACATCCGGGCAACGGACCAGCGGCACAGAGCTAGAACGCAGGCCAGGGCCCAATCGCCCAATCAAAGGTCAGAGGCAAATCATGGGCGCGCGGTCCCGACTGCCCGCGGTGGCTGAACGGTGCAAAATGTCTCACCAAAATTTTAGGCTCTAGGCGGCCATTGGTGGTGGAGTCCCCAGCCTCGTCCACGTCCGTCCTATAAGAAAAGAAGGAAAGAATTGCGCGAGAGGAATTGCATGTCCCGGCGGAAGAGGCGTTGTAACGGGAGGGCCGCCGGGAACCCTTTCCGCCGGATTCCCCACCGGCGGGCCAGCATAACCAATACATGACTCAGTACTCTGGAAGTTGCTGCTCGAGTGGGTGGCCGACAACTGGCCAGTTGCAAAGTCTAATAATGCCTGCTCACCGTGGCAGCTCGGGACTCTCCCGGCATGGGCCAAGGGATGCCTCAGTCGATGCTCAAATCGACGAGTCTCCAGGTCAGTTAACAACAGGCGATGACGCCCGGTCACTGATGAGAAGAAGCCGGCCATTGACTTGCCTGGTCTACCTCCCTATGTGTGTACATGCAGACATGGGCGGTTGACGAGAGGCATGCATCCCTCCATCAACGGGCATTGTGTCCCCCGCGCCGGGGCATCAACCCCGCCGCCGCTACGGAGTAGGCCAAACGCTGATGGCAGTTGGCAGCCGGGGACTTGCTGACTAGGAGCACGGGCAAAGGATCCGTTGTGTGTGCGTGTGCGTGTGCGTGTGGAGAGGCGGAGCAGAGGAGGAGAGAGGCTATTAATTATTAGAGCTACTGGACTATCGGATAGATGGAAGCTCCATCGAAAACTTGCTTCGGGGCAACGCCAGTGAGCATCCAGTCAAGCCAAGTTGACACACCAACGCGCGTTCATGTCGAAAAAGCAAGGCGCTTGACCGAGGTAGTTGCCGACAATCTTGGAGCAATAGTCTTAACTAGTCTGTATGTACGTGGATGCCGACCACCTCTACCAGTCGAGGCCTTTTGCTCGGACCTTCGCACGTCTTGCTGAGGTATCCCTCTGCTCCATCACCATCATTGTGAGCCGCCGCGTGCAGCCGAGTCACCGCACGCCGGCCGGGTGGCTGGACCACCCGTTGTGGACCACCCGTCGTGGACCACCCGTGGCCCGTGCGGGGAGGCTGGCGGCGTGCGGAGAGGTGACAGTGCGAAATGGACCGCCGATGCCGCCGTTGGCCCGCAGCCAGCCACGGTAAGCTGGGGGGGATGATGACGCAGGGTTGATCTGACTGCTTGCTTTGAGACTTGAGACGGTGGGAGTGGTGGACTCCATGAAGCCGCGAGCTTGCACGGGCACACGTGGGAGTCGACATCTGTGTCACCAGCCAACTGATCTTACTGTAAATATGAACTACGGATAAAGTGCTTGCGATAATGCATCGGATAGATGTCAACGCATCACGTCAAGGCCCAAGGGAGCACGGCGCATAACGGACCGCTCGGTGATTGCTGTACCGTGCATGCACGGCCCCCAACATCCATGACATCGCGTGCACAGAGATAACTGCGCACACTGCACGCAATCTCCTTTGCATCAATACCGTCAGGTTGCGATTGTTGACCGTACGATATGCCTCGAGCAGGAATGAGCGTCGCCGGGCTTACACGTGCTCCTTGACGGAAACAATAGCCCACCCGCTTTGCATTGATTCAGACATGCTGTATCCGTACTTAATACAAAAGACGATCGACTATGCTAGCTACCGGGACTCATCTTCTCTCCCTTGGCGCCCCCTCGTTGCAAATCCGATATTCTCGGCGAAGTGGCCTCGGGAAGAAGAAGGGATGACACACGACCCGCCCAGGCGCCACCTAAAGGGACGGATCGGACCTCTCTCCGCCACGCTCTGTGGCCAGGCACCGACGCGGCACGGCGGCCACCGCCAGCATATGGCTTGTGTTCCCAGTCCTGAAATGAGGAAGCCCTCTATCCATCACGACGTAGATTTGTATGTAGCAGCCAATGCAAGTCACTGGTCGGCCTCCCTGGAACCCCCAAGGAGCAGCAGCATGGAATGCTCGAGCGTGGACGGCAATGCAGGAACAGCTTGCTCCCACGCCAACTGCATACCTTTCTACATACCTATTCTCTATTCACGGTACAATTATAGTCCCCATATGCCCAGGGTGCCCAGCTTGGCGTTAAATCGTGCCTCCTTTTTCACCTTCTTTCTTTCATGGCCCAGGGACTACGAGAGGCGGGACTCCGCGGCCGATGATGATGAACGAGAGATCTCGGTGGCAATCCTGTGCGTGCACTGGTTTGCAACATGGCCCGATGCTGTTTAGAAAGGGACTGGTTCCTATTTTTACGTATAATACGACCGAGACACCTCCAAGACAAAACTGGGCGACAGGTTACACGTCAGCCCAGTTACTACGGTACAACAAGTGCGAGGCACCGGCCCCACCCGGCCCCCGGCGCCGGTCCCGAGCTGGCGGCCCTCAACGGACCGCAACTAGGGACACGCGTATACACGTCTAGAGCACACCTCGGCGCGTTTATATCCCCTAGCCCTGGATTACGGCGGGCCGCGACCACGCCGTCGCTAACTTCGAAAGACACCAGCTGTCTTGCAAGCTTGGCCGAGGCTGCTCACACAAAACAGCGTGTTTCGACGGCCCTCTCTCGGCCAGGCTTCCATCGTGTTTCTCCCGCCCTGCAAATCCACCTCAGCGCCCCTTGGCCGTTGAGCCCCTTGTGAGTCACAAACATGTTTTCGAGGTTGCTTGAGGAAGCCCATGGACGCTAGCCGAGCATGACCCGTAGTCCCCGGGCCACTCAAATTACATGTACACCGAGGCCAGCGACCTCAGACCTGTATCAGACCCATCTTCAAAAAGACGCTCTTGTCCCCTGATGCTACATCCGTTTTCTCGCACCCAAACATCCCTAATGTAACCATCTCTCATTCTGCCTTGTTACGCCTCCTCCCGAGGGCCCCCAGCAGCCTCAGCAACTTTGCCTTGAGCCTCGGGCTCTTAGCCTCGTCCGCGCCCACCAGCCGCCGCACAAGAATATTGTACAGGCCACCAAACGTCAGGGCAATAGCCGTCGACGTAAATATGATGACATTGTACGGCATGCTAAAGTCGGGCGTCGGCAGGTACAGCAACAGGCTCGTGGTGCGGATGTTGAGGCCGGCACGCGGGGCGCGGGTGGTGATGACGGCGGCAGCCACGTCGAAGCCGCGGTTCGCGTCGGGTGGATACTCGGTGTAGCGCAGAATCGACTTTTCAAAGTCGTAGGTCAGGAAGACGGTGCAGCGCGGGGGGATGCGCATGAGGAGCTCAAGTTGGGTGCCGCGGGCGCGGTCCAGGGCCGGCCGGTAGTAGATTTCCTCAACGATCTTGGACGAGGCGTTTGTGGCCGTCGACGACGAGGATATGCGCGTCGATAGCGTGTGGAGGTAGATGCGCATGAACCACGGCAGCGACTCCATGTAGACAAACTCAACCTCGGCATCGCTGGGATTGGTCAGGATGGCCTGGACGCCGCCGTGCTCCTGCCCGTGGCCCGTGAAGCTTCGCTCCGCAAATAGCAGAGGGGTTTCGGGCTCTACCAGATCCCCCCGCGACACGGGCGCCTCGTCCGCCCGGGGTGTCGTCAGCACCAGGTTGAAGTCGGCCTTGTCCGTGTCGGGTATGTAGCAGCGCGACGCGCCACCCTGCTCCTCGGCCACGAGAGTGCCGCCGGCGGCGACGACGTCGCGGGAGCCGGACACCTGCAAGCACACTGGGGGCGTCTTGGAGTCGGTCAACAGGCATGTCCCCTTGATGGTGCGTCCAAAAATGTCGGACAGTGTCCAGTCTTGGCCGTGCAGATGGTCCGCGGGATAGCATGCACCGCCGTCGTGATAGGGCTTGGACGTGTCGCAGATCAGCTCATGGCTCGGGGGCGGTCGCGGGATGGGGTTGTCTGGCATTGGATGGTCAGCACCGTCGTACCTGGGTTGTCCTCGTCTGGGAGATGCAAACCTCTGGGTCGCTTGGACCGATCCACATCCAGCACCATGTCAATGGTCTGATCCATCTGCAAGATGCAGGGGCTGCCGGGGGCGCATATGGGCCTGACGTCTATGGCCATGCTCTGGAAGGAGGCGTCAAACAGCTTATGGCCGTCGAGCAGGCTGGCGATGCCGGCCTTGCCCTTGCAGGGCAGCAGCTTCAAAAAGGGGGTCAGGTTCTCGGTGCAGACGACCTCGTGGGGCAAGACGCCGTGGAGTAGGCGGGTGGTGGAGAGGGCGGCGTCGGAGTGATGGCCCTCGGGCTTGAAGGACATGACGGGGCGGATGGTGCGCGTCTCGTCGATGAAGTTGAGCGAGGCGCAAAAGAGGCCGGATAGGGCGTTGGTCAGCGTCAGCCAGTTGGCGTCGGCCTCGCCGTCGGTGCCGGCGTCGAGCCACGCCCACAACTCGACGCCCGTGCCGCCCTCCCTGGTGCCGCTCCAGGGCCTGGCACCCCAGCGCTCGGCGTCCCATCGGCCGAGGGTAAAGCGCAGGTGCAGCTCGCGCGTACCGGCATACTGCAGGATCTGGCCGAGCGAGCGCGGGAAGAGGCGGAAGTTGTGGGCCTCAAAGTCGGACAGGGACGTGTTGGAGCGGAAGCTGAAGCTGGCGAGGAGCGCCGACAGCGGCAGCGGGCGGAGGGTGAGACGCTCGTGGTAGTCGGCGGCGGCGACAATGAGGCCGGCTAGAAGCGCCGGGACGACGAGCATCAATGGGTGACGCATCGTGTTGCATGCATGCGCATGTCTCTCTGCCAGTCGCGTCGCCAGCCCGGATGAGTTGTCACCAGGCTGGACGGTTGCTGTTGCCAGGTGGGTACCGAGGAACCTATGCGGGCAGCCGAATTTACAGTAAAGGCGGTGTGGCATGACGGGCGGCAGAATTCCTGCCTGCTCACAGCCGGTACGGTACGCCCGTGGCGACTCATTAGGTATCTATCCTGTCTGGGCACTGCTGATCAACTGCATCAACCCCAGGCAAAACCAGCCCCCCTTTCCTCGGCCTCGTCGGCGACCCAACCAGGACTTAACCCATTCCCGCCTAATCGGCCTCTCTCCATCTGCCGCAGTCGGTCGCGCCACACGCACAGCCAGGCATGGCGGCAGAGCAGAGAAAGCTGCTCGAGCAGCTCATGGGCAGCTCCGCGACGTCGCGTGAGTCCCAGCTTTCCCTGGACGACCCCAAGGTCTGCCGCTCGTTCCTCGTCGGCACCTGCCCCCACGACCTCTTCACCAACACCAAGCAAGACTTTGGGCCCTGCGGCAAGGTCCACGCCGACGGCCTCAAGGTCGAGTATGAGGCCCTGCCTGAGCGCGAGAAGCAGAGGCATGGGTTCGAGTATGACTACATCCGCGACCTCCATAAGTACCTCGACGACTGCAATCGCCGCATCGACTCTGCCCAGAAGCGCCTTGAAAAGACGCCCGAGGAGATTCGCCAGACCAATGAGCTGGTAGGTTCCCTCGCTTCCATCTCTCCTGGACGCCCGCTCCGGCCAACCACTTGCTCCCCTGCCTGAAGCACGTGTCATTTTTGCCGCTCACCACTCTCTCTGCCCCCTCCCCAGCTCGAGAGCATCGCCGACCTCGAAGAAAACATAAAGAGCGGCCTCCACGAGATCCAGGTTTACACCGAGCAGGACCTCGTGTCCGTCGCCATTGACGAATGGTTCAACCTCAAGGTCATGGCCCAGGCAAAGGCGGATAAGGAAAAGGAGCTTAAGGCGCTCTCCGACACGTCCGGCCCCTCTGGCCACCAGAAGCTCCAGGTCTGCGACGTCTGCGGCGCCTACCTCAGCCGCCTTGATAACGACCGTCGCCTGGCCGATCATTTCTACGGGAAAATGCACCTGGGCTACGCCCAGATGCGCAAGGCCTATGAGTCGTTCCCCAAGGAGATGAAGAGCCGAGCGCGCCAACAGCCCCTCATGGACGAAGACGGCCCCCGCGGGCCCAAGGGGATGGGCGGCTACAGAGGCTACAAGGGAGGTGGTAGGGGCCATCGCAGCGGCTAGTAGACGCTCGCGACAACGGACCAGGAATCATGCTCCCGACGTGGGCTGTCTAACCACAGGGACAGGAGCAAAGGGAGCAGGCCCGTCGAGGCAAAAAACACGCATCGAATGGGTGAGGGCGTCTGGAAAAGTACATTGGTTTTCCTCCGCGTGTGGATACGCCCACAACAGGGCAGGACGGCTTGGGATCTGGCGTTTGGGGACAGAGTATTTGCGGCAAAAATACCCCTTGAAATACGACATGTGGTTCCCCTTGTGCCCTGACCGGCGTTCATGCATAATGCAGTTGTGCTCCCCGCTGAAAAGCATCGTGCTTTCCTCTGCCCTTTGATGCGTCTCTTTCATGCCATGCCTTTCATTCAAAATCATCCTTGCAGTCCGAGAACATCCTCGAGTGCATCCGCCATTGACAGATATTTGCCGTCTATCGCCCATGATCTATACAGTGGTATTAAAGCACACTGGCCGTTACGTATCTTTCCCGACTGCGTCCATGAGCTCCATCTCGTCGTCCCATTTCCCGCCCGCTGCCGGCGGCGACGACAGGGCGAAGACGCCAGATGCCTTGCTGGCCGCCTTGTCTGTTTCCTTCTTGCTCGTCGGTCCCGTGGGTAGCGCCGGAAACACGTCGGTCGTAAGTGCTGGGACCGCGTTGCCGGGATTGGGCGGAGGCGCCGCGGCCATCTCCCGGCCTGACATGTTCGAGCCGCCGCGGCCACCGCGACCGCCGCGTCCGCGGGAGCTGTGCCGTTCATCGAGGAAGCGATCCACGTCGGGCCGGTCAGCAGGGTCCCGCGCAAACCTGCTCCCGGAGAGGCCGCTGCTCTTGGAACCCCTGACGCCGCCGTTGGCGCCTCTAAATCCCTTGCGAGCCTCTTGTTCTGCTGCCTCCTTGCCCTCATCCCAGCCGCCCTCCTTAATGCTCATGGCCTTGAGCTTCCTCTCGTGGTTGCGGGCACGCTCGTCGTCGAGCTTGCGTCGGTCGTCGTCGGCGCGACGGCGGCGCTCGGCATCCTCGGCTCGGCGGCGGCGGGCCTCCTCCATGCCGCGGGCATAGGCCTCGGCGTGTTGGCGCTCGTCCTTTTCGGCCATTTGGAACTTGCGCGTCTTTTCAGCGGCGAGGCGCTTCATCCTCTCCATCTTGTCGGCAAGCTCATTGTCAGAGAGCTTTTGCCGTGGGTTGGCGCCTGATTTAAGGCGCGCCTCGGCGCTGGCAGCCGTGTTTTGGGACGAGGCGCGGGGGGGCTTGTGGTGATGGTGGTGGTGGTCGCCCGAGGACGAGGCGACGGATGCGTCTACCGGGGACGCTGATGCCGTCGGGGAGATATGTTTTCCTGGGGAATCGTCGGTAGCTGTGCTTTCGTTGATGGCGGGTTCAGTGGCAGTGGCGACCGGCGTCGTCGCCGCGGGTTTATCGGCGAAGCGGGACGAAGCAAGGGATCTTTTTGATGGTTGGACGGGGGTAGATGTTGGCGCCATCGTTGGTCCTTGGTGCGGAGAGGGAGCGACAACTGGTGCTCTCTCTACTGCTTTTCCTGCTGCCGTCGACGCAGTGGGAACTACATCTGGCACGGGCGCATGGGGCTGGCGGTTTTCGTTTGCAACAAGGGGGGCATTGTCGACGGGCTCAAAGTCGTCGTAGAAGAGGTCATCGTCCGTACGGCCGCCAAATTGGTCCTCCATGGCTGGCGTATTGAGGAGAAAGCAAGAGGCAGCCAAGCAAGACTCAGGAGGCGAGTAAAGAAAGGGAGGAAGACACTATAAAGGTTAGTCTGGACAGGCAAAGCAGGACAACGCAAGGCTAAGAGAGACGAGGCGGTGGTTTGCTTTAACAACGAAAGGTTCTATTAGTTTCCCCCGGGGGTAAAAACGCCGCTATTAATTTTCCCTCTATAATTAAATACCGCACTCTAATTAGTTACTAAATCTTACTTTTTATTAGTCGGTTATTAATTTAACTTCTTTTCTTTCTACTTATAAAAAAGCTCCCTTTAATTATATTATTAATAAAGTTAATACCTTTTAGCTACTTTTTATAATATTTACTTATTTAGCTTTTTAAGCTAAGCTTATATAGTTAATTTTTTTTAAAAACTTAGCTTTTTTCCTTTTAAAGTCTTACTTTTATAACTACTACTAATTATTAAGTCTTTATATTAAAAAGTTTAAATTATATTATTTATAATAAACTAACTTTAAAAGAGCTAAAGTAATAATTATATATTACTAGCTATTAAGTCTTTATATTAAAAAAAGTATAAATTATATTATCTTACTTAAAAAAATAAAGTTCATAAGTAAATCTATAAATATATATATATAAAGTATAAAAAAGTATAAAAGTCTAACTATTATAAGTTATTATTATAAAGTAAGTAAAGGTATAGGCTTAAGTATAGTCTATTAAAAAAAGGTTAATAATCTATAAAAAGAAAAAGAAAGAGAAGTATAAGCCTAGCCCTTATAAGTATAAAGGCCGCTTATATATAAACTTAGCCTAGACCTTAGTTTAGGCCAATATTAAGCAAAAGCCCTTATATTATACCCCTACTATTATAACTACGGTCTAGAGAACCGCGGGGGACTAGTATATATTACGAGGACACGTAACGTAGGGAGCAAGGAATATTAAACGGACCGACGGGCTAATTAAGTTTAGAGCGACGGGTTACTTAAGCGCTTTAACGCTCTATAGCTAGGATCGTAGGATCGCTCTAACGCTCTAGCGCTCTTAGGTAATAGGATTACCTCGTGCTCCCGGCGATCTAAGGAAGCTCTCGAAGTATATAAGGAAGGAACGGAATACTCCTTTATATAAATAGCTCGATAGCTTTTAATATAATTATTATAATCTTTATTACGACCCTTATAGTATAGTAGTTATATACCTAGGAAGCCTACTAACTATAACGCTAGAGTTAGTTTAAATCCGGCTAAGGGCATAATTAATTTTTAGTCGGACTAATAGACTATACTAACCTACTTATTAATTAGCTAATTAGCGCTTCTAAAAGCGCTTATAAATATACTAGTAGTCTAGCCCCGCTATAAGTAGGCCGGCCTAGACCTCGCCTACCTAGACCTAGCGACGAATTTATTAGGACCTCCCCCTAACCCCGGTCTAGGCCCCTTAACCGGGAAAATAAAAACCTAGGGCCGATACTAGTAACTCGATAAGTATAGCGCAAAGCCGGTGCGATAACCTAACTACCGGCCCGGCTAAAGGCCGGTATTAATAAAAAATAGCCCGCTAAGCTTTATAGCGGAAAAATAAGGTAGAGCCTAAAAAGATACTATTATAGGATAAGGTCGGAGATAATTATATAATTAACTATTAACTATTAACTAAAAACGCTTATACTACCGATTAACGCTAAATACCCCGCGTATATAAAGGAGTTACTTTCTAAGGTTACTTTATAGCGGGGCTAATATAATTCCGACTAACTATAATAATACCTAAGATAGCCGGTATAAGATTCTTATATATTATAACCGCGACTTAGTATAAGGGCGGACTAGCTATAAAAGAAGGGAGGGTTTTCCTTTAAGTACGTTAGTTTTTCTCTCCTATTTAACGCTAAAGTTCTAGATACCTTTAGATAGGTTACTAGTATAATCTTAATAATAATAATAATCTTTATTACGATCTTATCTTTAATTTTAATTACTTAATTACTTAATTATAGTTTATAGTCTATAACCTTTAACTTATTACTAATATAATATACTTATTATTACTTAAACTATACTTTATTATATTTATTAATATAAACCCTTTAATAGGTTTATCCCTTAAGAATAATACTAGTTATTATATATTAAAAGCTCTTATTTAATATAATATTATATTACCTTAAGTAATATCGTAACTATTAATATACTATCTACCTCTTTATATTTTAAAGCTTAGTATTATCGGCGCTAAATTCCTTTAAGAACTCGCGCTAATAAGCCTACCTTACTTTATAGACGGTCCGCTTCTAAGCTATAAACGCCTTATATAGGTCTTCTTAGTTCGCTTTACTTCTTTCCTACTTATACTTCCTCCTTACCTTCTTAGCCTCCCTTATTGCCCTTCCTACCTTTAAGGTAAACTAAATATTACCCTTAAGTAATACTCGCCTTTAAGACGGAACTATAGCTATCGCAATCTATACTAAAGTAGTAAAGATATAGTCTAGGTCCTAGTTAATATCCTTAGGCGTTTAGAGCGTTAGCTAGTATAGTCTTAGCTAGGATAGAGTCTTAGCTTTAACTAGCTTTACTTTTACTTCTTTTTACCTTAGGGCCGGTTTAAGCGCCTAGGCTTAAGTATTAACCTATAATATAATAGTTTAAGAGATATAGTTTAACTTAGTTAGGTCTAGGTTAGGCTTAGTATATTATATCTTAGTCTTTAAGGTTACCTAAGCTAGGTTAATAGTACTATCTCTTTAGCTATAGAAAAATCTTATATACTCTCCTCTTAAGGTAGCGAGTTTAAGTTATAGTTTTATTGCCTCTTATATAAGTTATATTATACTATCTAAGGTTTTATTATATCTATCCTAGAATAAGTAATAAATATTAAAGTCTCTTACTATTATTATAAGGTACTTTAGTTTAATTACGCTTAGGTCTTATAACGCTCTAGCCCTCGCGGCCCTTAGTAGTAAGTAAATTATTTATAGTTTAGTACTATCCCTAAAAATCACCTCGCTTTAGTTTAGTCTAGGCTAAGGCAACTAAGTCCTTAGCCTAAGCCTTTTATATATATATAGTATATACCTCCCCTCCTTATAAACTAAGCTATAGGGCGCCGCTTTAAGGGGTAAGGCCCCGCCTCTTAGTATAGCTTTTACTTCCTATAGTACTATTAAGTTAAAGCTAGCTTAATAGTAAAGCGCTAACTAAGCTAGCTTATATCTCTTTTATATATTCTAAAATAGTACTTTTAGTTATATATAAGTAAGGTTAAGGTAAAAGGGGTTATTTATATAAGGAGGGAGGCGCTTTATCTCTTAGCTCTTCTTTATCTACTATACCTATAAATATCGTTTATACTTAGTTTAGCCTCCCTAGCCCTACTAGCCGGCGGGTATCTTAAGCTTAACTTTTTATCTTAGCGTAGTTTATTTAATCCTTACTTTTAAACCGGGGTCGATTTAAGAACGCCTTAGGTTTCGATAGTAGGTAGTACTTATTACTTAGTATAAGTCTAGGTATTTATAAACTATTAGGGTTATTATAAGTAGTTTTCCCTTACCTTTTCTTAGGCTTTATTTACTATAAGGTAAGTTTAGGTCTATAATAAGTAGTCCCCTTAATATAAGATATAGTTATAAGAGATTTCGCCTTTCTTAGCTTTATATTTATCTTTACTATTATTATATACTATACTTTTATATTAGCTATAAAGTTATATTAATATATACTACGTAGTAATATAGCTATACTTATAGTAGTTATAGTACTTTTATAGTTAAACTAACTTATTATAGGGTTTATATTAAAAGATTTATACTTTAAGAACTAAGCTTAGGTTATAAAGTATATTAGCTTCTTTTAAGCTACTAACCTTAATAAGTATAGTTATTACTATTAATATCTTAAATTAAGGGTATAACGCCTAAGCTTAAAGGACCTTAACTTTATTTACCTTTATAATCTTATAAAGTAATTACTCCTTATTTACTATCGCTACCCTTAAGGAGATATTCTTAGTAACTACTATATATATATAGTAGGTAATTATAGCCTTTAGTTTTAATATAGCCTTAACCTAGCCTTAGTCCCTTTAATAGGCTCTCGCTAAGGTATTAAATATAACTATAATATCCTTACTTTAAAGGCGCCTCGCTACTATAGCGCTTATAGCTTTTAAGGTTATATTTACTACCTTTACTATATCCTTATATTTATAGCTTAAGATTTCGGGTAGTACCTTAGTAAGGACTATAATAATCTTATATTTATAGTATAGTAGGACCTATTTTACCGCGACTTTATATTAAGTTAGTCTTTTAGTCTTAGCTATAACTATAGCCTAGGTTCGCTTTAGGCCCCCTAGGCCTAAATTAATACTTAGGTAGAGTTCTTCCTTAACTACCTCCTTAATTACTTCTTAGATTATTATCTTAAAGCTCTCGTTTATATAGAGTACTACTAATAACGTGCTATTAGTATAGCTCTTTACCCTAAAAAGCCGTTTAACTACTACCTATACCCTATTAAACTATATACTTAGGATAAATCCCGCGAGTTTATTATATACTGCTTTTTCTATAAGGTCGCTTAGCGCCTAAGCTAGTATTATATCGCTGCTTTAGGTTTATTAACTCGCTTTATTAAGGTATATAAATTTAGGTAGTATTTCTTTATACTATACGCTTTAGTTAAGCCTAGTATATTAAGGGCCGCTACTATATCTACCTACCCCTTAGCCTTAGTATAATATTATTACTAAAGGTAATTAATATTACTAAATTAATTCTTAGTATTAATTAGTATTTTAGTTATAATATATACCTACTATACGTATATATTAGTTTTATAAAAGGGTTTTTCTATAAGCTATATTAAACTAAGGAAAAATTAATATAAAGATACTATATAAGAAATAAAAAGATATAAAACGAAAACTTAACCTTTAGTATAAAAATAAATAAAATTATAAAGTATAGTATATAATTAACTATAAA